TATGTATGTATGTATGTATGTATTTTTCCGCGGCCTGCGATCGCCAGGAGGCGGTGACGTGACGTTCGCATTGCCACACAGGCGTCGTTGGCCATATTCGAGCCGTTTATTTCGAAAGTGGCCCAAGTCCATTTATCTTTAAATCAAGATATTTAACACGGTTTGCGGTTTTGATAAATTTAAAAATATTGGTAACGTGGCGGTATAATGTTTTTTGTGCTTCTAAGGGTGTATAATTCACCAACCCAACTCGTACGGCGAACATTGTTTAGAAAATAACACGTTCCCGATGGCTATAAATGAACTTAAATGGCCACTTTCGAAATTAATGAAGCAACTGTTTTAATTTTTGAACTAGCGCGAGTCCCTTGAAAAAGATAAAATTTCCGTAAAATGAAAAGAAATATTACAATTTTGTGTTATAAAATTAAGAAATATCCAAATTTTATTTTATGAAATGTTACATTCAAATAATGTCTCGTAATTTATAATTCATTCTTCTCCACTTTGTGTATGCGTAAGAGATAGTGAAATACAGTGTATTCAATATTATTAAAGTTTCTTGGTCTCTCTCGACGCGGTATTAAATCCAGAGTTTTGAATAGTGCATCCTCATTCATAATGTTTCATAAAACCTTCTAAAAATCGCGTCTTTTAGAAGTTCAGTTGAAATGAAATCCTCTGTATTTAATGGAATTATTATTATTTAAAAAAATCACTGTCTGAGCCAATTATAACACTACTATTTTAATAATAAAGAAATATAGCTCTTATCTCACGAAATTTTACTGCATAATATACTTATCACATCAGTTTGAAACTCTTAAAATGGAACGCTCTTAATTGAGCCACTCTCAAAATAAAAATTTTTATCATTCTACTAACCAACTAATTTTCTCTGTGCAAAATCTTAGTGATTTTATATTATTTTAAATATATTGTATATATTATATATTTCAATATATATTATTATTATTTAAATGTTATATATTATTTTAAATATATGTTATTATTTTTTACATATATTATTATATATTATTTCAATATATATTATTATTATTTTTTACATGTTATATATTATTTTAAATATATTAAGTATACATTATTTTAAATATATTAGTTAAATATATTTGTCCAAAAACGAAAAGACAACGTAGAAACATACATATTAAAACAACTAGCTTGATTTCTTTTTTTTTTTCTTCATTTTTGGAAAATGGACTTAGGCCACTTTTAAAATAAACGTTTTAAACTCGTTTAGAGTTATTTTCGCGCGGCCGTGGCTTAAGAACGAAAACTCGAACTTGGCACGCCGCGCTCCCGAAATCGTTCTCGCGCCGCCGCGCACAGAAATAAAACGACGTTCGCTTCTGACGCCGACTTTAATCGCACGTTACGTAATCGGGGGAAATTCGTCGACACCGTCGGACGATAACCCGACGCGAAGATACACGTTTATGGGTGCACGGAAGGAGGTGGGCTGTACGAAAACAGAATATCCAGAAGGATACACCCGATTGTAAATATTCGGCGATGAACGCGAGCCACGCGTGCATTCACAGATGCACGTGGCTGTACGTGTATCGAAATTATGCGCGGCAAGAGCCAAGATTGAATTACTTATGGAATTGCCGGTCCGAGCGGCCACGAAAGCAATTTACGAGCACGCGCCACGCCGCTCGTTGGAACACCGGGGAAAAATCATTCGGATCTCCTCGATATTCGTCGCGAAAGGTGAATATTTCATCGAACATCCCTCCCGCCCACATGTATATCAATTTATCAGTGATTGCGTGACACACGACCCGACCGAAAAATATAAATTCACCGGACGAATGGCGAACTTAGGATACTACTGAATAATACATCCGCAATTGTATTTTGTAGTCTGTGTGATAGTAAACTAACGGTTGCCGCGGGCTTGTCATCGGGCATTGCTGAAACAGGACACGACGCCATGAACTTTCGCCGCTATTTAGTTCTCGTTCAACACAGAGACACGATGTTGTTTATTGATAACGTTTATTGTAGATTGAGTAATCTATCGAACACGATACTTGCGTTATTATATTTAACAGTTGTCGAGCTGTTCACTTTGATACATTCGTGAGTTACAATTTCACATTGAAATTAAAGAAAGATGATATCTTTAAATTTATATGTGTGACATGATAATGACAATTAATCCAAACTCGTGGTCCAAAGCAGCGGTTTTCCAATCTGTGATACGCGAAAATAATATTGACAATGATAGAGGACACCAAAAAATAGCGGTTGAAAGAGTGGAAATAAAAAGGCAAAAGCACAATTATATAATTTTGATTTACAAAGAGAAACTCGTGCTGTTTTTACTCGTTTTCGATATCTTATGTTAGGCTGCTATTATAAAAAAATTGAAATAAATTGTAAAATGTAAGATCGAAAATACAAATGTCATCAGATTAATTTGAGTCGTTCATGACTGTTTAGCTGATTTAAGAAAATAAAGAAAAAAACAAACTTTGTTGATGGGAATCACTGATCTAAAATATAGTCATAATATATATAATATAAAAAACATATATAATATATTTAAGTAATATATATATATATAAAATATAGTCAAAATATATCACTGAATTTTTAATTTGACGCTCAATTTTGCAAGAATTTTTTTAAAAAATTCTTGGAATTGATAGCTTTTGTTACTTCTAATATGATATATTTCTACATCAAAATAAAGACTTCGATAAGCATCTCAGAATTTTCTCAGACTTTTTAAAAGTCAAAAACAGTAAGAAAATTAATCGTGATTATAAACCACCCGGATTACTAACGATTGCTAGTTCTTTTCTTCTACTACGAATTTTCTCTAAATCGTATATCACTCATAGCAAATGATTAACCTTTAATCAGACTCCATCGCGGTAACGAAAATTTTATAATTAACGCTCGTGTTTCGCGAACGATTTTAAATCGGCTTTAAAATTTATTAACCAATGTGGAATTAACAGTAAATGGGCGTATTTAAATTGTTAATAGCCCGACACAGCTACTCGTTATTGAAGTTATAACCGGTAACATTTAAAGAAAATTAATAACTCGCGAGGGTGTACGCAACGAAAGAGCCAGACTTCCGTAATAAAGCACGCCGAAAATCGTGTAAACTTCGATACTCTGTATTCTGCTCGCATATTGTGTGTAATTTTATACAAGTTCGCAGACACGGATAAGCTTGTCTCCTCGTCGTTTCTACGGGGATAATATCGAGCGCAATATCTTCCCGCTACATTATGTTATACTATCCAATTCATAAGATTATACCGATCCTATACGCGGGTCGTTGTAAAAAGACGGGATTACGCGGGTCAGCGATTTTGAAATAGGGACGAGGAGTGAAAGAGTTCGAACGAGAGTGTAAAGTAACAGAACGGAATTCATCGATTATATATTCATAGTTTCGAGATGTGTGTTGGTAACTTGTTAACCGAGTCATTTCTTGATCAAAGGCTCCCAAAATTAACGAATTAATAATTAATAAAAGCATATTGATTGCGATTTGGTCAAATGAAATTGGTCCTAAATGAAATTATAACGTGGCTTGTTTTTTAATAGATATAATAACGTGGCAGCTTTAAAAAAATAATAGCTCGATAAATGGTGAAATTATCATGTTTTCAAGATTGGGATCTTGTCTTTCCTGGTTAACAGGTTAAGGACAACGTTCTGAGTAATTCTGTTCGAGTGATCAGGTCTTTCGTTAGTTTTAAAAGTACAATTATTGAGAAAAATATTCGAACATATAGAAATTCATGTAAAGTGCCTATTATATGTACGAAGTTGAATATTTGATTAAGATGAAATAAAAGACTTGAAGACTTTCTAGTTGAATATTTTATATATATATATATATATCACGTCCAACTTTCTCAAAGATATCACAATTAATAATCGTTCAACATCAGACACTTTACGTGTTAAAAGAATTAAAATAAACTTCACAGAACTTAAATATTACAACATAATCGCCATCTTCATTTATTGGGATATCGTGTTCAATATGTTACGATGATATCGTTCCATATAATTCTATATGTATCTCCGATACATGTAATTGAATATTTTAAATGACAACACGATGGTGTGAAAACTCGATTCATAACCAAAATTAAATATGTTTTAATCGTTTGATATTTGTTTCTTTTTTTCAAAAATCTCCGTTAAATTTGGCGATCAGTGTTTTTCTCATTTAAGGGGATTTTCTAATGTGAAGTGCGTGTTTTTTTAACTTTGTTAGGGAATTTTTTGCAAAGAAACTATTATACAGTCAAATTGACAAGGTTTATTTGTACGTATTTCAACAACGTTTTAAAATTTTTTGGAACAAAAAGAGTTAAAATTAGTGGCACTGCATACTCTCAAACAAAAAACTCGTTTTTAAAAAAGGTCGTCTCACGGTGTCCATAATTCCGGTCATTCTGCTTGCCGGAAATAAAAAACCGTGAATGTTCCTTAATTAGTATGAGTTTGGCTATAGCAGGTACCAAAAGAAAAAAGTCGTTAATTAATTAAAAAAGTGGCGATACTGCGAAGTTCGATTATCAATTTTTGCATGTTTTTGTTAAACGTCGGAAGCCTAAAAAAATATAAAAAATAAAATTTTTTGGTTGATTCTGGTAGGGGCTATGGTCACACATGTACTAAATGCGCACTTAAAATTTTGAGCCAATTGATCAAATAGATTTTGAGATATCATGGACACCGTTCTGAAAAACAATTTCCAGACAAAATGCCTTTAAAGTTTAGTATTGCGGTAACAATGACGCTGATCGTCATTAACTTCGTTAATTTTAGGAGTTCACGTGCAAGGTTACAGAGATTTATTTTTGAAATGATGTCCTTTAAGGATATGCAAAAAAGAAAAAAACTGATTTTTTTTCAAAAGTTCACACTAGAATGCCCCCCTAAACGAAAATCGAAAAGTTAATCCACCTCTGATCGAAACGACGTTGATGTTACAGCTGCGAGGCGATATCTGCGAGCGACTTCGTCGAATTTTCGAATTACATGTCCAGGGACCGGAAGTACTCGAGGCACTGCGGCCAACAAAAGGAATTCGACGTGGAGAGCGACAGAAAGTTCTTTCGCGTAACTTTTAAGAGCAACGACAGATACGATGCAACAGGATTTAACGCAAGCTATGTGTTCGTGGACGAGGAAGGAAATTATACAACAAAGCCACCGATGAGTAACGCATCAGCGATAAAAGGTAAAGCTAAACTTCCTCCATTGCGTTTCCCTCCTCCCAGTCCCTCTTTCTCGAACTCAAATTTTCACGTTTCTCTGCGCACAGCGCTGGATATTTTCTTTTCTCTTTTTCTTTTTTCCTTCTTTTTTTTTTTTTCTTCCACTCCGTGCTGGTTAATTTCCGCACAGACGACAGAGAAACGAAAATAGAATTCTCGAAATATTAATATAATCCTCTGGTTCTGATTGTACAAACGAAAATTTAAATACGCCTCATTTAATAGCGTGCGCGAGAAAGAAGGAAGGCGCGTGATATCTCTCTTTCTGCATCGTTTTATAAAATATGTAATTACCCACGGTACAACCGCGAGACACGTTTCTGGAACGAAAAAATGTACCTGCCGTTGATTCTACGGGAAAATATTTGTACGCACGATGACGAATTGCCAATAGTTTAAGCTTCCGCAACATCGCGAAGAGAGATCGTGCAAGAAATTTTCACCTCTTGCGCTGGAATAACGTGCCACGCACGTCGAGAATATTTGGTCCAAAATTGCAGTATTTTCTCAGTTTTAAGTACATTGAAATATAACGCAGGTAAAGCAAATAATAAATTTACTTAGCATATTCACTTCTCAGTAATTTCTATCCAGAGAAATACCGATAAATTCGAAAAGAAGACGAATTATTCTATACGGTTCAGTCACTCGTTATGGTCCGCGAACCAGTTACTAACGCAGGAGATTAAGGGATCGTTGCACGAAGAGTGAATTTCAATCTTCAGGATCATGGCGCGGGATTTAGTTACGTGCAACATTTTTTCAGTTGCCATAAATAATAATGTTCAAGCTTGCAGAATATTTTCAAGAGAGAGAAAAAGCATTTTTACCTATCCCCTTTCGAAATGATGTTCTTCGAAAAGAAAGAATATTGTGAGAGCAGAATTTCTCGCTTCAGAATGTTGGATTGTTCCACTTTTCCATTCCCTTTTTCCTTTCTTTCTTTTTTTTTTCACGAAGTTATGAAAGTTTAAAATATCGACAATTTTTCATCGAGTGTGCGAATACTTTCCGTAGCACGAAATAACCGGAGGTGGTTATGGAAATTCCATGGGTATGTTTGGACGTTGATACATAAAATATAGCGGAATTTACGTACGCGAAAAAAAAAATAGCATGACGACGCGTTCGAGTAATTATAAACTGGTAATTGAGTGCAAATGAACCATTAATATCTCGTTTTAAATAATATAATTTCAACATTTGTTTACATGACAATGGTAATAATTAGATATTAATACAGCTGTCGCTCTGCGTTCCCGGCTTCTCGTTAAATATTTTGTGGAAACGATCACGGGCATAAAACATGCGATCGAGTCGCGTTTAATGTTGAACGACATGAAAGTAGGAAATGTTAAGATAACGTAGCAATTTTATACGAGCGGAGATATGAAAATACAGCTGTACATGAAATTACAAGATTCGTACGGAGCTTTTACAAATGTTATTTAAAAAAAAAAAACGAATGTATGCAAAATAAGAGTATCAATATCGGTGTAACATTTTCTGGTTATTTATATTGCACGGTTAAATAACATTATTTAATTGAAAACATGTTCCTCGGCAAAAAAAAATGTCGATATAGTAAACTTCCATATTTGAACGCCCATTATTCGAATATCGACGCATGTTCTGTTATTCCAATGGAATATGTTATTTTCTGACATTTCCTCTTGTTAGATGTCCTTATGTATGCACGTTATTGAAGTAAATTATTAAAAAATAATGATCGAAATTTATAAGTGATCGAAAAATCGGAGAACATAAATTTTACAAATTCTACAAACTAAATTAACAAAAAATGATCTATCACGTTTGGAAAAGAGTTACGAGCAATCTTGCTTTTAATTAGAACTAAAACGAATCTTTTAAAATCTCTTGAAAATCTGTAGCATATTTTCTTGTCGTTAAAAAGCGTTTAAAAAAAGATAAAAAAGAAAAGAAAGAATAGAAACTCGATCGAAAACGCAGCAACACACGAAATCTTCCAACGATTCATTATCGAGGCATACATTCTAATGAAGGAATCGATATCGCGCTGCTAATGCCAGTCTTTAGAAACGCGATACCGTGTTAGCGAGGCTCACGAAACCATAGTCTGCGATGTAAAACACATATCAGTTGTGAATGCGCGTCGTGAAACATGTAACGTGCACTTGCATTTTTTATTTCCACGTGCAAAAGTCTCGGGACAATTTCTATTCTTAATACTCAGCACGTGTCGTATGTCAATTCATTTATAAAAAAAAAAAAAAAGAGAAAAAAGATTCTGAAGCAAGTTTATAGTTAGTTAGTTATAGAACTTGCCCTAAAAAGCTGAATTTGCAAGTTGTTCGACGAATTTTTTCTCTCCGTGTTCGCGAAATGAAGAAGCAACATTGGTCACAGTTTTAAACCAAAAAGAAAAAAAAAAAAAATCGAACGTCTCGTCGGATTCAAGTAATCGACGGTTTATCGCGCAATCCGATGAATAATCGACACGAGTTTACATCGGTAACAGCGGGGCCACGCGTTAGTGTAAAAAGGATTATACGCGATTTATAAGAGGATTTCCGTGTCTGCCCTGCAGATGTTGATAGAGAAAATCGAATTTTTCTGTACCTTCTTCCATTATTAAATCACTCGAAAGATGGATTCGCTCGCATTAATCGGACATAAATCAAGAGCGATACGTGAAACGGATAACGAGTAGCAATATCACAGTTCTGAAATTTTTAACTCCAAGATGTACATGATCAGACTCCACGATAATTTACATTACTTAGAAAATTGACAAGTGACAAGTTGAAGACATAGATTGTAACAATTTTGAAATTCTGCAAGTAGGTTGGACTCGAGAAGAGCTTCGGTGATAAAAATAATTTAAGATAAACGTGTAATCTAACATTTACGATCTACGTTTATAATTTAACGTAGTAGTCTAGATTTTTAAAATAAAATTGTAATTTTAGACGCAAGATGAGAGTAATTTGAAATAAAATCTAAATTTCTAACATACTAATCTAAACATTTTAAAAATAAAATAAAATAAAATTTATTATATTGAACACGGGAAAAGCTCTAATGATGAAAATAATTTAAAATAAAATCTAAATTTCAAGATTTTCAAAACAAAAATCATTAAAATAAATCTAAAAAATCTAAAAAAGTGAAATATTTGTTGTATCTATTCAAGTCATTGCAAAATTAATATTTATAATATTAAAAAGCTTCATATTCCTTCTTCGTCAACATAATCTGAGTTACATATTTTTGTTTCATTATCTATAGAGTAAAGAGTACTAGAAAAATTTTGTTTTTAATTTAACTTTGCAGCTAGTTAATAATATTCGAACAGGTTAGAAATAAACTGAAGATTCTGCATCTATTTATTATTAATCATTATTAAGCATAAAATTCAAACGTAAAGTTTAATCGTCTAGAACTCACGTTGAGAAGTATTGCGGCGAAGGGGGCTTCTTATCAACAATTACTCGCGGCACAATGCCGAGAAAATGGCGGACAGTATCCGAGTATCAATGGGACAAAAATTTCAAGTTTGCAGCGGCTGGATTCACATTCGGAACACGTTTTACACGAGCATTGCGAGATTTTTATTTTACAAAATCTCCTTTACGAACGACACAAAGGGGCTTTCTCTCCTTTCCGTTTTTATGATATTACACGCACACCATACAGACAGACGTCTGCGCTTGATAGAGAAACAAAGCAGGAAAGAGAGCGAGAGAGCAGAGCAGAAAATGTACTCGTTGGCCCTCCTCTAAATTCGAATGCAATGTAAAGCAAACGGAATGCAAACCAATCCCGAAGACAAGAATCAAGTTACCCGGATATAAAAGAAGCCGAACAAACTTACGGAAACCTTTGGCATGATATACTCTAAATTACGCGAGCAGGGGGGATCTTCCTTTTTCTTCGATTCGCTCAAAGACACCGTGCTAGACCCGGTTCATTTCCATATGTATCGTTCGTAGGGAATTTTACACAGCAGATTGTCGCGAACGACGATACTCTCGCTGGTTCTGGCAAGAAGTTGGCTAAAATCTATTACTTGCAATTCTAACGATCATCTTCCAATATTTGACATATATATATATATATCGTAAAAATATAAATATAAAATGTACCTATGAAAATGTAAAATTTATCACTTGCAATTTTAACGATACAGACAATATTAAATTATTTTCCGAATATTAAATTAATCTTGAAAATGAACAATAATCTGATTAGGATGATAAATGTATTGCTTTACTATTGGAATTAAATGTTCCCCTTTTCGGTTGTATCTTCAATTTTGTTCGAGACCGATGCAATCATAGCTAGGAGTATTTTGTTTGTAATATTTAACAGATGAAACGATCTGTTATTTAAATCGCCTTTTTGGGAAATTGTACGAAAATGCGAATTTACGTGAAATCAGGATGGACGTGTTATACTATCAAAATGTTTCGTGCAATACTCGTAGAAATGTACTCGTGTTCATCGAAATATGAAATTGCACGATAAATTTCCAAATTCGTCAAATTTTCAAAAACAGATGTATTTTATATATAAAATATATAAAAATTTAATTCTTTATATAATAAGAGATATCTATAAAATATATAATATATAATATATATATTATATATATAAATTTATAATTTATATTTAAAATATTATATAAAATATATAAAAATTTAATTCCGTGCATTTTTGCGTCTTTACATTACGAATGATTTATTAACAATTAGTTTTCATTGCCAACCTTCTCTCTTAAAAAATAATTAAACGCGCAAAATTCGTTTTCAGATTTATCGATGTAATCGATGGCGATTAATAGACAGTATTCGTTATTGCACGTAATAATCCACGTACTCTCGGCTCAGGTTCCATAATGTGGAGTATTATGAATAAATTAATGAACGTATTAATTCTGAAAAGAAATTGAAATAGGCTGTTCAATTAAATCCCGCGAAAGTTGAATGGAATCGAAATTACTGTAACACGATTACGTAACATAATCTCCAAAATTGCCTTACTGCGTTCGCGCGTTAAAACTAATTAGATCTGCGTGCAAGAACGACTCACGACCGAGCAATTGAAAAATCGAGAAATATTTGGAAAAATCGACAAACAATACCAACGAGTGAGGAGCAAGAGAGGAGCAAATCTGATCAAATTGGATTCTAAATAAAGTGAATAGTAAAATTCATCCAATGACGATGGAATATTATCGATAATTCAAACTGTTGTGACTTTGTGAAAAAAAAAGATCATATAACAATCTACTTGGTCTCATTTTGAACAGTAAAACAATCTACTTTCACAAAGATAATGTTACAAAAGTACAAAAGATACTTTTTCCTCAAAAATGGTAAAAATTCGAATGATTCTGTAAGAACAATAAAGAAAGAAATTTTTTTCATAACTTTATCCATTATCTTGAAGAGTAACGAAACTCTTAAAACCTGCTGAATGATTTTTTTCACTATTTTATTGAACTTTGATCGTTAGGATTAAACGACGAAATGTTGGGAGCCAATATTCAGAGTTTAATAAAGTGGTGAAAAAAAAATCGTATAGTGAGTTGTGAAAGGGAGACTTCACTCGCCGTGAAAATGATGGTGAATCCAGTGACGAAACAAATTTTTTACTGTTTCTACATATATTCTTCATATTTGATTTTCGCAGTTTTCGAGAAGAAATTATCTTCAGTTTCCTACTTTTTATACGATGTATGATGTCGAAATAGAGAGTCTCTTCTCTAAAATGAAATCAAATGTATTGTTATATGATTTTCATTTACAAAGTTATAAGAGTTTAAATTATTGACAATTTTTCATCGTCATTAGTTAATTTGTATTCCTCATTTGTATCTATATAAATTCAATTGATATAATGATGTATTAAATACAAAGCGTAGAACGAAAAATGAATATATATATATATATACACATAATTTCTTTTTCTACAATATAAAATTAAAAATCTTTTACACTTTTAAAGTGTAAGTTCGACAAAATGCATAATATTTATACAATGAGATTCACGTTTTCGAGAGACGAAATATTATAATTTGTCACGTAATACATGTGGAAAATTATATCTATGAAATATTAGATCAATTTAATTGGGAAACCTGTATGTTAATTAATAAGTGTAATAATGATAAATTGTTCCAGTGTAATAACAGTGTACAGCTAGCTGTTAATACATGTGCATATTTGATTTAAGATTATTAATTATAATTGAAGTTTGCCTGAATGTAATGATCGAGCAAACGGAGACACAACAACAAGAGACAAAATGACACAAGTTAGAAAAATTAATTACAACAGTGAGTTCTTAGAAACTCATCTTCGAGAAACAAAAAAAAAGACAAGTTCATTTTTACCGAGTTTGTAAACAAAAAAAGAAGAAGAAGAAGAAGAAGAAGAAGAAGAAGAAAGAAAAAGCAAAAGCAATCAGTGCCGAACTGCTATTTCTCTCTCGAGCGGAGAGTGGCTTTTTCTTCTTTTTTTCTTTTTTTTTTTTAACCGAATAAGAATCGAGAGACAAAAAAATGGTTCCAAAAGAAATTGGAAACGAAATTAAAAGGAAAATTGCATGGATGTAGCGAGCGCGGCAGCAATGGTGCGAGTAGTAGGCAAGCAAAACAATACAACTCGCCGGCATCAGTCCGTGCAATTTAGTCGATCATGAAAGTAATTAATGCGTTCGACTCTCTCTCTCTCTTTCTCTCTCTGTCGATGTCCTCGTACAGACCGCGGCTGGCGACCAACAGAGAAAGTCTGGCAAACAGAGACGAAAAAAAAAAAGGGAAAATACGGGGGGGGGGAGAGAGAAAAAAAGAGGATTCGGTGAAACTAAACAGAGCCAATTATTACGCGCGTCGTGTTTCGAGGGCGGCTGATAGAATTGAATTGGACGGCATTGTTTTGGGACAAACTGCAAATGGAACGCGGACGTAGCGTATTTATGGCAGTCGATAACGTCGGCTGTTCTCTTCGGGCCATTCGTTTTTTCAAGACGACAGAATAAATCCCCGGAGGGCTCGATATTCCTAATTATATCATTGATCTTCAGTATTTACCGCGATGCGATCGCACAGGATTGCATAATGTTCCATTCATTACCAGGCAGAAGGTATATTGCCAGCTTCGCGTCTGGGTTCCTTTCCCTCTTTCTCTCTCTCCCTCTCTCTCTCTCTCTCTTCCTCCCTTCTGTTTTCTTCTTCTCTTTTACTCTCAAACGCAATGTGCTTTCGAACGCAATTACTCCCCAAGTGCCCCCCCCCCCATCGAGCACGCCCCGATTCAAAATTTTTCTCAATACACCTGCATTACAACAACACGAAAATCCGTGCAACTCGTTTGCTATGCAAATCAACGCGAGAGAAGGCTTCCGCCCGCTTTCTCCCGCGTTGCACGCTGTTGCGGAAATACAAATGAACTTTCGGTACGGTACCGGTTCGAAATCGGATCGAACGAAGGGGAACACTGGGAAGAGCAGTATTAAAACTACGCAACGATGCAACATTAACGAACAACAATAAAGTTATCGTTTGAACGAATAATCGTGAAACGCGCGATCTCATTATCGCTGTCAATAATTTCCCTAGTGAATACGGTAATTTGATTCGTTTCCCCTCTTGTATAATGTTAAACGTCATAATGTTGCACGTAATTAAATTTACCTTACTCGTATGTAAATTAATTAATAACAAATATTAATATAATTTTTAAGCGCACGTATCTAAAAAAACTATGTTCACTTGAAAATTTGTCTACGAGAAAAAAAACAGATTCAATTTCTTTTCTCCCCTTTCGTTTACTTTATCGTTGCAGCAACCGCTCGTAGGGGATCGAATCAGTCAGGTCATAAAATCGCAGTCTGACAAAGCACGCCAGACGATGCGCATCAAACGGAAGAGAAGTAAAAAAAAAAAAAGAAACAGAGAAAAAGAAAGAAACAAGAATGAAGCAGACAGTTCCTCGAGACGTAAATAGCCAGAGTTAAGAATTAGCCGAGAGCACATTATTCTCGCATAAATCATTTCATGGACACGGGCTTTAGGTAGATAATTACACAGACGATATTTTCCACCGTTTCCAGCAGCGGCGGAATCGTTGCAGCAGACGAGTATTTACGGGGAGGTGGACTTAAGAGAAGCGGATGTACCGCGCGCCGGTACATAGTTATTTGTGTTATCGTAAATGCCTGTTATCGCGTCGTACGTCCGTTCTTTCTTACGTCGTCGTCAGAGTCACTAACCTCCTCTTCCCTCTCCTTTCCTCCTCTACCCCCCCCCCCCTCGCCGTGTGCCAGAACGTAAAAAGATTTTTAGAACGTCGTTATCTCGATCGTGTCAAGGGTAATCACGAGTCTCGCTTACTTTATTTTTTTGTTAAAGGTGCAACGATGGTGCTGGTGATGCTGTTCGTGAGCCCACTTCTCTTTGGCCGAGTTTCGCTTTAATCACGATCAGTAACTTGGACGGAGGGGGGGAAGGAGGAGGAGCAGGGGGGGTCTTGGCTCAATTTACAACGAACTATAACTTCGAAGACAGGAGCCATCCAAAATCCTCCATTATTCGTCGTACCAAGGAAAGTGGCTGCATCGTTTGCATCAGTGAAATTGCCAAAGGGGACACACACCGGAGCCCGATCTCCCTCTGAAGATATATACATGGACGCACCAGGACATCGTTGACTCGTTTATATTAGACCTAACGTCACCACGCGCTGACTCGCCCGTTCATTCTCCATCGTTTTACTTACGCACTGGCTATCCACGGAGAAAAAGTATTGGCAATAAATCGATACTCGGTGTATCATTCGCGATGCGAGGTAACCGTGAAGTTTTCGAAAGAGTGTCTAATAGGGATGTCTTGACTAGTGATACGCGGTTGTTATTTATCATTCCTCGGACAGTGTTCGAAAACACTGGAAGATTCTAGATTCCGAATCGATCTTAGTTGTTGCAAAGTATATAATAGATATATATATATATATATATATAATGTAATTTATTTTTGACACGAAAACAGGAATCTATAAATCATTCGTTTCCTCTGCTTAATCAATCTATTTTTTTTTTTTCCCTTTTATTAATATTACGTGGATGATATTACAGGATTCTTTTTTGAAAACTTAAAAGCCATGATGTTCAACGAAGATTCGTTAGGTCTTTACGTCTCTTTGGAACAGAGAGAGAAGGCCGGTATTATCTAGCAACACGCCGCGTACACTCGTTGAAAATTTCATAACGTTTTATATTTACGAACACGAGATCGTTCCCTGTTAGTATACTTAACGAACGCGTACGAAGAGAGGATATTACGAGAGTTGTATAAGTAATGGTATAAATCTATAATTTGTTGTAGCATGACGTACCCAGAAGTGCTGAATTGTTAATGTTTTTCTCCTCGTACGGAAACGAATTTATTAAATCGCTATGAACTATCTGTCCGAAGAATTTATTCGAAAGTCATATACGTATAGTGAGAAAAAAAACCGAGGAAACACGAAAATTCGCCTTCCTAAGTACACTACGAGCATATTTATTATTACATCCTCTATATGACTGTGATGTTTCCATTCCTTCTTAGTTCATTAGAAACCGCGAATACAAGTCTGATTATTAACGCGAACAAAACTGGTGGAGGGGTTCGTAACGCGAACAATAATCGAATCGAATGGTTACGAATCGCCGCTCGAACTAAGTCATACTGATAAAGAAAAAAATGGTTAATTACGATTAACATTCTTGCTAACGTCGGTGTTTCGATATCGTTGAAGAATCAATGTGAAAGGGGGAGTTATCGACACGAATCTCGCGTTGGAACGGATTTAACAATTTAACGCACGTGTTGGAACATTGAGAAACTGGAGATGACTATTGAATCGAGAAATTGAACAGTCAGACATCGTCTGAAGGAAGAGCAATAAATTTAATCGTCGATCGAGAGACGATTACCGAGACTATGCTGGTGTTAGTTCACGAAATAGTTTGAAATAATTTTCTGAAAGTGGTATAGAAAGATGATTCTATTTGTTATGGATTACATACGAGCCGTACATTGAATTCGATTTTGTAGCAACGTCGATGATTTGATAAACCGCTAACAATAACGTCGTTTATTGAAAAGAGAGGACTTGCTTAGTTACGTGAATGTATAAATAGTAAACTAGTAGCAGGTAATGTGAATTGATTGTCATTTTTATTTCAGAATATAAACTACTTATCGCGAATAATTCGAATAATTTTTAATAGATTTTAATAGATCATCATCACGTAAATATTAATCTTCTCCGTTTCTCCAGTTTTTCCCTTAGATTAGACAATGTTTTAAGCCAGCATTTCAACAATAATCGAAAGCAAAAACGCGAGCGAATGGTTGACCATCTAGACGTGCAAGCAACCGCGGTTTAATGAAAAGAAAACAAGAGCAAAGGAGCTGCAAGTTCGGAGACGTTGTCAAGATAAAACGATACACACAAAACTTCTGTGTTCAAACTTCATCCACTTAAGGCGCAATCAATAAAGATAAATGTTTAACGACCAATGCGAGAGTGACGACGGGGAGAGAATAGGGAAATGCATCGGCACATCGGCATGCCGGGGCATACCGAGGCAGAAAGTCATTATCGTCGGAGTTAACGATAGTTTCGCGAAACTTTATCGCACAAAGGTTTGCCACTTTATGCCGGAAAATTATTTCGAACTATAAGCCGGCCAAACTGTAAACTGTAAGCCAGGCCACTTTCTCGAGCTTAATCGCCATAAGCGTAACCAGCAGCAAAAGTGGAATATGGTTTTTACCAATCGTTGCGACCGGCAATCGGGGATACGCTGGTCAACTGGTAACGAACAAATTGAACTAGCGAACAGAAGAGGAGTACCTACGATTGGTCGTTGATGTTCAAAAGTTGAAGCGCCATGAATACATACGAGAGAAGACAAAACTATTGAACTCAATGTCAAGCGTGATGTATCCAAAGGACACATAAGGATAGGTAGCAATACTGTCATTGTGTATGTTAGACTACTGTGGATATTTTTTAATAGGTTTATAATGCGTTGACTACTTCTCCCAAGTTTCTAGTTGATTTGTAAGAAAGAAAGAGATTAAAAAAAAAAGAGAGAGAAAGAGAGAAGAGAGAGGAGAGAGAGGAGTATGACTGTGTATTACGATTTGAACGTCTCTGGTGCGCGTGAGAAAGTAAAAGATAAAGGACTGTACAATGTATATGAGCAGTTGTCACTTCGGTTTATTGTTATTTATATGTTGTCTATGAAGAGATGAATACGGCAGAAAAACACTATTAGGAAGTTGTACACCCGAATTGGCACTATGAAATGCTTCTATGTACCTATCACGTTGTAAATACTGTTATATTTAATCCGTTCGAGTTGCTGTCACAACCAATAATGTATTGTCAAGCTGTTTTATTCCGTACCGGTAAGTTCCAGCAGCACGTGGCGGAGTTTAAATGAAAAACGACAAGTCGTAGTAGCGTCGAGGGCCGAAACCCTGAAGTCTACTAATCCTTTCTGTTCCGTTGCGCACGCTCTATCTAAACTAAAGTCTCCGTTGATTTAGGCAGCGTTGATAAACAGGCGAGTGTTTCGTTCGTTTCGCGTTGCGACCAAAGCCTTGATTGAAAATCGAGACACGCTTGTCGTTTGTATTTTGTATTTTTAGGGGGCTACGTATTAAACAAGCAGAGAATTTGTAAACGCGTACGCGCTTCTAAACACGTAGGCGAGATTATACTTTTCCGCGTCGTTCTATCATTATATCGAGTTGATTTGCCACCAATAAAAAGGAAAAAAGGAAAAATAAAAAAAAAAAACATGCCTAGTTGAGTTTGCGAAGATTAGTGCACTTGTATGCAGTTAAGGGAGGATCTATGTGTACAAGGACGATTTAACTAGTTGAATAGTTATTAAAAAAAAAAAAGAAAAAAAAAACTTCAATCTCTTGCGATTTACGACTCAACGAGCGCTCCGTAATTAGGCAGGAAGTTCAGGAGCGGCCTAGCAGCAAGTTCCTGAGTCCAAAGAAACAAAAGAGAAATAAAAAAAAAAAAATAAACTTTTATCCTTACACGCCGCATATTACTGGGACCTGCGAGTTATCAAAGTTGCGCCTGGGGCGCTCCAAACTTTGTCCTGCGGTTAAAACTGTTCAAAAGCATCGTAGTCATGCTCCGGACAAAGCGCGATCATTGATCGGAGCATCGACTATGGTATCCGCTAGTGGCGGATGTATTTTCTTATTCTGTTTTGAGGCTCTTGCCGGAACATCTCACGCATAAGTTACTGAACTGTAATGCAATCATCGTTACTGTCCTAATAAAACCTTAACATATGACTCTGTACGAAATGTCTGATCATTTCTCTTCACGTGTCACGAGACGATTTTGTTAGTTTCAGTTCTGTTCGGGAAGCACGTATAACGCATCATTAAATCTCTAAATACGACTTAATGTTATCTGAGTTGATGAAGTATTCACGACGTAGTATTCTCGAGTAGTATTTCTTAATTGTGTTTTGAACAAGCAAGTTGCTCTTTGTTTACAAAAATTTCTGTATCTTCCTGGACTGGAACTGGCATTATTCAAAATTTCTCCGCGCTTTCGCACTTTTAATGCAGATTAGCTAATTTAATCACATACATTTCTTCATACGTTTCTTTCCATTACTTGACCAAGTATTTCCAATATATTATTTCAGGAACATGAATAATTCAGAGCATATTTTATTTCTTATTTTTATTCTTTCATGGAAAAGTCTGAATTTTTAACTTTCAGTACTGATATTTTAGAAACTGACAGAAAAGATATTTTCAGTCAGTTTCAACAATAAATTCTCCAGCATTCCACTTTATTAATCGCACTCAAAACTGTGCGCAACGGGTTTGCCGATACGAATACCGTGGCGAAACGACGTTACTTATACTAGCCATCACGTTGCCCGTTTGTATCGAAAACGCCAACCGACCAGAATATCGAGTAGACGGGAACTTCCGCAAACGTTCGCCGCGTAGAGAGAACTGCTTTGTAGATTTACCACAGAAACCTGTTCATCAATTTCACGTCCTACATTCTTCGTTCGCCTTCTTTTCACGCTGATTGTGAGAACCAACGCCGCGGATACTCGTCCAGACGCTGGTTTAAATTCCTTCGTAACTCCGCAAGATCGTTAAGCGCGAGAGGAGAGAAGAGAGAGAGAGAGAGAGAGAGAGAGAGAGAGGATCCGCCCACTTCAATTTAAAGAGCTATGAAATGAGAATACACTCCTCGCCTCGTTGTATAAACGTCCGAGAAGTAAAATTGTTTGAGATAATTATCCGCAGCAATTAGAACGTGGACGAATGTTAGCGCAGCCGGTGAACAAACTCTCGTCGCGACAGTAAAACGTCATTGTACCTTGACAAAATTATTTTTTTCAAGTAGGGAACGTGAGAATACACCACAAAGGACGTGCAAAAGCCTTTTGTTTCTCCAACGGGGATTGGTCACTTGCCAGATGCACGTGCGAAGTACGTAGATGTAACTGTGAGATAAAATGCGTCTGGCAAAACACGTGCGGGAGAACTATGCTAAAAAAAAAAAAAAAAAAAAAAGGAAGAAGAAGAAGTTTGTCATCATTAAATCTCCTCGATGTTTTATTTTCGAGCTATGTTCCGTTTACATTGGAATAAAGTGCGTTAGATTTTATTCTTCTTTTGTGTTTTATTTAGCTAATGTCTGTGCACGGATCTTGTTGGTTTGTTTCAAATAAATTACGTTCCTTCGTCCGTGGTTTTGAAAGGCCTCTTTGTAAACAGACAAATAAAGAAGAGCCAAATGCACGTGTCTTTTACGAATATCACATCTGTGTGTTCAAAAACGATAAAATGGAGTACTTTGCGATGAATGAACGTGTAGAATACGGAATTAAATCAAAATACGCGGTTAATGAAGAGCTACATAGATATCTCAGTTGATAAAAAAATTTAAGATCGAATGTATGTTTTGATTTGTTATCTTATACGACGTTATCAGATAAGATAACCTAGCATACAATGTATTTTTTCGGCCAACGATTCGGGGATCTCAGGATCCCCTTACCATTTTCGTGTCATATCCTACTATACCAACTTTACGCAGGTTTTGCACGATAGCGCCACTAGCACCGACGGAGTATATGGATAGACCTTGTACCTTACGAGGTTTCGTGGCAAGAGATCTGAAATACCGACATAGTAAAAAATAATTGGTTTTTTTAGCGCACTCTACGCTTAAATAACGGTGAATTGGAGATTTACACGAGGTAAAACAATCGAAGATGATCAAGTAGTGAATGCGCCAGGAATATGATTTTTGTAACCCATTAGTGTTGTCAAACTTTCAATACCGAAATGTGAAGCTTGTAACTAACCGAAATCATCTTACTACATATAGGTCAGAAAGAGCTCTATCCATGTTTTACGGATTTATCACGACTCTTAAACGTGACTAAAGTTATTATTAATATGAACAAGGTTATTTCATTCATATATCATTAATATGAATAAAGCTATTCTTTACAGTGTATTTTCTGATACCAACATTCGTTGTAACAATAAATAAATAGACTTCAAGCTCCTAGAAGGCTAAAAAAAAAATAACATAACTTTGGGAAATATTTTACATGTTTCCATGTGCCACTTCCGGTATCAAAACTGCCTCGGCACTCATTGTCAGTTCTCTCTCAAAAGAGATCCACGTATAAGTCGCGATTCTGTGACAAACACGTTTCTACAAAATTCTACAAAGTTCCTTGATCGCAGCTTCGAGAATTCATAATCGATTGAACGTGTTGAAAAGAGCAACGGCGTCGCGACGCTCCTCCGACAATACGCTATCAGGGTTACGAGTAGAGTACATACATACGTGAGTCAGTCGGGAGAATTCGGGTGTTTTCGCAATGGCTGATCGGCCACAGCGTCCCCTCGACGGGAACGAGATTACATCTATGCCATCGCATCGATTTACTCGTACTGGCAAGTCGCTCGTACGTACGGTCGGCGCCTGGTGGAACACGGGAGAGAGGTTGGCAAGGAAGAGAGGTGCGCGATCGACGCGCAGAAAGACAGCAGAGACGTTGGAGTGTGAATCGCGCGCGTGTGCAGTGCGGTGTATCGCGTGAAGGAGCCGAGCTGAGCTGAGCCGAGTTGGTCGTGTTGTGCGTATGCGTGACCGGCCGTATGGACGAACTTGAAGCCGAAAGGGACGAAGGTGTGCGAGAGTAGACAGAGCGGCGGCGGCGAGCGCGGGCAAACGCAGGTCGGCATTGGCGAGCACGATTAGCCGAAAACGCGCAGTCGCGTGGTGGATCCTGTCGGGTGGGAGGCGATCAGCTGTAAGCACGCGAGGAGCGAAATGTTCGTCCTGCAGAGGTCTATATTGTGAGTACCAGAAAAATTTTTGCACAAATCGCGTACGTAACGAGCGAAACGGGCGCTAACGGGCTCGATGGTGTAGCCTGGCTCCGCTTGCACCCGATGCACGAACAAAAGAAGGGTAACACGCACGTGCGCGCCTGTCGGATACGGATCGTCGTCGGGAGAGTCCGGAAAATGCCAGCGAAATTTGCGAAAAGGGCCGTTGATAACCTAGCTTCTGCCGCAATGCAGTGCTGAAAATAGGAACGCACTGGGTATCCCTAGTCGATCGATACCCAGGCTACGTTGCCCGTAGTTCTCTGTGGTTCTCTGTGGGACAGTGGCCAAACGAAATTCGTATCTCGCTCACGTCCGGACGAACCTCTAAAATTTTCTCACTTCTCGCAGGCTCTTTGTCTTTCCCTTTCCATTTCGTTCACCGGCTATCCAATTTTCGCCGGTAAACGCCTAAAGATCAGTATACGTTTTTACACGCTCCGTGTCGCATTCTACGTCTGCCCTTTCTTCTTCTTCTTCCTCCTCCTCTCCTCCTGAGAGCGCGTCGGTTCGTGAAACGTGCCGATTGACACTTGACGGAAAAAAAAAATTAAAAATTCAAGAGGAAGAGAAGAGTGTCCGCGTTCGCTGGTAAAATTCCGTAAAAACTCGTGTTCTTACCATCGTGTCCTTCAAACCATATATTCATGAATGAACAGCGCGATGAATTCATTAGCACGAAACGGTTCGTCCGTTTGATGCCCCTTCGGGCATACCTGTCGTCCTAACGAACTTTTCCATCGATCGTCGCACGTGTCGAAAGGCTATGTTACAAGATTTCAACGAATCCGGATTCTTTTCAGCCTGTGATCGTCTTTCATCAAACCGAACATATGCTGCGTCGTCGATCTATTTTTGTTACCTGACGATGTTAGGCGTTGTTCGGCGTGTTCCTCGAAATGTGTGATACTGCGTTTTCGTGGAAAGACGCCGATGTCGAGTTGAACGTCCTCGCGTTTCGTATATTCCTCTACGTTCGTTGATTTTCCCTGTACTTTCGTAAAATTTTTAATGTAATCTTCGAAAATGAAAAACGGATGTATTATTGTTCCGTTTGCGATGTATAAACGAGAGATTGCTCGGATTATTTTTTTTTTTTTTTTTTCGTTCCACGAGATATTATCATTGTAACACCAAGAGTGTACTACATATACTTGTTTACATGACTTTAATGCATTCTTGCTCGTATACATTAACTGATTGTTAGTCTTGACATGGCATACAGATTGAGGCTTTGTGTGAATAATTGTAGGTGTGAAACATTATTCACACGTGCGTAGAATATTTAAAAGGAAAAGATAGACTGATACGAATGTACGTACATTAAATGTGCTTTAAATAAAAAGGAAAATTTTAAATATAATGTTATTATTATCCTAATTTTTTGTATAACAACGAAATTTCATTTTCATGTTTTTAAGATTATTTCGAGTTATTGTGCTTCATTTCACTAGCTATTGTTTTACAAGATAAGAAAATCTATCTACGAATGACCTTCGAGTAATTCATGATCAGTGGAGAACGGGGAGAGTTTAAATAGATATCTAGCGTAAACTACAAAGGTGACCTATAAACACGAATTAGCAGATATCTAAATTGTATTTTCTTATTTGAATATTAAATATTTATCTTTTAGTGATAGATACTTGAGCACTAATAGCTCAACTTAAGATAAAAATCAAATTAGATACTAGAAATTTGATCGAAATGTTTTTTTATTGAAAGGCTCTTCAATTCAATTAGACAGCGATAAAAATCTGAAATGTCTGTACCCTTTTATTTCTCTCTTTATACCATGTCCGCGAGAAAAGTAATAAGAGTTATCTAGAAGGTTTTCTCCTTATTCAACACAGTTATTTTATGCACGTGTGATTGCGAGCAAATCGTGCAGAAAAATTTCTTCGTATCGATTACAAACGATTGGTTATCGGTAATCTTTAGACATTGTGGCACTCGACTATGCCATTTTATACTCGACGAAACTATGTCGCTGTTTTATGTAATGTATTAAATCGATTAGCTTACATAATACGATTAAACTATCGTTTTCTCTTTGGGCGGTGTAGTTCAATTTCGAAAAGTTCATGAAATGTCACTGAAACGTCAAGTTTTTGTATATGCTTTGAAATAATTCACGACATAGATTAAAACAGAAAAATGATAAATGGTTGAAATTACTAAACTAATGTCAACGTCGTTTAATTTTAATACTTTTATCAAACATATTGAACACCTCGATGCTTCTTCGTCATGTGTTTCTTTTTCAAAGAATATTTGTAGAACTTGATACACTACGTAGTTAATGCTAACAATAATTATCATTTCGGCAAGTGCAAACGCTTAAATGCATCTTTGCACGTTGTAACAAATTTCTGAAAATAATCCCATAAAACATATTGCTGTTTCATTTACACATACAGTGAGCCAAGTCGCGTACAAGTGTTTCGCGAATTTGGTTGAAAAAAAATTGTAGTCCTCCGTGCGCAAATGTTCGTTATTCCTGGTTTTACAATAAACGGTAATTTACAAGCACATGTGCTTCCGGAAAGTGACGTCATTACTGTCGCGTATGTGGCTGCACCCAGTTGATGACGAGGAAACCGTAATGACCAAGGTCGTCATGTGGATAGAGGGCAGGGCTGATCCCACAAATGAGTTGCGTAAAGAGGCTGTCAATTCAGTAGAAAAAAAGAGTAAAATCTTGAACATTGTCGCGTTAACAGTATAATTACATTGACATTTTTACATTTTTATATTTTATAATTATAATTATATATATATATATATATATATATATATATATATATATATATATATTTTATAATTTATAGATAGATATAGTATAATATATATATATAGATTTTATATTTTATAATTATATATATAGATATAGATTATTTTATAATTATATATATAAATATATCTAAATATATATAAAAATATATAAATAGATATTTATATATTTATAATTATATATATAGATTTTATATTTTATAATTATATTTTATATTTTATAATTTTTCGTGAGCCTCGTAAATTTTTTAGGCTAAACGCACGTGCATCGGTTAACAACGCGATGATATATTATTAAAGCAATTACCTTAGTGCCAAAAATTTTGAAAAATTATCAAATGGAAAAAAAATCGATTCGTTATGAGATAAATGTTGACAAATGTATTGATAATTTTTTTTCAGACATTCGACAAATTCTTATTAAATTAATAGGATACTTATGAAATAATAGTAGATATGGGTACCGACATATTTTCCAGAGAGTCATTTCTTAAAATTTGGCCGCATGCCATTGAAACAATAATAGATTACCCTGTTCTCTTTATAGAAATGCAATAACGTTGTTATTGCATTAAGTAACATATGTATGTATGCTTGGAAATATCTGCCGTTATTACTTAACGACCGTGCTATGAAGTTTGGCCGTGTTAAAAGTAATGCAGCTGGGAACGAGAATTTTGATCCTGCCTCTATCTATAATGCAAAGAGTGATCAATTGCAGTCACGCGTTTAACTCCGCAGTTTAGTCCTAATCGGATCAAACCGATACGGTTTTATTACACAATGTCCAGTTATTATCTATGACTCATAATATAATCGACAAATCTCGACGGATTCAAGCATCAGATAAAAGTACAAATGTATGCACTTGACTGTCGTTTTCTGAAATTATCGTTCGTATTAAAGCGAGCATGCAATCCACCGGACAACCCGTTCGAAGTGTATCACGTACGTTTGAACGCACTTTGTTGCTTTATATATTTAAAAAAAAAAAAAAATCTTTCAAAACGAACGTAATTAACTACGATTTTTTTTAATTCAAGAAAGTGAAAATTTCTTGAACAGTTTGCAGATTTCCCGCGGACAGTGCAATTTTTTTTTTGACTCGTAACGTTTTCTTTGCCAGATCATTGCCAGTCTCTGAAAACTCACGGTTTGTTACGACGAACACCTTATGTACGATTATGAATATATGATCAAATGACAGGGTATCGCGTTATCGACATTCCGCTCGATTTCTCTAGTTGCATTCAACGCGTCCTTAATCGATACGAACCCTCCACTTTGACATTTTCAAACACCCGGATGGTTTGATTTACTACGAGTTAACGTGTTGCATGTATGTACTTGCGGTCCTTTCGTGCCCTCGTGAAAAGCCGAGTGTATTTAATCATCACGGGTCGACGTTTGATCTTTACTGAAAGTTTTCGACGTTTGATCTTTTTCTTATAAGTTTTCGATTTACATCAAATACACTGGTAATAAATTTTGCTAAATTTGTTACTGTCAATTGTTTCCTCCTTGATAATAAAGGAAATTTCTTTCTTTACGGCGAGGTTGGTTTACGGCATTTTACACAATTAGCTTAGTTTAGTTCGAAAGCTTACTATCAAGGGTAAGTTGTAGAGAAACGAGGATTCACGATCTCCAATTAGGCTAACAATTTAACAAGTATCATACCTAAATCCTTTTGTACAATTACTTCTAAAGTAAACTAAATTATTATAAGTTGCTGGTAACATTAGCGAATGACAATTCATTCTTGCTGTAATATTAGTAATATTAGGTCGGTTATGCAAGAGGATCCTGAATATTGTGACTGAATTTATCTTAGTTCTTCATCTAAAAACTACTTGACAAGTTTACAGCAGTTCAATTTTATTCTTTCGATCTCATTTAAGTCGTAGAGATACGCTGTGAACAAGATCGTGATAAAGTTGAGCACAAATTTCCTGAATGACGTTAATAGGCATTGAGTTTTAACTTGTTCTCACGCGTGTGCTTTCGTCGAACAAATGACTCATTCATTCAGTTGAACGTACGAATTGGCACGCGTTTCTGTTCATAAACCAGCGGATGTTTTAATTTTTAGAATTATCCTGGAAACTAGGAAACGAATAGTTGTGTTAAATGAAGCGAGAGAATGTTTAATATTAAGCTTCCATTATTCGAAAATTTATTTCTTCGAATGGATTAAGTGTAATTGTGAAATATTGCAATAAATTAGATAAGCATGTGACAATTACTTGACGATCGTTGCCGTTACAATATTATTTTTCATGTAAAGTTCTGTATGAAATTGTAAAGATAATTCGCGGAAGAAACAGGTGAAATGATTATTTTCTTACGTGTAACAGGTCCAGCAGCAGAAATTGTGCAGGATCATGGGCACGGATGCTACCACCTACGCATCCTGCCGCGAAAGATATTCTATACAAAGAAATCCACGAAGTATGTGGAGATGTGGTACCTATCAATATGGTGAAAGGTATTGGCCATTTGAGAGACCCTCGACTTAATAAGGTAACTTAAACTCTTCTTTATTATCAAATTCGTCTTGTCAAATATTTTTATATTTTCTGTTTCTTTTGTATCTTCTATTTAGCGTTCAACTCAGGACAAAGATTTATTCGATATCTATTGTCGCATACGTATGTTTGCTAATCACACAGATTAAATAGAAAAAAATTGTGTAAATCTATTCTGTACTCTGTATTCCATTCAAATTCTAAATTTAAATTGCATTAAAATATAATTTCAATTTTGTTAAGTATGATTGAATGTATTGTGTTATAAACTTAGTTCACTTTCTTATCCCATGATTTTCAATTTATCTCGTACTATGTTTGCGCTATTGATTAACATTGAGATATTGAGTGATTATTCTTCGAGTCTCAACTTGTGGCTAAAGGCACTTGTTTTATTGCGCTATATACTGTCGTGTGAAATCGCATATATTACGTAAAAATAATTTTCTAATATATTTGCGTATTAAATCTGAAAAACTTATTAAAATTTTTTTTTTTATTTTAATTATTCAAAGTCTTCTTTCTTCTGATAAGATCGAGAAAAAATAAAGATTATTTTTTACCAACGACCAAGTATATAATAAAGTTTCCCCATTACGAAAAACAAGTATCTATCACAAAAATGTACTTCACTGAAATACATAAGATTATAATTATTTTTACGCAGGGTCTGGCATTTACTTTAGCAGAAAGAATATCCTTAGGTATACACGGCTTACAACCTCCAAGATTTAAAACTCAGGAAGAACAGCTGGCTCTGTGCAAGGCTTCAGTCATGAAGTACACCGAAGATTTAAATCGGTATCTTTATCTCGTGGAACTGCAGGTAAAATAAAACAAAAAAGAAAAAAAATGCGATCGCTACAATATTTGAATAAAAGTTTACGTCTTTTGCTTGCAACATTTTTTTGTTGAATTAATAGAAATGACGATCAATTCCTGAATGATCCTTTAATGGTTTGAATAATTATTCCTCTTGTATGTTTCATAGGAAAGGAACGAGAGATTATTTTTTCGTCTATTAAGTGAGAACATCGAACAAATGATGCCAATTGTTTATACTCCTACTGTTGGATTAGCCTGTCAAAAGTTCGGCGTTATCTATCGTAGACCTCGTGGATTATTTATAACAATATACGATAAAGGCCACATTTACGAGATCTTAAACAACTGGTTCGTATATCATAAAAGCGTAATAAAGTTGTCTTGGATTACATTATCGCAATTTTTACTCTAGTTACTTGAAAATCGTCCGAATAGTACACATTCCAAGTATTCTACGTATTATTACTCACATAACACAATAATTGTTACCACACACTCATACAACGGGATTATAAAATTTTACACGAATGTAATTTACGATATAATTTATATTTAGGCCTGAGCAAGCGGTTCGAGCAATTTGCGTAACAGATGGAGAAAGAATTCTCGGTCTGGGTGATCTCGGAGCTTGTGGAATGGGAATTCCAGTAGGAAAATTAGCTCTGTACACCGCTCTGGCTGGCATAAAACCGCATCAGTGTCTACCAATTACCATTGACGTTGGCACAAATAACGAACAGCTGAGAAACGATCCTCATTACATTGGTCTTAACAAACCGAGAAGTCAAGGTGCTGAATATGATGAATTGATTGATGAATTTATGGCTGCTTGTGTGAAAAAATATGGTCAAAATGTTCTTATTCAAGTACGCTTATAAACGACGCTCACTACTTTCCTTCATTTCGGCCACGTGCAATGGATATTTCATGCTAGTGTATTATTACAGTTCGAGGACTTCGGGAATCACAATGCCTTTCGTTTCTTAGATAAATATCGTGACAAGTATTGCACGTTCAACGATGATATACAAGGCACTGCCGCAGTTGCAGTTGCTGGTATTTTGGCATCAAAAAGAATAACCAAGAAGCGTATGTGCGAAAACAAATTCGTGTTTCTGGGTGCTGGCGAGGTATGGCAATGCTTTATATCGTAAAAAGATTACTATTTTCACGATCATCTTTATTTTGGCTAAATTTATTCTACTTAATATAGGCAGCTATTGGAATAGCTGATCTTTGTGTTAAAGCGATGGAAGCAGATGGTTGTACCGAGCAGGAAGCTCGCGATAATATTTGGATGATGGACATTGACGGACTGTTGGTTAAAAATCGACCAGAAGGTAATCTGGAAGGTCACAAAATTTGGTATGCAAAAGATCATAAAGTGATGAAGTCATTATTGGAAGTTGTAAAGGAAGTAAAACCAACTGTTTTAATTGGTGTGTAATTCTTTATTTATCGACATATTTTGATCTCTATCTAAAGTAGAAATATTAATTTATAGGAGCTTCAGCAGCAGCGGGAGCATTCACTCCTGAAGTCTTGAAAGAAATGGCCAAGAATAACGAAAGACCGTTGATTTTTGCACTGAGTAATCCGACCAGCAAGGCAGAATGTACAGCTCAACAAGCTTATGATCATACAGATGTATGAAAATTATTTGTATTGATGAAACTTTATTCAAAGTATGATGCGAGCCGTCGTAATGTTTTTTACAATATTTCATAATATTTTTCTATATTTCAGGGAAGATGCATTTTCTCATCGGGTTCTCCATTTGGTGAAGTGAAGTATTGTGGAAAAGTTTATAAACCTGGACAAGGAAATAACGCATACATTTTTCCTGGAATTGCATTAGGTGTCATCGCGACTGGAGTTCATCATATTACCGAAGATTTATTCCTTATCTCAGCTCAAGCTGTTGCTGATCATGTGAAAGATGAAGATCTTGAAGTGGGTAGTCTTTACCCGCCGTTAGGCACTATACGTGAATGTTCAATTGATATTGCTGTTCGAATTGCAAACTATGCTTATGCTAGAAGTAAGTACTTTTATTTTATTTGAATTTAATTCATATCAAAGAAATGCTTATACAAGCGGTGCTTAAACTTTTTACTGCCTTTGGATACCTTATCTATAGTAATATTAAACTTTCAAATGTGACTTTGACAATATGTCCGATATTATTTCTCACTTCAGCTGGATTGGCAAGCGAATATCCAGAGCCAAAAGACAAACGGCAATTTATTGTAAGTAAAATGTACGATGCCAACTATGACAGCCCACTGCCAAATGTTTATGACTGGCCAGGAGATTATGCCAAACCTCGTGTTTTGCCGGATAAGTAAGTATTATATTTCTTTCTTAAAATATGTAATTCCATCTAGCATTTTTTTATTTTATCACGAAAACATCTTCTTTCAAAAAGGGAACGTTTTAAAACGAATTTTCAGATTTTATTTACGAAGAAAAATGATTTATAGACAGATAGAAAATAATAATATTAGAATCCGTTTAGAAAAGTAACAGTGCCTACAGGAAATAGTGAATTTAGAGATAAACTGTATCAGTATCATGATAGTAGCTAAATATCTACTCAGTGAACTCATTAACGTGCATGTGGCTTTCTAATCCTATTTCTATCTTTCTTGCAACAGCGCTTAAAAATCTAGCATTGTTTTATTTCGTATGTTAATTCTGTTTAATATTTTTCTTCGAAAAATCTAATGGTACTTAGGAGCTAAGTTTGTTTCCTGGTGTAATTAATTACGAATGTAGCTAGACATGAATGACCGATATTACGCTAGCGCATATTCATCATCTTCTGCAAAGAAAAAATTATAGAATATTATTTGTTAATTCCAGAAAAGGAAGGAGATCGAATCGAATATTTTTTCTTCGCAGAGCCAGCTTTCATAATAACCGCATAGTATACGCATTAATTATTTCTTTGTATGTTCAGTTATTTCTTTGACATTTTTTTTTCTATCATCAGCTCGTTGCTCATCTGTGCGACTCCGGTGCAGGCCGCTGAAGCTTAATTAATTTTTTTCAGAGACACTGTAGAAATCCGCCACGATTTAAAACATCTGTAGCGGATTTCACCAAGCGGGATATTCAGAGGCTATCATTATTACCATTACCGATAAAAAAATATCGCTATGTCCTGCATTGAAACTATAAGACAGATCGTGACACAAGTACAGGCAACAGTGCGGTTGTAAAACAATTTTAGCTGTAAGGACTGTTACACTCTGTCAGTGACTAATGCCAGTGCTTTAACCATATAACTTGCACGAAGTGTTAAACACAAGAAACAATGACATAGTGCTATTATTACAGCATCGAATGTCTCGTAAGCTAACATTGCAGTATTTTAACGTCCTCCTTCATTCCATATGCAGTATTAGGATTGTTAGTTTATCGTTTGAAACCGTGATAGATATTAACCACTGAAAGTATTTAAAGAAAGTTTATAATATTGTTGTTCACTTTTATGCCCAACATTTATGTTATGTTATATAAGAGCAAAACAGTAATTTATTGAAATACGCCCGCATAGTACACTTATGGTTTTACAGTACACGTATGTATATGTATGTATGTATATATATTTATACATATATAATGCAGCAAATACATATTTGAACGGTGAAATTTTTCAATCGTAAAATTGATAAAAAGTAAAATGAAAAATTTCACGAATACATAGATATCTATATCTAAATTTTAGTAGAAATTCCATTTTTCCATTTATTTTCAGTGTTTCGAGGATTTTTATCTTTTAGAGATAAATCTTTTTATCTTGTCATTTTATATATAACATTATTTTTGACGAATTAGAAACAAATCTTAAATACATTGTACTTTATGTTTAAGATTACCTGATTTTTCCTTTACGAACGATGTCCATCGAAAATCTCCTGTCATCCTAAAAAGCCAACATACCTCACCCGAATGAAATCCCATCCAAATTCAACAAACGTACAATCCAAAGATAATTGGTGTACACGAGGGACGCTTCAGCGCTATCGTATTTTTAGTTTGCCATACTTTACATATCTATATACGTTATTATTAATACTGAAATTGTAAAGAAACTAAACTTCTCCATAAATGGAGGAAGGAAAGAGATCGCAGTGAAATTATATGAAACAACTGTCATTTGTGTTATATAAATACAGCGCACTTGCAATTAGCATCCATTTTTAAATCAATAGACGAACCAATTTATCTTACGTTTGCTCAAGTATATACATTCGCAGTAAACTATGCGAATAATAATTTTACGGGTAAAATATAAAGTTTCAAGCTATCGATCGCACACGCCGACACAGTCGGGAGCTAGTTTCGAATTTGTGTGTTATATATAAAAAGTATTTTACGAACGATAATAGGATCACTAGATATTTCAATATTCTGAAGTACAGATGCAGATTACGTGTTGATTGTTCCTGAAACATTTTCGGTGTTTATACTTTCCGGACAATTGTTGTATAAAGCAACTCTATACGAATCAAATGGTGCGACCTATTTTTCTCTACGTATTGAAGAGTGTCTATTTTTCGTGAGGGGGTATTAATAGCGCTATATATAGATGTTAATATCCCATTCTAGATTTGTAACGGTGTATTTTATCGAACTTCGCATGCTGCACAATATATTTGAATTTTCGGAAAAATCTGATGAAACGTGTACATGCATAAAATATGTTTGTATGTGTCGTAATATATAATTAACCGCTAGTTAGTCAAGATGCCGGTTATCGAGCGAACATGTACGCGTAAGAATGTTTGCTGCTATCAATGTAATTGTTTACTTTTAGAAATTAAAACGTTACAATGAGTTTAGCCAAGTGACGAAGTGATAAAACTCGGTGTTGAGTTGAGTGGTTTTATTAGAGTAGTTTTATTAGAAAAGGATGTATTTGCGTTTCAGTTTGATTTGACGATGTAGCTGAGAACAGATACAGATCGTCACTTAGTTAAGCATTGATAAATTATTATTATATCGTTACTAATAGTGTTCTTCTCCCAACAGATTATGACGTGTTGGCGAGTCGAAAGACAAGACGACTGCTCTGATGTATACACACTCGTTTTAAATTAATTGAAGTCAAATTTCAAACAGAATGACTCAAAAGATGAGTACTACCATAATCCTTTTATTCTGTATCATCAATCAGGAAATTCAATTTTTTAGTCGAGCTTCTTTACACATTGATGCTTCGTACTTATTTATTATTAACATTTAAGTATCCGGGGATTTTGCAGGCAAAAGCACGCACTAACGCGCGCGATCGGGTATTAGAGCCCGTATTAATGCGTGACTGGGTGTTTAAATGTTAATTTAAAACAATAATTATATTTTATGACTGTATGTACATGTAGGCTGTTCACTAATTTCAGATTTCCATGTCTCTATTTATTTTATTTATTTGTAACCTTTTTATTTTTACTTGTATTTAAAACAAACGATTAATACATGTAAATCAAAAAGTATTATTATATTGTGATACATTGTATTGAACATTTAAAGAAGAAATTAGTGGATAGTTATTGCTTGCAAAAATTGTGTCCCGTATATATGTGCATATATATATCAATGAGACATTGTTATTTATGTTAAATTTTCTATTAATGTATTAACAACCCTTTTTCCAAAAACTTAAGCAATTGTATGGAATTTAGTATAATTATATTATATTTTTAAAAAACGATAATTATAATCATCAAAAATGTAAAAATTTCTTAACATGAAGATATCTTCTGTCCCGCTAGGTACATTATATAAGGCCACATAAGTTGTCACATCATTTCTTCAGTTTCATATTATATTAACAAGCACTATGATTAAAAAAGAGGCAGGAAAGCAACATTGTAAAAACTGTATTTTTTGTACTGCATCGTAATTGTCACTTTTAAGTTAAGTAAATATATATGAATCTAAAAATTCTGTCAGAAGGTTCCTATGTGTTATGTGAAATAGAAACTTTGATGAACAACATCGATTTGATTATTACTGCCACATCACAAATGTAACAAAACTGGATTATACTGTGTGTACACAACTGGAACGAGAGAAAACTGAATTTAAGTTAGCCAAGTACAACTATGTGCTCATTAGAATTTGTTACTGAATGTGTACATTATACACTAAGGCTATGAATAAATGTTAAATTATGATCGTTAGTTAATGCGTATTTATTCCTGCTTTGATTCTTCAATGAAAAATACTTTCGGAGATAAAGTGTAAGAAAAATGATTATTTTCGGTTTATTAAACAAAACTTTATATGAAAAAGATTCAATAATGTACACAATTATAAAAATTATTCTTCTTATTAAATACGTATATCCATTGCTTTTCACACATCTATATATAAAATTTATCTGTGTACGAGATACTAATATATTCCAGCCATTATACAAGAGGCAAATCGGACCAATGAATTTTAATAAATTCATCTTATACTGGTTTCACATTTGTTTTGAACACTTCAGTTTATCCTCTGAACTCTAGTACTTAAAGCGAACTGTATTTAAACATTCAATAAGTAGGAGTCTTGGGATCATCTTATAAATAATAGTGTAGAATTATAGCATATTTATTTAGGCACTATCATCAGAAACATTTGGTTCATAATCAGGATCATCATCATCATCATCTTCTAATTCCAAATCATCAAGATTTTGAAACAGACTCTCATCTACTTTTACAGAATCTAAGAATTTAACAAAATCAACATTACATTTCCTTCAAATATGTTTTATACTGTGACTATTAAATTAAATAAATTAAGCATTTTAAAACCATACCATCATCTAAGAACTTCAAGTCCGATTGATCCAATGTTTTATCAGTCATAAACAATTCTCTACCAGTTAACTTTTTTCCTTCTCTATCAGCCATCTCTCTTCTTTTTGTGAATCCCATTCTTTCATCAAACTCTTCTTTCCAACTTAAAAATGTTTCAACCGTAACTCTTGTTCCCTCGAATTTTTTCTATGACAATACAAAAACTTTTTATGTAATAACTCCAATAAGATCATTCTTGCTTCAATACTTTTCGTGACGTTATATTTTTATAACGTTAAATAAATATATATATATATATATATTACCCTTTCTGCTTCTTCTTCTTCTCTGAGTTTTTGTGCTGCACTCTCTTCTCTTTTTAATTTAATTTTATCCCACTGTACATTCAGCCATTCCTGAGCAGCACTGACTAAAGTAAATACCATAACCATTCCAAAGTTTTCATTCATTTGTTCTATTAAATGTTCCTTTAATTTTTCAGCACTTCCTTCTTCAAAGTTTTCATGCTCCTCTATCGATATAAGAAGTGATTCATCTGGATATTTTTCTGTATATGTAAACTCCAACCGACAACTAAGACCATTTCCTGTACCTGGTTCATATTCTTCAGTTTTAATTGGTATGGAAAATGTATAAAATGGTTCTGTGGCTAAAACTGAATAAGAAAATATTCTATTTAAAAATAATCTCAAAATTGAAATTAAAATTGCAGCTATCTGACATAGATTTATTATTTCACTAAATTAACTATGAGACAGGTAAACAACAATTATATGTTATCATGTATGAAACAACACTTTATAAAAATTAACTTATAGGTTATTGGACAACGCATACATACTTTCTAATTCTCCACAATAAATCGACTCTAAAGCCTCAATCTCATTGTGCTGTTCTTCTTTATAATCCATGGCGATTAAAATAAAATTAAAATTATTAAAAATGTATTATGTGTTTAATTGATTATTTGTAATAAATTGTAAGGAAACATGATACGTGACCGCACTGATGAACGGCGCTGTATAACGAACGAAATATATAGTTATGTTTGGTAAGTATACTGCGTAGCTGGAAAGGAGACGAGTAACAGAAATGCGGGTTTAATTGGTTGATTCGAATAGATTCAATATAATCTTAAATATAAGGACACCTATTGGCGGAAACAAACTGCTGTATAGCACAGCGTGTCAGTAAGTAGCCTTTTCTCTGCTTCTTCTCCGTTTCGTTAGTTATCTCGTGAATTTATGTGAACCTACGTAAACGAAACGATAAGTTAAGTTTTTCTTTTCTTATAATTTATATATCTTGTAATTTAATGTAATTTAATATTTATACGAAAATTTCGATGTATAATTGTGCAACGTTATCTTTTGAAATAAATAAGAATATTTATCAGAATCAAATTACATATCAGTGAAAATAGAAGTAAGTACACAATTGAATTGAATTGTACGTAATGAAACGTTTCTTTTTTTCAAAATAATTTCCATTGCGTTTATTTTTGTTTTAATGTACAATGTTCGATGCACGAAATAAATTTAAATTTTAATTAACTGTTATCATCGTTATCAACGTAAAGGCATAAGATAACCCTACCGCAACTCTAAGTTTTCTGGCTTAATCTCGCTTACGTTTCAACATTTATTAAAGCGTATTTTTAATGTTTTAATAAATATTAAACATATTTAAATAAATATGTTTTATATTTAAACAAAATATGTTTAAGAGATGTTTAAAGAAAAAATCACGAATATTAATCAAACGATTCTTTCTAATTTTTCTGAAATTACAAAAATTTAAAATTTTGTCAAAAATGATCCAAAGGGGGCAGGGAAGTTTAAATATCAAATGCAATAAAAATTTAAGAATAGATTATATACACATAATGCGAAGATGTTACAAAAATATTAATGATGCATTGAAAGAATTTTTCGAATCAAATTTAAATTGTATTCAACGAATGTAACTTGACAAACATATTGTGACAATAAAGTTTTTGCAAGGATCCTCCCAAGAAGAGAATGACTAAAATCTGGTTGAATTGCATTTTGGATATACTGTGGTGGTAACATATGAGCAATTGTGATACCTCTTCATATATGATACATGAGCAGTTATGATACTTAAAATGTCATCGACGATATTGTAGTAATTATAAGAATACAGGATGATTCTAAAATCATGTTACATCCAAAAAAGAGACGGAGATTATATTGATTAATTATTGAATTACAAAATTTCTCATGTAAAAGTAAGTCTATGTAAGTACTTATTACTAATTCAACCAATCTGAATTGGTTGGTCGTTAATTTATATTCAATGTTTTATAATATTATGATATTATAAATTATAATATTTTGTAATTCAATAATTTATGTTAATTAATCAATAAAATTATTCAGTATTTATATTCAACATTAGTACCACAATTTCGAAATCATCCTACATGCCTATAGTAAATACTATAAGCAACAAAGACTATAACATTAGCCGCTCATAGATATTGGAATTCTTGCCGCCCTAAATCAGTCGATTGAATGTAAGTAATAAAACACTAAACTAATAACGATCAGCTACCAACATTTCAAGCAGAGCATAATGTTAATACTCGTGCTAGCTAATTAAAACGCCTAATATTATATATAAAAGGTTCTTGTTATTACCAATCCTGCGATATTAAAGCCCCAGTAATTAATAGACTATGGATCGACAATATCGATTGAAAAGTCAAGATAATCGAATTAATCCTTTAACAGTGTAATAAAATGATGAGGAACGATTTAGAAAATAATTATCTCTGTATCCTTCACTCACGTTTCTGATAGCAAAACAGAGATGATCGAGTCACTTGAGCTTCAATGTTTTAAAATTCAATCTCGTATTAAATAATCAATTTTACGGACATTTATGAGACATTGTTAATCTTTTATATAATGGCGAAAGAAAAATTATTTAAAAAGTATTGTTGAATCACACGAATTGCAAGACAAATTATTTAATTCAATTCAAATAATCCTGCCTTACCCTATCGAATACTCTGCGCTGTTAAAGGATTAACGATAATAAATGTCGCATTGTTCGCGCGAAAAATCGAATTATACATACGTGTATAAAAAAAGTGCGCGAAGTTAAGTACATACAAGTATTACGTAAAGACGGATCTAACATTACATTCTAAATTTATATTAACCTAGGATTGAAACGGCCTATATGAAGTATGAGACCAGTTGGATTGTGCCGTACGAAATAAAGGAATGGCTGGTCCAATCTCAATCTAGGCTTCTCCTCTGATCTCTCTACATTTCTTATTCTCTCCTTGAGCGAAACTGTACGATAGTTCTCCGACTTTGTGTCGACGGTCCGTCTTATTCTGCGGAATGTTTGCTCCTCGACGTGTCGAGAGTTTCGCAAAGAGGCACTCGCTGGATAAATTTCCACGTGATGTCGTCCATTGGCAATGTTTTCATCGCCGCATGTGCTGAACAAATTCATCTAAAAATGACCAACATTACCAAAAATAAGTAGAATGTACGTTGTGAATGAAAAAATGGAGAAATAATCCGGTCGCACGATTGAATCTATATTATTAGCGAAACTTTATAAATTATGCAAGATATAATAAATTCTTTTATACAATAGATTCAATGAAACAAATAAAGTCAGCAATGATATAATATGGACACTTTTGAAGAATAGTAATAACATTAGTGACTGAAATTTGGATCAAACTCACGACTGATAGATGAATTATTTAATTTATAATAAAAACTCTATTTTTTAGAAAATCATATTTGAAAGAAATTTCGATGATTAATTGGGATTGATTACCTGTAAAACGTCGGACAAGAAGAGACGATTTCCAATTCCATTGATCCCTTTGAAGTCAGCCTGAGTTGAGAATAACTGATCCAGCCCCATTCTCTTCAAAGCGGCGGTAGCGTTCACGATAGACCGATGACTAAATTTGGGTATTTGCAATTCAAGGCCCGGCCTAGGTATAAGAACCTTCAAGAGTTTGTCCCAAGTGCCATCTTGGAAAGCCCCTTTAACAAGCCTCTGCTCGAGACGATCCAGAGTGTCGCCGGGTGCAGCGTGACCCTGTTGACCGGGTACTAAGAATATCGTCGAAACGAGCTTGTCCGCGCTTCCAATCGCACTGGCAGTAGCGTCCAAACTGGGCTCGTAACCAGCAAGAACGTTCGATCGCCAAACGGTGGCTGGAACGGGGATCAATTTCCTCAGTCTATGAGCAGCCGACACGGCGAAGTATAACTCGCCGTCCCGACCTGTTTCACTCGCGGAACTCGTGTTGCAGTCCGTCTGGAACACGTTCGCCGAGATCGCAGCCAGCGGTGACCTCAGAGGAACGGTGTTGCTCTTCACGAAATCCTTTATCCTGCCTCCGGTCTGTTTTCTGATGAGAAGGTTGGTCCGTCGACGGGCAAGGTCGCTGATAGTGGCGAAATTCACTTCAGCCACCAATCCCTCGTAGAACTGTTGCGCCTGTTCCTTGTAGAATGGCAACAGTTTCCTCACCTTGGCCTTGTCCGCGAATAATTCGCGAACGAAGGCCGCGTTCGCGATACCTTGATGCCTCGCCAGGCTCACCGTGTCCGTCACGTTCTGGAAAATCAGATGCGGATTGAAAGTGGCGACGTTGTCCAGTCCGAGTATCTCGTTCATCTGATCCGACGTCGATCCTCGAGCACCGAGGAAGATCATCGCCAACAGGCTGGTCATGCCGAACGGCGAAAGAGCAAACGATCTGCCGATGCTCAGCCCGTTGTTCGACGCGATCCAAAATTTTATCGCAAGCTCGTTGCAAAGCCTCGAGAAATTGACGATGTCGATGCTCGCGTTTCTCGTGCTGGTGTCCAATCCACCGACACTTTTCGAGGCGTCTAGGGAAACTGTCGACTCCGTTCCGTTTGTAGGAATTGATTGACTGTTCGACGAAAGTTTCGTCGAGCTCGTATTTGCCAAAGTCGACGCTGATGTCGATGTCGATACTTCGGAGTACATTGTCGGCGTGGTAGTAAATTCCGTCGACAATGACGGGGTTGCTTGATGCAACGATATTCGCTGCCACGTGTGCTCGGAACTCGCATGCGTGTCATTCGTTTTACTCTGCAGCGTCGAACTTGCCGAATCATTCAATTTCGACTCCGATTTATCCACCATCTCTAACAACTCCATTCCTGTCGAGTTGCTCGCGTGTAAATACAGCTCGACGGGTTTTTTCGTTTTGTAAATCTCGTCGGAGCTCGTTGCACTTGTACCTTCGATTTCGTTTGGCTCTTTCGTGCTAGAATTTAGAGCGGCGGTTGTCGATTCAGGAGTAGTCGAGGCAACGAATGACTTGGTATCGTTGAAAGACGTCGCAGTTGTGCCGCTCGTAACGTTGATTTCCTGTTGAGTCGCGGTTGTGTGAACTGTGTCATTCCTCGACTGCTCTTCCGTTTTCTTCAAAGGTCTCTGCAGTGCAATTTTATCCGTCGTATTCTGCGCTGGATGCTCCTCCGCGTTAGATACATTCGCGACAGCAGTCCAGTTCGTCGATAATTTGTCTACGGTATGATATGCAGATGGTTTGTTACGTTCTGACGACGATGTCTCTGTCGTCTCGTTCAGGGAAATTGTAGAAGTCTTGTCACTGTTTTGCGATGCCTCCTCGGTAACGTTTTCAACATTTGGAACGATGATTCTTGTGTTCGTACTCGTCGAAGCTTCGTTACTCGATATTGTCGTCTCGTAAGTAGGATTAGACGTCTGTTCATTAAGTGTATTATTCGCGAACGAAGTACCAGATATTCCATCTGTAACGGCATTCTTTAGAACAGGATCGGAAGTGAACGATGACGTTGTCGTAGATTCTGAAGTGACGGAATTTTGTAATTGGGAAAATTCAATTTTCTGCTGTTCGGTGAACAGATCTTCCTTCGTTGTCGACGTTCGAGAAACTTCATTCTCGTTCGTTGGATCTCTCTTCGTAGTATCATTCACAATATCCTTGTTAATTGAAATAGGCAACTTTAAATTTGAGGCAACAGTTGAGTTTCCTGAGTTGAGCTTCTCAGAGTACGACGTTGTTGTTTCGTCGAGTGCAGTTTGCGTTTTATTTGTCTTCAAATTGGACGGATTAGCGATGAGCGAGCTTGCCAAAGTGTTAGCCAAGAGATTCTCCGACAGGTCGCTCGGTAAAGTGATCGATTCGGTAACAGGTGTCTTTGTTTCAGGCGAAGCAGTGTGAAGTATACTGTCGATAAGCGCTATCGGTTGTAAAGAATTGGACGTGGTAGCCGATGTCTCGTTAATATTCATCGGTACTTCCGTTACGTTAGATACCGGGCGAACACTCGTTATCCCGTCAAATTTCGTCGAAACAGCCGAATTTTGGTTGGTGATTTTGTCGAGCTCTGTCACACTCGTCGGAATAATCGGAGTGGTTGTTGCAGTCAAAGAAATCCTCTCTCTGTCCGTTTTAAACTTCACTGTCGCGTCGGTAAATGATTCTTGAATACGTTCTTCGTCAGACGTGGCATTTACATTTTCCGGTCGGTCCCCGTTGGTCGTCGAAGAATACGTCGCGACGATCTCGGAGCCGTTGTTACGTTTATTCTCGTTGCCGCTAGAAATCGACTGAAATCCAAAAGATGAAGACAACACGGGGGAAACTGTGTCGTCGGAAATTTGACTGATCACGTTTGACAGAGAGTTTACCAGCTCCATAGATGGAGAAGATATTGAGGGTTCAACCAACCCGCTTAAGTGATCACTTGGTTTTGTTACTGTATCTTGCTGTATCGTCGTCAGCTGTTCCGTCACCGATGTGATTTTATACTTGTTTGTAGTTGCAGGAACGCTCGTGGACGATGCGGAAGATTGCGATGGTGATTTGGTAACAGACGTAGAGGATTGCGATGGCAATTTGGTAAACGATACGGAATACTGCAATGGCAACTTGCTGAACGGTTCGTTAGTTACCACCGTTTGAACTTGATTCGCTTCTACCACGGATGATGTCTGCGTTTTCAATAGAACCTCATCATCCTCCGTCGATGAAGTGCCGATTACTGGCTTTATCTTCGTTTGCGTTACCAACGAATCAGTAACAGTCTCGTCGACGTGTGAATGATTCTTCTCCGGATGTAATGTTTCGCTTACAAGATCAGCGTTGTCGTAACTGCTTTTAGTGGATTCGTCCAGTTGCAAGGTTGACGCGAGAAGAGGAACACTGGTCGTTGTTGATTTTGTAACGGGACTTACGGATGTCAGGTTCTCGTTGTCGCGATCGTAAGATCCGTAAGTAGTATTTTTTAACAACGGCGTTGCCTCGGTCAGCTTGTGGAAGGTGGAACCCTGCGTGGTATACTGACTGTTACCTATCGACTCGGCGTTTCGTTCAGTCGTGATGACAGGCACCGGTATCATTAATTTTTCCGTGTAAGAGACAGTCGTGGGTTTCGTAGCGATCGTCGGCTGCGTTCCGTTCTTTTCAATTTTAACGTTTTCAAGTTTTTCCGACGGTACGATTCCACTTACGTTGGACTCGAGTGAATCGGGAGTCGAGTCGTTCTGATTATGCGCGACGTGATACGTGGACGTAGGTTTCGACGTTGGTCTTTCGACGTGATGGCTTTCCTCGACCTTATTCCCGTATTTATCGCCGGCTAATATAGCTGGCAAAATATTGCTCCACTCGACGTTTACTTTTTCCGGGATCATCGGGTGTGAACCAGAGAGTGCCGACAACGGTTTGTCCATGGCACTTTTCAACACGTTTTGCACCTTCTCCACGACGTCCATTACCTGGAATAAATTTCGAAGTCACCTCGTTTACTCGATAATCGACATTTTCCGCTAATTTCCAATAATCTAGAGGTTCTACTGCGATACAATTCCTCCAGTTTAGCTGATTATAAAAATTGATTGACCTTGATTCACCGACCTTTTTTCCACCTGTGAGGATATCCTCGGCTTTTTGGGGCTCTTGAACCTCCACGTTAGAATGATCGGGACCACCGCTCGCGATCAAAGCCTGAATCTCTTGCATGGTCATTTGTTTCGTGATCATGTCGCCTCTCTCGTTGTACGTGTAAAATTGAAATCCATCTGGCTTCAAGAGATTCGCCGGGGACGGTGGTAACCGATAAAAATTAACGCCGGCCGGACTGGGCGACTTTTTGTTCTCCTGTGTTGCACGAACAGCCTCGCTTCTCGCATCTTTTGGCTCTCCGATGCCCGATATTTCCTGATACGTGGTCGCCCTAAAAATTGTAAAGAATTATTGCAAATACGTGCAACTTCTGCCAACTATGATCGTGAAACGAGTTAACCCACTGGCACATTAATCTTTTTCACACGGAAACGCTGTGTATACTAGACCACTGGCAGACCGTTTGGCATACAGCTGTGCATGCCAATGAACTTGACTTCTCATTATTGTACGCTTGGTACGTACGTTTCATACTTGCGAAATACAGTAGATCCTCGATTATTGGAACGAAAAATTTTCTTTCTATTTAATATCTATTCAGTTTAGCATTGTTTAAAAGTAAACGATGAAGTTGTTCAATTATTCAAACAAGGCGTGTCGTAATTAGGTTGAATAATCGAGGTTTTACCGTATTACAAAATTCCAATCTTAATTTGATATCTATGTACACTCACGCATGTGAAGGCTTCTGCATTTTATTAACGTATAACGCTACAAAATTTGCCGAAAGTTACGTTAAAGCGATTAAAAGGACTATTTGAATAAGACGTGGAACTAACACACATGATCATCAGAAGAGAAAAAAAGAAGACATAGGAATCTGTCATTTAGTCAGTTTATAAATTATATTTCGCGATTTATCTTGCAACGTCAATTGTAAAAGCCAATTGAGAATTTCTCGCGTCTCTCTACACAGTATGTGTGATCTTTTAACCCCTGATTTCTCAATTTCTCCACGTTTTTCTGCCTATTAATGATCTTAAACGTTCGCTATTTGGCAAATCAACGATCCATGTGTTGACATTACATTTCATCTTTAATTGTCGTCGTCAAATAGGTCGAACATGATTCACACATGAAATGAGATACTGACCTAGATTTGGAATATTTCATAGGCAGTAATACGGTTGTAGCGGTTTCTGAAACTGGACGTTCCGAGTCCACGCTGAAACTTAAACACGTCCAGAGCACAACTGTTGTCAAAGCTGCATGAAACAATCCCGTGGACATATTTCTAACGTTTCTTCACCGGTGCGATCTGCAAGCAAGAATATTGGAAGAAATGATCAAAGTGATTGAAATGATTTGCTTTTATATAAAAGTTGGAGAACAACAAGGAACGATACGTAGGCTATTGCAATAGTCGTTAGACGTCTTTACTATTGTAAAGAGTATCTATATGTGTGAAAATAGATCGAAAGAAACAAATGAAGGACGAGTTTGTTTTCCTTTAGGTGAACGACCCTACGGTTCCTTGTTACCCTCTTACGGATCATCGCCTTAACACGACGACCGGTTTCCCGTCGTGGTGTAAATCGCTCAGTAAATGCGATTTAGACGAGTGCAACTTGCGAACGATTTTTATCATAAATTGACTTTCCACTGATCGGATTTAATTATTCAACGGATTGTCGATCGAATTTAATCATTGAGCTACATCGATCCAAAGATTTCAGATCTTTTGCGTTTCGAACGATACGCTACCAATGGAAAAACGAGTGAAATTAGAAGCACAGTATATTTATTTGTTAATTCTTGGTATCGAAAGAAAGACACTTTTTTTTCTCATTTCATACCTAGAATATATATCTTCTAAAATATCGAGATACACCAGCCTTGCCATGTACAGAAAGAAACGAGATCGCAAGGAAAAACAAGCAATCGAGAAATTTCAACGACCTGTCTGAAAATCTCGGAAAATAATAAAAAAAGAAATTCCTTCTCTGAACGAAAGCTGTGTTATTCGGCGCTCAGGAAGCGGATTATCGTGCTTGTTCGTTTGTTTCAATTATTTCTTTCTATCATGTTTCCCTCGGTTAATGTTCATTGTATTCTTTCACGATTTTCTCTAAGTTCAACTAGATAATATTCTAGCGTTTGACGAACAGCGACGAGATTGATTAAGGCGCTTGTGTACTTCGTTTAAGGGTAAATATATCGACAATAAACTTAACTACCTCGATTAAAAACTGTGATCGAGTGAAATACTCTTCCCAAATATAAACGCTGCGAGCGACTTCGACTTTCCCCTCTTCTCGTTTTCTCTCGCTGTCTACGTTTCTTTTTCTCTCTGTTTTTTTATCCTTTCGGTATCTTCTTCTGACAGCGCGCGCAGATCTGTATTTCTTCCTGTGTGTATCACCTGTCGTCTCTACTGTCTTCCACCTTGGACGAGCGCGTACTACGTGCTCGAATCCTTGGCTAAGACGAGTGCATCGGACTGAGAAAGAAAAGTGATCGAAGAGGGGGAACATAGTCTTCGAACGAAAAGATGGAGAAAGGGTGAACTTGGAGAGACGAGATGTTGCTCGGAACGGTTTTACGCCGGGGGGACAGACGAATGTTGGAATACATGGGAATATGTATCGAAAGAAAAAGGAAAGACGAGAAAAGAAGAAGGGATGAGGTTGAAGGACCAACGCGTAGAGCCGAGTTACGCGGATAAAAGGAGATGTGAATTGAAGGTATAAAAGGTATAAATGAAGGTATAAAAGTATCACTCGATCAAACTCGGTGCCTCGTATCCGTGCAACCGACCGATACAACGTTTTTGCTTTTCGAGGTAAAAACTGTCGGATTTTTTTCTTTTTTTTTTTTTTAATTTCAAAAAACCAAGAAACAGTTTCAAGGACTGAAAGAACAATAATATTCCAATAACGTCAGGCTGTTTCCCGATTTTTCTTTTCTCCGAAATTTCAATTTTTTTTTTTTTTTTTTACGAAATCTGACTTCTTTCCAAGAGAATAATATTAATTCCTTTTTTTTTTTTTTAAATTTCGAAACTCATTGCAATGAGGATAGATGTCAAGCTTCGCACGAAATGACTATATTCAGTGGGAAGAAATTAACAGCGATCAACGGTACATCGACCTTCACGATGACTCGTAATTTGTAACGAAAGAAATTTCGTGGAAACTCGTTCTTTCTCATTTTTCTATTTTCTCTTCGTTTATAAATGTTCGTACAATGATGAAAAATGTGGTGTAATTTGTGTTTATAGATATGCGTGTATTTTATTTCGATCTACGACGAGGAACAGCGACGGATGCTTAACGGTATTCGTTTATTCTACTTCCCTTTCTACTCTGTTTAACTGTTTTAAGAAATATTCGGCCAACTTGACCTCCTCGTCCAAAAATCGCAAAAGTATCACAAGGAAAGAATGATACGCTGTGTAAAGCGCAAATAATAAAAGGTCCTAAATAACTTTGCCTCTGGTACTTCAATCATGTATCATCGGTCGTAGGAAGATATTCGACCATCACAGCAAAAACTTGCTACTTGATTAACTAAACAATTCATAATTGTTTAATTACAAACGGGAAAGATTGCAATTGTAAAAATATCGTACAATCATATTATCCCTAGTTTCTTCCTAAATTCGATGTGCTGACATTTGAGAAAGAGAAAGAAAGAAAAAGAATGTAATAGATTATAAAATATCTAAAAATGTGAGTGTTAACACACTTGAAGAAATCGCCAAATGAAAAATGTTTTAATCAATTTAACCGCACTTCATACATATCACCTGAATAATTGAAGACGATATAATATTCTATTCGAAACAGTTTTCTATGCCAACGCTGTGTTATTCGGTCGGATATTGAGTCGAAATCATACGACCAATAAAGAAGTCGAAGTCGAAGACACGCAACATGAATGTGCAATTGAAAAATTCCGAAGAAGAAACGCGTTTCATCGATGGAAGCGAATACAGGGGAACTTGGAACACACTGGGCATGGAAGGAATCGGCAAATTCGTTCTACCGCACAGTTAGTACACATAACTTCTAAGAAGTATTACAGAAGAATCTCGAATAGACATTACTTTGCACTTTCTTGCATAAATCGTTCGGGAGAAAGAAAGAAGCAAGGGATAAGAGGCGACGTAGGGAGCATAAAAAGAAAGTAACCAGTATAGTAGAAAATATCCAGATGGTGAATTGTATAAATAATAAAACAAGAAGCAAAAAAGCAGAGAGTACCGTGCATGTAAGATACGGCACGATTCTTGTATTCCCTAGTAGCCGGAATTAAATTTTATTAAGTGTACACGTTAATTCCAATAATTGTGTCTAACAAATAGGTATGTACCAGCACATGTACTGGTTTTTGAGCACGACATTGAGCATTTCTCGCGCGTAAGTCGACACGTACCGTTATGCGACCATTTTCGACGCTTCGTGTTCTAGAGTTTGTACGCGTTTTTCATTTACCCATAGCTTAAGAATCTCCGCCTGAAAATACATACGTTCACCGTACAAATTTTTTACCCAACTTATAAACATACGTATACACACATACATTTATTCTTCCTCCTTCTCTCTTTCTCTTTCTCCTTCTTTCTCTGCCTCTTTCTCTCTCTCTCTCTCTCTCTCTCCTTTTTTTTCTACCGTTAGAGAGGTCACTTGCTCCTTTAGTCTCCTTCTTCTGCACTTCAGCCTCATTTCAGTAAATGAACCGAATTCACTTGCTCGTAACAGATGCCATCTTTGAAGGGGAATTTCGTGATGGTACTTTTCATGGCCATGGTAGCATGTATTGGCCTCGAAGACAAAGGATAGATGGAATTTGGTTGCAAGGTGAATGTAAGGACAAGCAATATATCTTCAACGATGGACTAGTTTTTCGTAGCGATGATTGGGAGTACTGCAAATTTCCTGATAGGCGGTTGGTAAAATACATTTCATTTCATTTCTGAAAATATTTTAAGAATGAGAATAAAGCTCATCGATATACAGGGTGTCCTGTTTTAATATCTGTTACTAAAAATTTATCATAAACTTACTTATTGTATGAAGTAATTCGTTTGACTTGATAAGAGAATAAGAGGGAAGAAAGAAAAATTTGTCTTTCGTTAAACCAACACCTCTTAGATATCAAACGTGCATTAAATACGGATTAAGACCAGCTGGAGCAACGTTACGCAGGAATGATCGAAACGAATATGTTATTCCTTCTATGTGTTACGATGCAGGCATTGGGATCTTTAATCCATCTAAATGTTATATTACATCCTACAAAGACTCAAAGAAGGTATATACGTTGAATAGAGAAGTTCACTGTGCAATATTCACTGTACAAAATTTATTAAATTTACTAAATATTCAAAGATACTTGAAATACCAAATACGAAATTAATTCTCTGGATACAAAAGAACTGTCAGAAGGCGTGTCCAATCGGAAATCGAAAAGATCTTTACGAAGATTTGTTTCCCGGCACGGAGAGTCTCTCTACATTATTGCCGTTTTCAAGTAATTCTTTTGAATCATGGTGGAAAAGGTAAGAACAAAAATACATCAAATAATTGAATGGATTCAATGTTTATTATCCCTACCTTTATTTCTTTTTAAGATTGACTACCTTTCGTTCACATTGAATCTGCGATACATCTTTAAAAAATAAAAATCTCATTAAGAGTTTCAATAAGAATTAATTAAAACAAAAATACATACTAATATCTATTTGATATTCAATAAAGAATAAAAAATGGAATCACAATAAAAATGTACTTATTATTTAACAATAATCTCTTTTTTTTCTGTTACAATATTAGAAGCATTTGATTTTTGATGTACACGGTACACCACTAACACTTTTTTTGATATACATTCGGTAGTTTTGCAAGCAACAATATCTAAAATTACGCGCACCTCGTGTGTTTCATTTCCTTCGGAAAATGTTATCAATATCGGATCCGAAAGTTCTCCATTATTTTCCGTAGCTACCCATCCAGAGCTATTTGTCGACAAACTCACAGACCATTTTTGTGGTGCATCTAAATTCAATTTTAAATCAGATTCAGCAAAAGTTACATTGAACAAAATGTTCAATTTACTGCCTTTTTCGCTGATAATAGTATCAAAAAAATGAACATTCTTGTAGTTATTGTCAGTTTCAAGCGTTAAAATATTTATCGGTAACTGAAATATAACAATGAAGAAACAATTAACTTATTTATTCAATTTTACTGTCAATATCTGTACCATAAAACGCACGCTAATTTACCGTAGTAATATTTTCCTTTTTCGTATCGATAACTTTCACAACATGATGATTAGTGTCGGCTACATACAGGAGATCTTTTTCTGAACTGATAGCAATACCACTAGGTTCATCAAACTGTAAATTATAAAGAATTCATAAATATATGAAGTTAATAATACAATTTAAAAAAAAAACATACTGAAAATTTCTCATTTGGTTTTCCATCACCATATACGGTTTTACAATATTGAGTAGTTACATCAATCATTTTGATTTTATGATTATAAGTATCAGTTATGTAAACAATATTTTCTTTTGGGTGCCACACTATACCCAAAGGATGCTGCAGTTTTGCCTGATACTTTGCACCGTCAATATCTCCATAATCATGTAGATCCTGTGATATATTTGTATATAAACAAATATATAACTTTGATGCAGAAAGTCATTCAAATTAAGTCATTTCTATTCAAACTCACTGTTGGATTTCTATTTGCACCACAAACAACAGAAACTTGTCCATTTTGTAAATCTATGCTCCTAATAGCACTACTTTCACTGTCGACAAAATATACAATCTTTTGTTCTTCAGCAACAGTTAAACCAGATGGTTGTGCTAAACCAGCCGCATAAGGATACGTGTTATTGCGATTTTCTTCTCTGCCACTTCCCACTATAGCAATACAAGTACCTGCTTTGTATTTTCTACAACAGATTTTAGAACAAAATACATGATTCTCGTTGATAAAAAGTAAACTTCCATGTACATTAAAGTAATTTCGATGTTACCTATTTTTCCACCAAATGGTATCTTCTAAAAAAAGTACCCAAATCTGATGTGTACCGGCCATTGCAATCAACAATACAGGTATAATATTTTTATCATGTTCATATTTATAAACAGCCAAATCCCATGGTGAAGATAAAACTTGATCTTTACCAATTTTACCCCCGACATAATCATGACCTTGAATCCCTGTACCAGCAACAGTGGTTACTATTCCTTTTATTAGATCTATCTGAAAATAAATTTTATGCGCATATTATTTCAAAAAGTGAGATCACTTTACACATTATAGTTTAAATTATTACCTTTCTAATTGCATGATTCTCATTGTCAGCTACATAAATTGATCTATCTAATATACATACTCCCTGAGGTGCATTAAACTTGGCACTTTCAAAATCTCCATCTCTGAAACCCCGATTAGAACCACCAATAACATGTTGCACATTGCCTACAGTGTCCGTTACTAAAATTCTATTGTTGCCTGTATCGGCAATAACTAGACTTTCTCCTTGCTCATTGTGAACGATTTCCAACTTACTTGGAAACAAAAGATTTTCATTCCCAATAGGCAATAAATGCCGTGCCAGTTGCAAAGGAATATCATTTTGAAGTATTTTATTCAATGATTTAAAGTAAGTTAATGCTACATCTACATATAGAATCAGTTCATTTCTGTGTCCTTCTCCTACAAAAACTGCAAGTAATTCACCAGTGGGTCCTAATAAGATGAATAAGTCATTTATTTACTTTCTTAAGAACAATTGTTGGATTCAGTAATTAAATCATATCTATATGATCATTACCTAACATCACCAATGTTGGCCAACAGCAGATTCCTAAATTGCGCCATACTGACATTGTCTTGTCATTTACAACTGGATGCTTTATGTTATATCTCTGTACTGCTGACAACAATCTCTTTGAATCTCGTTCATTTGAAAATTTTGCACTATGTACTCCAACCTAAAGAAACATAGTAATATTACTAGTAGAAGTAGACTTTTGCAACTGATTGTAGTTGATTGTTGCATATTTTACAATGTATACTATTAACAACAACAATGTGAATGTACTAACAACAACAAGGCCATCCTTAATTGAAAATCGTTTTTCGAGAGCATCCAAATCTGGTAAAATGTGCATACAGTTGATGCAACAATATGTAAAAAAATCCAAAATAATTATTTTTCCATTGAGATGTTGATATAAAGATAATCCTTCTGTAACGTTGAACCATTCCAAACCTAATTAAGAGATTGGTTTTAAAATTTTATTAAATTATTATATACAAAATTAATATGACAGGTGATAAATGTTAAATTTTAAGGATTGAAATGATAAAAAGGCATATATATGACATATAAGAAAATAACTATGAATTTTTAATCTTCCAGTGATAAATTATATTGTTTATACAGATTCTTGATTGTAGTATTAGTTGCTACAGCTATTGCTCCTAAAACCATTTGAGTTACATCTTTAATATCATTATATTTATGTAATAAGTTCATAGTTTCTTGAGTTGAACGAAATTCTGCCTCTTCATTCTTTAAATTGGACAATTCTTGATCAAGCGTTTTTTCGTATTCTATGAGCTGAAAATATTCGCGTATCTCTTCTTCCGTAAGTAAAATATTTTCTTTATCATTTGAATACAATGTTTGACTTGAGCTTGCTGTATCTATCTCCCTAACAGCCTTCATATTTTGTTTACCAGATTTCTTGAACATTTGATTGTATAACATAAATGCTATCACGTATAGGTATGATATTTACCTAACGAAAACCAAAGTCACATCACATTAAAGATAAATTAAATATCAAACTAAATAAAATATATTTTATTCAAATTAGTAAAACTAATAAAAGAATCTAATGTACAAAACACAGAATTACTTGCTTGCGTAATTTAACAATGCAACCTCTGTTAATATTTGAATAATGTGTACATATAATTGCCAGAATTAATTTCGTAGAATATCAACTAATAAAATAGGCATATCAATAACCTGGTTGAAAATCGACGATCCGCGTTTCTTTCTTTGAAAACGCTTTGATGTGTCGTAATACCAATTCCTTATTTTTGTCAACTGATGGTTCCAGATTTTGACGTATTTCTATGCTAATTTGTGTTAATTCTTCTACAACATCTCGTACATTCATATTTTGTTTCGTATATCAACTTTTGTTATTTAAATAAATTCAACAGTCAAACAAAAAGAATAGAGAAAAAGTTGTAAAACGTTATAACAGCTAGAGACAACATATTGATGGAGGGGATTCTAAGTAATTGCACACGCCTACCTAATTTGTCTTGAACGCGCATCTTATGAACTCGCCCAATATCTACCACATTAGAAAATTATACTATGTATGTATGAACAGGTTACAAAGTTGTATTGCTTAAAACAATATATAAACATGTATAACATATAATAAAATTTGCCAATTACTTAAAATACATACTGTCGTGATCAATTTAACTCTCTTCTGTTCAGTACATGAACACAGTTTAATCGCGACGTTCGTCGCCCCTCCAAGTGTTAAATTAATTCTTTATATCTTTTCATACAAGAAACAATGTTGATAGGCTCAACAAAGGATCCGGAAACGGTAGAAAAATTAGAATGGATTGACAACGTACGTTCTGACTTGAATGTTAATAATAATATTGAAGGATCGCGTATAATAAAAAAATTGAAACAAAATCCTTTGATACCTATAGGTTAGTATTGAAACATTTGCTATTTCAGTATTTAGTTTATGAATTTAACATTAGTGTAGAAAACATGCTTTTTTAGAATTTTTTCTTTATTTCAGGTGTAATGGCAACGTGTTCTGCTCTTTGCTATGGTTTGTACTGCACATTCAAGGGAAATTCTCTAATGGCTCAATATATGATGCGTGGTCGAGTTGCAGCACAGAGTTTCACTATCTTAGCTATGCTTAGTGGACTTTCGTTGACACTCACAAAAAAACCAAAAACTGATGAATAATTATTATATATTATTTGTTCAATAGTAATCATGTAGACTATGGTATATTAGTCAACTATTATAATTTATTCAACTGTATTTTTTATTTCATCTAGGAAGTGTAACTTGAAAATCTTATAAATCATTACTAGAAATGTTTTAAAATTATGTTTTATTTTTAAAAGCTAACAACAATGTTATGAATAATTTTACTAAATTCACTTGTGATAAGTATTAGAGAAATATAATATAAATATAAAATTTTAATGAAATTAATGATTGTGTGCCACTATTGGTGCATTATTACAATACCTAAAAGTAAATTTAGACAATTCTTTCAAAACATTTGTTTTTGAAGAAGTATGTGTGTAAGTTGATTCTAAAAATAAGATTTCATTTTCATATTATGTATTTTTATAATTATAATCGTATAAAATTTTTTGTAATGTTTATTTTTTATTAAAATATTCACAGCTTACATACTAATTAAAATTTTTAGTATTTAGTAAATATTAATATATTTCAAGTTATATATTTGGGCAAACTATATTTGCTTCTCTACAAATATTATCTATTAATGAAGTTTCATCATAAAGAGATCGTTGACGTTTGTTTTTCTCATCAAAAATATTTATTATATTTGCATTTTCATTCGAATACTCAGAATATGGAATTTGTTGAAGTTTTATTGCTGCATGTTTCCATCTTGCATGTTCTTTAATACATGTTGCCAATGTGTCGAACCATTTTTGAACATCTTCGTTTGAATGGAATTCTATAATATCACGCACTTCGTTGTCATTTATATTATTGATTATACATAATTGATTTTTTATTGATTTTGATCGGCGGACCGTGGTTTTCTGAAATATAAAGCCACAGTGATATTTAATGTTGGTAAAAAATTTAAAAAAATATATTTCGTAGTTTCATTTCACCTTGTTTACACAAATCGCATGCATTGGTTTTTTAAATTTTTCTGAACATTTCTTCGACTTCCAAATTTCAATTTGGAAACCTCGCAATCGCATGTAGCATCGTCGACTATTTATAATTGCGAATCCAGCACAAACTTCTTTATCGATGTAATATGGTTGAACAGCTAAACGACAACAAAAGTGTCCAAATAGCGGCAATGCGTTACCTTTGTTACCAAAATTATGTAATGTTAAATCATGTGAACGTATGTTCTCATCGGTATCGTCAAGAGTCATTTTTGCGTAGGCCATCAACTCAAACTGTGGTATTTTATTAGATTCATATTCATTTCGTAGAGCTGCAACAAACTTTCGACCTACTGTTTTTGAAATTGACGAATGAATAGTTCGTCTAATTTTTCTTGGAGTGCTAGCAATACTGAGATCTTCTTGCAAAATATGACTGTAAACTTCTAAAGATAATTCAAATTCAGCTGGTACATTATTGAATAATAAAACGTCTGGAAAACTAATATCCGTTTGTTTTCTATCGATTGGGAAAAGTAAACTTGTATCCTGAATTTCAGTACCAACTCGAACAATACAAAAAATAGCGAATCTTCGATAATCTCCACGATTTTTAAAATGATCAGAGTCTCTCCACATCAAAGGAAATCTAAGATCCGAAATGGATAATTTCCCTCTGTTATCTGAATTACTGAAACATACAATATTAAATAGTATTATCCGTGTCTCGGTGGAATACATTAATATAATTGATACCTTGTTTTCAACAATGCATCTCTTCTTCGATGTTCTAACTCAGTCATATAGACGGACATCCGTTTGTTAGAAGTAAACAAAGTACGTGCTGCTTCTAAACTTTGTGCAGGATGTCGCGCAGCAGCCAACAGTCTGGAGGAGCCTTCTTTTATTTTAGTTTCCAATTCAATTTTTTGATCCAAATCATATTCCTAAAAGAAAATACATTTTGCTAAAATCATTATTCCTTGTGAAAAGAACACAAATAAAATAGGAAAAATTTGTAATTCTGCTATGTATACAAACTAATTTTACAAGAAATGTACTAAATTTTTTGACGTGCTTTAATTCGTAATATATAATAATTTATCTTTATTTCGAAATATTGTTCTGAAATTGAAATACATGTGCAGCTATTTGATGTGATACAAATTGTTAAAACTTAGAATTTTAAAACCACAAGATCCTTTTTATTAACAGTACAAATATACAAATATTGAATGTTTATATTGATTGTTTGTATTTATTTTGAATATCTTCAAAAATAAAAAAAGTAAATACTTTATATCACCAAACAAGTTATATTTATTAAAAATATTATAATTAGATATTTAAATAAAACTTCAAACTTGCTATGTAGAAAATTAAATACATATATATTTCATTCTAATTCAGATTAAAATATACATGTACATACATACTTCTATAACGGTTTTTTCAAATGTCAAACATAACCTATACTTTTTTAACGATAATTGAAAATTTTTGAATATTTAAAAATAATTTTTTTCAAAACAAGATAAACAAGAGCAATTTTTACCTTTTAATAATAATAAAAATCTTGATAAAATAGGAAAAGATTAAAAGAAACATATAGTAAATAATATAATTCTGCAGATCAAATATTAATTATTTACTCACAGCTATATTTTTATAATTTCGAATACTTTCTCGCCTTCGAACGCGTGCTTGAAAATCACTCAACGAACGCAAATAACTATTTTCCTTGTCTAAACTATCAGTTAATGGAGCGCGCAGCAAACCAACACTTTTTCTACGTGGCGCCATTTTGAAGTTCCTTTGCCTTTTTTCAGCAGTTTTAAAATTTTTTGGTGACATAGAAAAGAAAAATAAAATAAAGAAAAGATATGCATAGAAAGGAAAATTAAAGGCTTGATATCATATAAAAAAAATGAAAGAAGTTGTAAAAACACGTAATACATATGAAAAATATTAAATAAAGTTTTGGAAAATCCGAAACTTATATTTGGTATATAGATATTCACATTCGTACAGTGATTAATATAAAGGGTTTAATATTTAATGAGCATAATTTTATTTTTTATCCTTGTCCTTTTCTTTATCTTTCTCTTTCTCTTTCTCTTTCTCCTTCTCTTTGTCTTTATCCTTGTTTTGTTGAAGAGATCCAACAGCTTGACGGACGGCTTCCGAATGAGGATCAACACCCGGTAAATTTTCCAAAACTGATTGCAGAAATGCTGGATCAGACATAACAGCGGCATAATCCTCTTCGACTTCCATTGCTTCTTCTTTCAGAGATTCAAGTTCTTCTGTAAAACAAAATAATATATGTGTACACACATGTAAGTATATATATATATACAGATATATAATTATATTTGAATTCTCGTACGTTGATCTTGCATAGACATTTGCATAGCAAAAGCAATTTGTTCCTCCTCGGTCATACGTGCAAAATCTGGTGCATTTATATTAGCAGGAGTAGTATTGTCAGCAGTTGAAGACGAAGTTTCCGCACCCTCAAGTGACATAGCAAGAGCACGCTTTAACATTGCCTCTTCGTTATGTACTTCTCTAATTGTCTCCGATGGTTCATTCGTAGCTGCTTCATTAGTTTGTGCACGTCGCGCTTCATCCTCTTGACGCTGCCGTTGTTCTTCCATTGATACACGTAATGCCTATGCATACATAATAAAAATTATAAATAAAACAAATGGTAGAAGCATTACTGAAAATAATAGTGACAAAATACAAACCAATGCCAATTCTGGATCTTCATTTGGATCAACACCAAATTCATAAGCAGATCCTCCCATACCTGTGCCACCCATTCCATCTTCTCCTTGAATTATAGGAGAAGAAATCAATGCATCAGACAAATGTGGTCCAGGTGGAACTGTGACCAAATGGCTGCCTGTTCCATCCTTTCCATTAAGAGCATTGATAAAGGCTGTCAGCACTTCATTATTAATGCTTTCTTCACCAAAACTAATCACATCCACATTAACTTTTTCTTTTTTTAATCTTTTCGCTAATTTCACAAGTTCTTTCTCATCAATTTCTATGGGACTACCAATGAAGGCAACAATACGCATTTTGTGATTTTTGCCTTGACGATGTTTCAATGCCAACTGTTAATTTATTGTTATTCATAGATATAATTATAAATTTTATATATAACACAACACAAAGATAGACAATATACTCACATGTGCAATTCGTATTCCTGTTATTAAACTTAAATTACCATTTGGTTGGACTTGATGAAGTTTTGATAAAATTCTACCCACATCACTAGTAAGCGTAGCTAACACTTCAACACTGTTTAGAAAAATAAAGATCAAATGAAAAAGTAATAAATATTTTCCATAACTGACATACAGAATATACCAAGTATTGACATACTTAGCTAGCGTTATCAAGCCAACATTGTTTTCAGGATTCGAGCGAGTTTTTGAGTGACAAACTAAATTAACAGCATCCTGTTGTGCTTGCAGTCGTGTTGGTAAAAAATCTCCATTTCTCATATAATCGCTGTTGTCGACACTATAAATATGTGTGAACGAAACGATAAATACATCATAAACAGATATATATTAAACTATCTTAACTTTGTTAGTCGCATAACCTATACTTGACTAACAAAAATGGAAGTATTTGTATTGCTAGTTATTTACCATTCATCATATTTGTAATTAAATTATGTTATTTGCAATTATGTTTTAAATTAAATTTCATGCTCAATAAATTTAATTCAAAAACAAAAAAATTAATCGTGAGTATATCATGAAGTATTTCAACTTTGCACTGTCACTCACGTTACGTTTACAAATTATCAATATAATTATCGTCAAAAAGCATAAAAGTGGTTTGATGTGAAATTCAATGAAAATTAGAAAGATAAATCAACAAACTAAAAAGTATAATGCCTCTTATAAGCTTGCAATAAATAAATATCAGAGGCTTACCATATCATTGTACTTTCCAGTACCATCTTGAATCACTAAATCGTTTCATTCCATTTCGTTCCGTTCTGCCATATTTACAAGTAATTTTCTGTCTCGTCTCGTTTCACTCCGTTCCGTTCCGTCACGTATTATTTTGTTCCATCTTTAATCTATTTACACATTTGTATGTTTTACGAAAAATGTTAGATATTAATATTTTCAAAACAAATGTAATTAATTAATAATTATTGACTGAAATGAAAGAAAATGTGATACTATGGGAAAAAGGAAAAAATAATATTACATGTATATATTAAAAATTGTTATACATGCATATATATGCATAAATATGTGTATATATATATACATATGTATGAATGTATGTGTATATATATATATAGTCTTTAATTAAGTACAAATTACAAGATAAACTTATTTCATCAGAAATTTTTACTACTTCGTGAGATAAAAATATAAACGAGAAATATAGATGGAATCGATAAAATGCATAATATATCAAGAATGAAATTCGAAAAGAAAGGGGTAAATAATGGATGAAAGAGATTAAGGAGAAAAAGAATCACTGGTTGCATCTAGTTGAAGAGTTGAATATCTCGGTGTTTCATCCATCAATGTCGCTTCTTCGTAAGTTGGTGGTCGATCATTGTAACATCTTGATTTTAACATTTCTCTGGTTCGCCTTCTATTATTAAAAGTACGAATAATGACTATAAGTGGTCCTATAAGTAACATGACGACGCCGATTGCAAGCATGGTTATGGCAATAGCCGTCCCAACTCGATTTACCGGACGACGTCGCGATTTTTCATTCTTATCCTTTTCAATATTTTCATTATGTTCATGTTCGAAAAAATTTCTTTCAGTCAACCTGATCAAATTAGTAGTACCAAAGTCTATTTGGTTAATAACGCTATTATTTATTAGAATGTTTTTGGTTTCGTAAGGATTCTCATTGGAAGTGAGTGGAATAATAACGTTCATTTTGTGATTTACTTGCTCTACTTCATTTCTGTTGCCTGAATAAACTGTCGAAGTTTGAATCGAACGTACACCTTTAGCATCATGTTTACGATAGATCGTTGTTCGTTTTTTAATCATTGAGTTGGGTTCAGATATGGCGCTGCCGATGTTATTTGTTCCATAAGAAGAAGTATATAATTCGCGCGATAACTGTCCATTGGATGTAGTATCGCCAGTATGATCAATAGCGGTATCTTCTGGCCGAGCTCCAATTTGAAATTTCATAATTTTAAAATGATTTCCTGTGATATTTGATTCTCGAAACAATTCAGCTTTGTTCCATCTCGAGAAATTTTCCTGTGAAAATAGTATTCTCGAATGTTTTCTCAGTTCGTTTTCTTCAGTATGTATAGAATTTTAGGAAATATACTAAGAATTAATTTCTAAAGTAATTAGATATCAAACTGTGTACATCGTCCATATAATATAATTTTATGTATAATAATTTTTGTCACTGAAAATGCGATTGATCATTAAACTTAAGTATCAGCTAAAAATAAATATTGTTACTTCAATGAAAAATAGGAATTGTTTATTTATAATGGTGATATTTCTCAAATCAGTTCGCATTAATAATCCAATTATTTCACGTAAAGTATTTTTATAATCGATTAGAATGTCGAACCTGCATGTTAATTGTGTCATTTTGTGCTTTCGTCTTTTCACATAGAGAAATTACACCTTTTTGTAGAAGTATAATTCCAATTGTACTCCAAATAGTCAGCTGAAAGATGATTGTCAATTTTGGAGCCCATTTATTCATTTTTATATTTAAAGGCATCTCAAAAAGAGATGTCTCTCGTAGATATCCTATGACCCGCTTGCGCCTGAATCATTAAATAAAAAGTCAATACTACATATAATTTTCGAAATGTGTCATGAAGAAAAAATAAAATTATTTATATAATATAAATAAAGTCACTATTACTGACTAGTAAATTTCATTTCTACATGATTTAAAAAAATAACTTATATTAGGTTGCTTATATTTATTAAATTTTGTAGATTTTAGAAGATTCGCTAAAATGACGTCAAGTAAGGAATGCAATTTTTATATGTCTGTAATCGTTGCCAAAATTTAGAATTATCTGACGAATTATAAATAATTTTTAAATAACATGAACTTTGATAAAATTTTAAGTAAATTGAGAAGTCTAAATTAAATCGCCCGTGACGTTACTTTAGTACCGTTATACGAGACAGCTAATATACCCAACAAATATGGCAACACATAGTAGATAATTATTATTATGAATATGTAAACAAAGAAATTAACGATAACTATATTGATAATGTTTAATTTCCTTTTGTTTTGTTTTTATTATTAATAGAAAAATTTACCAATAGAAATATTTTTCACCATTTTTCCTCTATCGCGGTGCGCATATTCGTTGTTGGACGTGATCAGTCCGATAATTTTTCTTTTACCTTTACGTATCGCGTTTCTTCTTCTGTAACGCACTGTATTAAAACGCTGTTGATAAAAATCGATCGGCACGAATACATTACGATAGATTCCTTATATATCCGTGTCGATTTATACCGATCGATCATAACTATGGCTCCACACTAGTTTAATCGCTTGCTCGACCATCCTTAAGATCGGCTAATTGTTCGATCAATTTCTCATCAAGGAGCAATGCATACGTCATATGCTATACCACAAACAAGATATAGGATAGACCTATCATCTTACGGGACTTTATGTTTCACGTACTGAAATACCGATCGTGCAAAAAATCAGAGGTTTTGTTATGCCCTCTACGATCTAGAGCGGCAAGATCTAGTATTACACAAATCTACCGAACTTGTTAAAATCAATAAATGTATTGTATGTCTATGTAAAGAATCTTTTTTTTGTTATCATGTTCTAGTTTAAGAACAGGTTTTATTATCTAATATCAATATATTTATTGAAGAATGAAATGGATCTGAAAAATATAAGTATCTTGGTAATTAAATTATTTGGTTTCATATATATAAGTGTAGATTGTAAAATTTTTCAGGGTTTTTTCAGAATGCAAACTGTCTTATTTTAAATTCCTTTTTTGAGTTTAAATTAGAACGTTATGAAAACTAACATTAGAGTAATTCGTGATTTTTAATTATTTTCAATCGTTATCTTGTACAAACATAAGATTTAGATTGAATAATCATTTCCATGATAATTGAAATCAGTTATCATATATCACATAAGATATGTAACTATTCACAATTATAGATACGATAAGATTATTAATGATTCGATAACAACACGTAGATCTTTTTTTTATATTGACCTTCATGGAAATTGCTTGAATGTCACACGTTACAAATTGTAAGTTATAAACTTTTCTTTTGTAGTTTTGCAATATTAGGTGAAGCAAAATGATCAGATGATTTGTAACTTGTAACATTCAGTTTTATTTTTATAGTTAGTATTTGATTTATTACTACATTTGTTAATTTTAACAGAACTTATTAGTGTTAGCTAAAAGCTTTATAGCTTTTGACTCGTAAAATTTCATTATAGTAATATTAGTTTAATTGCGCAACATAATCTTGATTTCATAATTTGTTGATCAAGACAATTTCTACGTCACTGAAATTTTGATTCTGTGTTTGGCTTTCAATGGAAGGGAATTTGATTTGTTGAAGCTATATTCGAAATTGGTGAACAAAATTATAATATGTTATTCTGCTGTTGAAATTTATAACGATATGGCATATTTATATATATATATATATATATATATATATATATATATATATATATATACATAATATATCATTCCACGTATTATGTTAAATTATTACATACACACATTTAAAAATATCCCAACACTCGTTTATTTTTTATGACAAGACAACAACAATTTTAATTATCGCAAGTATATATTGTAATATCACGTAGTTAAATCAGTTTTTTTGTAGTCAGTATGAAATAAATAATGTTTTAAAAATACAAAAATTTGTTTACTATATGTTTACTGTATAATAATTTCATGTTCATATTCGAACGCAATCGCATTAAATAGTTTGTCTTTCTAGTTATTAAGACTAATGATTATAAGAGAGGCCTAATTAATATATAATTGATTATGCGTAGTTAAATAATACTATTTAATTTGCTGTTTGATCGACTGTTATATTATTTATAGTAATATATTTATCTAACAAAAAATAAAAAGTAGAATGATTTAGAAAAAAATACATGAAAAAGAAAAGAAGAGAAAAGATAACAAAAATATAAAACTTCTAAAATATTTTAAAAATCCAGTAATAATTTTATAATATATTTTTAAAATATTAAAGTTAACGACAAATACGAAATTTGCTCCATTCAATGAAATTGTCACGCTATCTAGTGAAATTAATAGAATGTAGACGCCATCTATTGAAAAAATTCTAAATCATCATTTTCATCTTTTAATTTATTAGTTTATTACTTTATCAGCTCATTTTTATTAAATATTTATTGAATATATCTCAAACTAAGAAATTGTGTCAGTATTGTAAAATAGTTTCTATGACAATTTTGTATTATAAAAGTATGATTATATACCATTCGTTATACCAACTATACCAACTAGTTTTAAATGATATATGAATCTTTTAGGTAGGCTGATCATCTGCAAAAATGGATTATTTTTTATAACTATGAATATACTGATACATATGTGTAAATGTACGTAAAATGCGAGACAGTGAAGAATTTAAATTTGTAACTCGTCGAAAGAAACGTATATCTCATGTTCGAAATATACGTCATACAAGTACCTTTTTAACCACGAACGATATCGATGATGGTAGTCTGAACATTAATTACGAAACACTGACTGGGTAAGAATTTTTTTTGTTTTTAAAGGTGTGTATGCAAATTTCTGACAATTCTATAATTTTCAGAAAGCTGCTAGAAGCTGAAACTGAAGTGAGAAATTCATCGTTCGCTGACAATGTTTTCTATTATTTGAAAGATTCATTAACCTCTTTAAATAGCAGTGACATTTCTGATATATTGTGCTATGGTTTGGGTCACTTTTCTAGTCACAGATCTTCTAAATATCAATTAGCATTACTTTTATCTTTGAAAAAGCATTATAACTCTCAAATCCATATATATGATCCAGTTTTTTCTTCTGAAGAAATCAAGTTTTTGAAATGGCTTGATTTTAATGTTATAACAATTAATGAAGAAGGCAAACATGTTATACGTAATAACATTACATTGGTATACATGCCACATTGTTCTATCCACTTAATTAATAATTTCCTTTATGCAAATTGGTGTAAAAACTTAAATAAGTGTATCCTCTTGACGAATAGTTTTTCAGTTGTTACGGATAGTTTAAAAAAAACAAATAGGTTCAGTCCTATTGATTATATTATTCGCATACAACCATATGTCACAGAAATTACTTTAAGAAATAATTTTATATATAAAGAAGTATTCAATGACTTAAGTATTCATACATTTTTTGAACATGACATTAATAAAATTCCTGAAAATTTTTGGAATATACGAGAAAAACCCTGCTATCAGCATGCAGAAATTGATTATTTAACTGCTAAGGAAACTGAAGAAATAGATGCTAAGAATTGTAAATATATTTTTTTAATTATTGTTGAATATTATAGTATATTATAATATAATATTTTTAATATTGCTAACATTAAAATATTGAAATATATGTTTATATATCATATGCAAAGCAATTTAAATAGTAAAATAATATCACAATTCTCTAGAGTTGTACAAATTAATATCATTGTGATGCAAATTTGACAAGTAATATTAATATCTGTTAGTAAGCAATTTATTCTGTCTGTTATAGGTAACAAGCAAGATGAAACCTAATACAAAATTGCTCCATTCACTTGTACAAGAAATTCGACGGTCATCATCTGAACAAAAATCAAAAAATAATATTATGATACAATACATTTTGGAGCAGGCACGATCTCATCGAGAAACGTCCGAAGTTTTGTGTAAAGCACGAGAAGAGCTGAAAAATTTAGCAGAAACATATCTTTGTTATCTAAATTCTCAACGAGTATGTAAAGAGATTCAAATTCGATATACTGGCAAAGGCGAACGAAGTATCAAAGAAACTGCAGATCTTGTCGGATTTAAATTACCTCACGATCCGAAATGAATCCAGTTTTAAACAATAATAACATCAATATAAATTTATTAATAAAATTTATAAAATGCTAAAATGTATAAAAGATAATTATAAAAAGTAGCTATAAAAAATAAAATATAAAATAAATCTTGATTCAAACATTGATTATAAGAACATATTTATGAGTACTGTTGACGAATGCATTTGGCTATAGTTGACAATTGCATGTTACTAGTGCCCTCGTAAATAGTACCGATTTTAGAATCTCTAAAATATTTTTCTTGAGGAAAACTTGTTGTGAATCCTACGCCACCCATAAAGTCGATACACTTTGCAGTAACACGCAAAGCCATTTCTACATTGAAGAAACACATGTAATAAATTTCATAGTTAATATTTTGATATTACGATTTGCGCCAAAGAAACAAAAAAGACATCAATTACCAGAAGCGACTAGTTTTGCCATGGCAGCCTCTTTCATTACATTCTTTTTAGCATCGACTAATCTAGCAGCATTATAAACTAATAACCTGGCAGCTTCAAGTTCAGTGGCTACTTGAGCAATTTGATGTTGCATAGACTGCAAACAAAACAGTTATAATACTTAATTTTTGTAGTAATTATATTAAAGACAATTGAATTATCTTTTATACTTGAAATGAGAATATATCCTTTCCAAATTGTTTCCTTTCTAACGTGTATGGTATGGTGGCATCAAAGCAACCTTGTGCTATACCAATCATTTGAGCTCCAATACCAATTCGGCCTTCATTTAAAAATTTAGCAGCATATTTATACCCTTGTCCAAATTCTCCTAAAATATTCTCTTCGGGGACCTTAATTCACGAAAAAACCGTACATGAAAAAAAAATCTATTACGAGCAATATAGCATATTGAAACATTTAAAAAATCATTTCATTTACTTTGACATTATCGAAGTGAATCATACATGTACCCGATGCTTTAATTCCTAGCTTATCCTCAGGTTTGGCGATTATTAATCCAGGTGTATCTCGTTCTACAAAAAACGTTGTAATGCCACGATGTCCCTATTTCAAAATTTTTTTTTATTAATATTGCCCTATTAATAAATTACATCGTTAAAATTAATAATTATATGATGTAGTTAATAAAAGCAAAATGATATAAAATCGGTCAAAGGTTAAAGTTGAAATGTTCGAACATTTGGATAAATAAATTAATAAAATTTTAAGAAGATAATTGATATATCATGAAATACGCGATCGTTTCAGCTCAATCTACTATTAATCAGAAGGATTATTTTTATTGCATTTATGAGTCAAATTCGCATTTTCTTTTCCTCTACTTTTTCTGAGCTCATTATTTAATAGAATAAGAATATTAAACTTACAACAGAAGGATTTGCATTTGCGAAAACAAGAAATAATCCTGCGATATCGGAGTTCGAAATCCACATTTTTGTTCCATTTATCACATATTCAGCTCCATCCTTTTTCGCTTCAGTTTTCAAAGAAAAAGCATCTGATCCTGAACCAGGCTCTGTAAGACAAAAACTTCCCGCCTAAAAAAAAAATAAGAAATGAAAGTAAGTAAAATTTATATATACTATTACATTATTATTGTTATTATTGTATTGCTATTATATTATTATAATATTATAATAAAATGATTTTGCCAAATGTTAGTCTTTTAATACAATTATTACGTGAAAAATATTTTTTGCATTATCACAATTTAAAGAGATATTTAAGTGGCGTAACTTAAATGACCACCTTATAAATATGTAAATTTTTATTGTTATTTTTTTCTGTATAAAGTTATCAAAGTTTTGTATATATTAAAGTTTATCAAAGTTTATTATATATTATCTATAAAATTGTTTACGCACATGCTGTCCCGTTAATCTTGGTAGATATTTTGCTTTCTGTTCTTCCGTAGCAACTTTCGTAATTAATGAGTTCACTAAAGTATTGTGAATATCGACTAGAGCTGCTACAGATCCACAAACTTTGCCAACTTCTTCAACAGCTAAAACTGTTGTCATGAAATTACATTCAGAACCACCGTATTTTTCCGGTACTTCAATGCCCATTAACTGCCAATAGATTGATCAAATTCGTTATGTAAAAAATATAAAAATTTAAAAACACGAATTGTTCATATTAATTATTAATAGTAATTATATTTATTTATTATAATGATAAATAGAGAACTTACACCATTTTCGAAAAGCTTTCGTAACAATCCATCGTCTATTCTCCCCTCTTTTTCCATTTTTTGCACGAGCGGTGCAATTTCCTCCTTCGCGAATTTAGCAACTGAAAAATTTTGCAAATAAAAAGCATATAAAATAATTACATAAATGTAATAATTTATTAAATGTAGAGAACATTAAATAGTAACAACAGTTACCACTTTCTTTCATCATAAGTTCTTCTTCCGAAAATTGAGTTATAGGTCCAGTACAATGATGCAATCGTACGTAGGCAGCCAAATAAAGCTTTTTACTGTACATTTTTTGTAATATCTGAAAATTGGTTTTATCGGACTAGTTTGAATTTTGAATATATACGTTAGAACACGACTTATAAGAAACGGTGTTTGATTAATATAAATAAAAATATTTATTCGAAAATGTAATGTATAAAGTTAAGTTCTATAACGTTCTAAGAAATCTAATGAAATAAAAAAGTATTTTATGAATAGAATTAAAAAAAACACAATCAAATAGAGATTTGTTTTATTCATATAAATATCATAACGAATGCAATATTTGAATGTTTTATATATTTTTGAATCCGTCTACACTCTGCGGACTTTTGCATTTTTAAATTTTTCATAAATATATAAACATCTACAATAATGACGTCAATGATTTTTTAAAATAATTCTTTAAAAATTGTTCTGTTAAATTTCAAATCTTCCATGCCACATCACCAAAGTTTTATATTACTCCTCTCTTTCGCTCTAATTATTAAAACTATTAATTAAAAATTGCTTAATCACTATTATTATTAACAATAGACGAAAAACATAAACACTATACATACCTGTTTTATCGATGGTGTAACTAAATTCATTTTTCTACTTTTTAAAATTATAATTTAATTTTGAAAATATTTGCGAAAACTATAAATTGATACTACGCGCATGTGTTATTTATCAAAGTTCATAAAAATTTAATAATTTGAAAATAGAAAAGAATAAGAGAATAGGAAAAGAATATACATCAGCGTGTTGTTGATGAGACACCAGATCAAAGACTGTATTACTGACTCAATAGGAACATTATACATATCTGTTACTTCTACCAGTTGATCCTACACACACACAAGTATCAAACAGGTTCTTATATAACAAGAAAATGCTTGTCTATCAAAAAAACTTAGGAAACGTCAATTTCTATTTTCATAGTTATAATTATTCAATATTATTTATTAGTTACTATTTTTATATACTTTAATTGCAGAAGGTCACGTATATGTATATTCATATGTACATATAAATTATCTTAATTTTTAGATACAAACGCAAATATGTACAGTTTAGATAGTAATTTAGAGAACTTAACGTAGTATATTTCATGCATGCATTTTTCTCTTCGTCTTTTACAAAAATATTTGAAAAGTAAAATTTAATATGAAATTTAATTTAAAAAATAAAGAATATAGAAAGAAGCATGGAAATTATATGTATAAATTTCTATTCAACAATATGTGATTGACTGAGATATCAATTTATTCATGAATTATTGAATCCAGTCAAATCTAGGAATGAGATCATGTTTCGTTTATGAAGAACAATTGAACTTTTCTCATGTGTTTATCGATGTACTTTAACCTTCTAACTAACGCTATTTAATTGATGATGAAATAATATTAGTTTTTTATATATACATCCTTACAAAAACATTTTTAAAAAATATCACTGACGATTGGTTTAGAATACAAATCTATTTATTCTTTAAATGATCAATGAACTTCGGATGGAAATTTTTGTAATCATAAACAAACTTGTTTTTTCGTTCCAAATGACTAATGTGTTTATCTTCAAGCAGTTTTAAAAATCGTATTTTTTAAATTAATATCGCTTGAAAACGAAGTATTATGTAAAAGAAATATTATTTTATATTCTGAACTTACTTTCTTCCAATTGCATCATGATTATTAGAATATCCTGTATAATACTAACTATTTAAATAACCATTAAACATTCTCCGATACATTACAAAAAAAAAAAAAAAAAAAAATAGTAACGAAAAATGAATCTAGCTCCTAAGCTTCTTTTTTTTAAATATTTTCTTGCATTTTATAATATAGTCTTTTGAATCATCTGAAAAAATCTATGATTAATATATCATCAATTAAATAGCGTTCCTTGTCTGTTCAATTTGCCGCTTGGCAAGTACAAGAGCTCAGACAATACGCAAAACAAAATTACAGACAGTGACATTTATTATCGTTATAACCATAATAGAGTGAGGAATACTATAGGCTCGACTGTTCGAGCAGCTTTAACTGCAAGATGACTATATAATGCTCCTTAAGACGGCAATCCCTACTACTACATTATTCGTTATACTACTACGAGCCTCATATGAGGCTTAGTTTATTGCCCGCTGATTTGTTTATGACCGGAACCGCCTTAGTTCAGTTATCCTGTGTCAATATACAAATTACGAATAATATTAGTATATTAAACGTTTATTGATATAATTGATTCTGTTTAATAGTAATTTATTAAAAGCGGAATGCACTGTTTGGTACTTTGAGGACTATATATTACATTGTTAAGCTGTAAAATACTATAATCATTGTAATATAGACTGAAAACAAAGTATCAAAAGTAATTTGCAATAATAACCAGTATTTTATTATTTTGTGATTGATATGTGATAAATTAAATTTTAAATTTATGAAATTAATATGAAAAATTATCATGTACATGGCAAAATATTTAAAATATATTATATTGCCGCAAAACATAAAATATATAAAACACTTTCGATTCATCGTAGCATATCGACTTTCGATAATTTCCAGTAAATACGTACAATATGTATTGTGTCATTGGTTATATAAAACTCGAACTCCCTGATTGGACGGTAACTTAAAAGTTAACCAATCAGATGGTATAATTTCGAGAAGCGATTTCTCGTTGGGTTGCTGTTAAGGCTTTGTAGATCGGCTGCGCAGTAGTATTGTGCGCATGATCCGCGTGCCCGTTGTATAATTAGTTGAAGGAAAAAAGCAGGAATGCGGAGCAAGATAGAAACGGAAACGAGATATCAACACTGATAACCAAGTTTAGATTTTTTTTGAGAGAATTGAACTCTTCTACGTGCTCGAAAGGAGATCAAGTATGAAAATAACCAATATAAATACGATTAAATAAATTGACAAAAGCATAGGTTAAAAAGTAGAATTGGTTGGAAAGAATTGGTTGGTGAATGTATAAGGAGAAAAAGAGATATAAAGCTTGAAGTGGGTGCAACGAAAGTAAAGAGAGAGGAGAAGCTAGAGGTGGCAGTGGAAGTGGAAGAAGTGTAAGTGGTGGTGGTTGGAATAGTAGTGGTGGTAGTAGGAGAGAAGCTACTAGGAGGTGGAGGTAGCTTGGGGAAGGTTTGCCAGCCGCCGGAAGAGCATCGACGGCGACGGGGGCGGGGAAGCTGTTCACCGAACGGAACGACCGCTCGGTGATACGAACAGCGAGTCGAACGGTTCCCCAAACGAATACGGATATATCGATCATCGACGATAGTTGCCGATTTTGTGCTAGGTAAGTCTCTTCAGCGACTAATGATAAAAAGTATCGTTGTAAATATGGATCACTTAGAAAATTCTACCGCTTAAAATACAAAAGAACGTGGTTTGAAATAATTGACAAGAATGACGTAGCGTAAGGGGTGTGTCGTGCCGTGTCGAGTCGAATCCGAGTAGAGTCAAGTCGTCGATTGGGCAGTACAATCTCGTTTGCACATTTGCAAAACGTTTATCAACAATACACTGTCTTAAAATCCTGTCAGTTGTATTTTCCATCAGTTTTGAAGTATTTAGTAAAAAAAACATCGATAATTACTGTCAAGATACTTGCTGTCATAATTGCGCCATTGAAAACCATTACTCACCATTGCTATATCGCCATTTGCATTGTTAAACCATTGACCTTCTTTTCTCCCTATATTCATGTAAAACATTGAGTTTTGAATGAAAATTTAACTTCAAGCGTGATACCAATAATGTTTTAGTACTCTCTTCTTTCATTTGACATGATGTTTCATGGTATTACATATACATAGTATTTAGACCGGCGGGAACCATTGGGATGAAAGTAAAAATTGTGTTCATCTTGGATTTTTATTTCGTGAATTTGATTGAATTGATTTTATTTTGGTGTTCTGTATAGAGATTATCTTTACAATGATAAATGTGTCAGCATTTGAACATGAAACGAAAGTCAGCATCATTCTGTTAATTGTATATAATCATCTAATTACATTGCTTTTGGACCAATATATTGTTAGGAAGAAATTCAGCAAGTTGTAACCAGTATACAAGATAATTCTCCTTTATGTCATTAAATTTACTTCTGAATGTCGTAGATACGTGCTTGTTTGTATAAGAAATTGCTTGCATTTGTTTGTACAAGACTAAATTGACATGCATACATATAATGGTCATTTGGGCGTATTCACACGAATAACCATACGCCGAGCTCGTCTCAACGTCCTTATGATCGAATGACAGTATAATATACATATACTCATGTAGACAAGTGTCTTAAATAAAAGTCTTAAATCATCACCAATTTTACCGCGAAAGGCATTATTTAATATGTAGGTGTCAATGGGTTGCTGCATAATTGTGAATGTCCTTTTTTTCTTGTAACAACTCCGGACCGCCCGCGCGCGATCTATCGTCGCTTGGAAATAAACTTGCTGCTCTCGAGTTTCGGTACTATAGAAGGCACGCTCACCTGTGCGTTTGGTAATTCATCTTGAATTTCAGCTTTTGATTTATTAAAAACGCGTTCGTTTGAACAGCCGTTTTCTATCTCTTTTAAGTCTTGTTTATTTGTTTAATAGTATCGCTATCCGAATTATTGTTTCGTTGAAAGTTAGTTTTACCATTAATAATGGAAATCGAATTCGCACCAAATTTATGCTTAAAAAAAAAAGTAACTTTCTCTTCTGTTAATGTATCATTGGCATAAAATACGATGATTGTATTCATCGTATCCGGATAAACGTAGTATCACCCAACGAGTAACGATAGCGAGCTTTACGTTTTAAGTTATGACATCATCGCGTCGAGAAACAGCGGACGCGTCGCATTAAGTATCTCGCGCGCAATACTCGCATTCAGTTCGCTATCTCGGTTGTTCAATACGTTATCCATGTTTTCCGTTTAATCGACTTCTTTTCACAAAACGCAAATAGATTCCGCTCCGTTTTACAAGTTTTTCTAAATTTTTTGTCACGAAAAATATGAATTATGTGACATGAATTTAATAATTATTTTCTAGAAATGTACATACGTATAACAAAACATAAAATTTATATGATTACGATAGCGGGGCAATGACGCGGAGTAATAATCGCGAATGGCTGGAATTTAATTGGTGTTCGTTGTTAAATAACGTTGACGAACGTTAATTGAAGGAATTACACTACTTGGTTATAATGAATTACGTGCACACGCATGTAGAAAATCAGAAATTCTTGAAGATTCATTTTATCAATCGAATATTAAGATTAAAAAATTTAAGTTTAGAAAAGACGCAGGAGATGAGATTTAATAAAATTTAATTTTGAAATTCATTAAGCTGCAGTACATATAATAGAAAAATGAACCAAAGATCGTATATATAATAATATAATCAATATTTAATAATAATTTGTAAGTTTTTTCTTGTATCATATATACCGTGTATGATTAATTTTTAAAGTAAATTATATTAAAAATAAAAGTATATTATAAAAGTATATTATCAATCCTGTGAGTAATGAAATATATAAATAATTATTTTATGCATCTCGAATATCGATTTGTTTATACAATACAATGATTTTTAAAAAAAACTTACATTCTTCGATCGATGTTATTTCTTGATTCAGAATAAAGAATTCAAATTTATTCAACAGAATTCAGTGGATACATATGTAAACACTATTATTTAAAAAATATACACAGCAATAAATTAATACTACGTTCACTGGAAATAATAAAAATTGTTAAATGAACTCCTTTCCTTTACAACTATAAGGTACAATAAAGTTTGGTTAAAACGAAATTGATAAAACGAGCGATAAAAGAACAATTAGAAAGTAGAAAATTACAGTAGACACGATGGCGAAGATATTTCATGTAAGCGGTAAAAGAATTCGCAGATGATCTTCGCAATTTGCCTGTTTAGAGTAGAATTCGCGGAAGTTGTGAATTTGGGTTAAGCATACGCTTCCGAATTATTAAGAGCCGTTAAACAAGGTTATTAGCGATACTAGTGTATGGTGTATGATGTGCCTGACACATCTAAATAGAAGGTGCAGGTGCAATACGCTTCCCTTGCTTTGTTTTTTGTGAAATATTTTAAATTATAACACATGCAAGTTCTTCTGTTCTTTATAATTATATTGTAAAAGCTATTCAGATCATTCGATACGCCAACTTTTCTTTTATAGTTTCTTCTGAACTTTAATCATCCGTTGAATAAATGACGAAAGAAAATCGAACGCACAGTAAAATTGTAACTTTCAACGGTTAATTCCTTCGTGACACTCGCAAGTATTATTTTTGTTCCCTTTATGCTCTAATAATTTTGAAAAAATATTTATTTTTAGCATATGTGTTATTTAAACAGACTTGAAATATCGAAAATAAGAATGGCTATAAAAAATTTAAAAAAAGCTTGTATGTAGTCTAGGACACAGAGAGTTTTAAATAAAGCTAAATTCTTTACCTGAACGTAGATGCGATTTGTTGTCGTAATATATCTAAAATCGCAACAAAAAAGGAATAAAAAAAAACTGAAAGATAGCGTTCTAAGATCAAGAGGATCAGAATGTTGGGCAGGGTGGAAGGATGAGTATACGTGATATAAATAAACGTAAGAATTTGAAAAAGAAAAAGCCGCGGTTTCAGTCGCACTAAGGATTCTTGTCATTTCCCCCTACCATCTACATGTTCGACGCACCTTACTCTACTTGACTGTTACTCGGAAGTTTATTGATCGTTTGCTGTCTCCTGTCGGTTTCCTTGTGTTCATTCCACATTTCAAATGTGAAAGGAAATGCCTGAAAATTATCTTCTCTGTAGATAACGAAGCACGATGTATGATCTTATGTCAGAAACACAGAGAAAAGAAACCGAGAGATAAGGAATCCGTTATTTGACCAAAAAGATAAAAGATTATACCCGATCGAGAGCATTCATTTCTACGTATTTTTTACGTTTTACTTTTATTCTTTAATTTTGCGTAAAATGTATTGAAATATATGTAATAATGATTACCGATATGTATCATTTTGTTTTAGTCGGCATTCAACGGCAGGGGTGGAAGGTGGCGGAGGAGGAGGTGGCGGTGGCGGTGGTGGCGGTGGTGGAGGTGGTGGTGGTGGCGGCGGCGGCAACAGTGACAGTGGTAGTGTCGTAGCTAGTGGTAGTGGCAGTGATAGTGATAGCGACGGTGATTAAAAATAAGAGAAAGCGAACGAGCGACGAGGGAAACTGATATAATTTAGAAAAGAACAAAAGGACAGTAAATAACAAGAATGGCAGATCCAAGTCAACAACAACCATTGACCGAGCCGCATACGAACGGAGTAATGGACGGTTTGACAGAGGAAGAGAAGAGTAAAATGCGGCCTGCAGACATTGATGCGGTAAGATATAGAAAAAAAATGAAAAAAACAGAAAATTGTGCAATCTTGTTCTTACGTTCTGTGCCATTTTCGATACACACTGAATTTTTTATTCGCTTTTAGGTACGTTGTAAAATAAGTCCATATCAACGTACTGCATAAAATGTATTTAAGAAGTACGTTAAAATTATCACTTTCTTCGTAGGATATGAGGGAGATGGAAAGGAGGAAGCGAGTCGAAATGATGATGAATTCACGACTTTTTCGGGAGGAACTAGAACGTATAATTGAGACACAAATGAAAGACGGTGCTGGACCATCAGGTCTGCTACAGCAAATCTCTGACATGATGGGTGCACAAGGTGCTCGGTTTAACGGAAATGTTTTTAAAAGTAAGTTCATTAAGTTCTAATCATTCGGTTGTCTTTTGTCTAACGATGAATTAACTAATTTTATTACAGATTCAAATTGTGTATTACCTATCAACGATATACGCGGTGTCGAAAGTATGGGTTACGCAAAGGGAGAGAAACTATTGCGCTGCAAGTTGGCAGCGGTATTTAGACTGCTTGATCTCTATGGTTGGACTCAAGGTGTCGGTGGACAAATTACGGCACGTTTGAATCAAGATCAAGAACACTTTTTAGTTAATCCGTATGGTCTGTTATATCATGAAGTTACTGCTTCAAGTTTGATTAAAGTTGACATGCAAGGAACGGTTGTGGAACAAGGAACAACCAATTTTGGGATTCACGTGGCAGGATTTCAATTGCATTCAACGATTCACGCCGCTAGACCCGATATAAAATGCATTGTTCATATTACCACTCCGTCCGTTACTGCTGTAAGTAAAACAATACGTGTCTTCTTCTGTTTTCAACTTTCTTATTTTTATTAAATGTATATTTCCTCAGATCTCGTCATTAAAGTGCGGATTGCTACCAATTGGACAAGAGAGTATAGTAATAGGAGAGGTAAGCACACATCAATATATAGGTGGATTTTTTGAACCAGAGGAGAAAGAGAAGATAGCAAGAAATCTTGGTCCAATGAATAAAGTCATGCTGTTAACTAATCGTGGTGCTCTCTGTTGCGGAGAAACTGTCGAAGAAGCTTTCTTCAATGTTTACAATATGGTCCTAGCTTGCGAGACCCAGTTGAAACTAATGCCTGCTGGTTTGGATAATTTAAATCTTATTTCTGAAGAATCTAAGAAAGCTATATTTGAAGCCTCGAGAAAGCCACCCACACCGCAACAAACGGCTCCGATCACCGAAACCACAGCTCTTTCTGAAAAACTCGAAAAGCGTTGGCGAATCGGTGGAACTGAATTTGAGGCACTTATGCGGATGCTCGATAACGCAGTAAGTATATAGAGTTTTCATTTTTTGTTTTCTTCATTCTCTCCCTTTTCTCTTTTATTCCGAATAGTTTTACTTTATTTTCATTTATTTATTCTATAATAGCTAACAGGTTGTTTATCTTGTTTGTACAGGGTTTCCGTACTGGCTATATATACAGAAATCCACTAGTGAAAGGAGAACTCCCGCGGCCTCGAAACGATGTTGAAGTACCACCTGCTGTCTCGTCTTTAGGATATTTACTTGAAGAAGAAGAACTTTACAAACAAGGGTAAATATGTTTGTTATATATATATTCATAATTATCGGAGGAACCTTTGTTACATTTTCATTTCTTTTATAGGCTCTGGAAAGGTGGTCGTAAAGGTACAGATAGGTCACGTTGGTTGAATTCACCCAATGTATACCAAAAAGTTGAAATACTTGAAACAGGAACCCCTGATCCGAAGAAAATTACAAAGGTAGAAGTCATCACTTTTGAGAACAAAACTGAATAGATGTAATGGCGTGCTTAAAATAAACAACAACGTGCAACAAATAAAAGAAAGTAAAAAAAAAGCTGTGTGGAAAGGTGAAGTTTGCGCAAGAATTAGAATAATCTTGCAAAATATTTAAAAAATAACATAAAAATAATAATTAAAGAATCGATGTCAAAATTTGCATTCATATTATTAAGATTGATATTTTACATGCACATGTTGTTACATTTATAATCTTCTATGAAGTTATTTATCAAAACGTAATTATCATCGTTAATAATTATAAGAAAAGAAATCATATTCGTTTTCAAAGAAATTGTTTATTTCTGTTGGAATGAGAAAAAAATGAATCATATTTCATGTTGTCCATTATTTTCTTCTAATATTCAAAGGACAATGAAAAGAAACTTTACATGAAAATTAATTGAAATTAAAAATTCATGATTCCTGTTCAATTATTAGATTAGATTTGTTATTTATAATCTCCGTAGTGATATTGACGTACCTTCAATACATTCCAATTTATAATACTGTAGTAGAAAATACATTGTGAAATCCATACAAAAAGAAAGGGAAAAAAGAGAGAGGGGGAGGGGAGTACAACTATTTACTTTAAAGAAAAAAAGGAGCACCTATATAATAGAGTCTCAACAATCTGCTTACTATTAATATAAATGTAGTTTTAAATAAATGTTGCTATGATATTGTGCATCTTTCGGTGGATCTATTAAAATTATAATAGGACTTTATTGCACCTCTCTCTTGTAGCTTATTGATATATAAATAAATATATGTCTACTGTTTATCGTGTATAGGTAATTTTTCGAAAAAAGTTCCTTTTCTTCACTTTATAACAGCGTAACAGCATGTATAAAAATATATATACATATAAAAACACGAGAAAGAAACAGAAAGAAACTTATTAAAGTACGTTTATATTTTATTTATTGGTTCAGTGAAAAATGGCCGTATTCTCGAGCATTTTGTCGAGTTTATGGCATTTTAACATTGTTAATGATTTAACCATATGATCTATATGGATATCATTATTTGACTGATTCACATTCAAAACTGTGTATGAATGTGTGCCTGTTAAAATCGTGTCGTCGAAGGAATGGATATTCAACTCTTCGTCCCACTGCATTTACAAAACCAGATCGATCGACCCTAGATCGAAGGAGGGATAAATACGAAATGCCCGAAGAATATTATTAATGATAGGAATAGATGTAGATGTAGATGAAAGTAGGTATAAGAATTTTTGAATGTTATAAGAACAGTAGGTAAATTAATAAAAAAATTTGTATTTGAACTAGACAAATGAACGATCTAAAATGTTATAGCATAATGTGCTTATGTATTTAAGTTGATTGAAATAATAAGACGACATCACCAGCAAAGCAGGCACACATAACATACGCAGACAATGCGGAAATACGTATCTTATAATGCTGTGTTGGATGTCGAATTATCGATGAGGGTCGACTAACGTTCTGGTTTTGTGTGCAGTGGGTATCAGACGGATCTCCGACCCATAGCAGTACACCGGTGAAGATCGACAGTGCCCTTCAATTTGTACCGAAAAATACCAATCCAAAGGAATTTAAACAAATACAACAACAGGTAAGTAACATGAAATCTCATTTGTTATAGTTTACGTGAATTTCTTAAAGTAATTTAATTAAATAACATTTAAATATTTTGTATTTGCAAACTGATCAAACCCTTGGAGCTATGCCTTTTTTGTTTAGATAAAGGATTACCGTAGGGCGGACAAGATATCAGCTGGACCACAATCCCATATACTAGAAGGAGTTACATGGGAAGAAGCTAAAAAAATGCAGGTGATGTGACATTTTTAAGATAGTAACTTAAAAATAACGTTACAATAATTTATTAATTTACTATTTTAACAAAATATATTGAACATTTTCTTATAAAAGGATGCTACTATTAGCGGAACAGGAGAACAAGTAGTGTTAGTAGGGGCTGCTAGTAAAGGTATCATTCAAAGAGGGTTTCAACACAATGCAATGGTTTACAAAACACCGTATGCCAAAAATCCTTTCGACGCTGTTACTGATCAAGAACTCGATCAGTACAAGAGAGAAATTGAACGTAAACAAAAAGGAGATATCTGTAAGCAGAATAACACATAAACTTATCGTCAGTTGAAAATTTACATATAAGAAAATTTAATCTTTGTTTGCTTTTCTTGTTTTACAGACGATGAATCGCAATCAGAATCGGAAGCATTGTCATCGTTCAATGTTAGTCGCGCAACACACGAATCAAGCACTGCCAAAAGTCCCATTCAGTCACCAGTATCGGTAACTTCGGAAACAGAAGAGGAGAGCAGAGATGGTAAATAACAAAAATTTTCACGTAGTTTTTGTTTTTATCTTAGAGTTGAAAAATTATTCGATCAATGTGTCGTTTTCCAATTATTCACAGAACCCCGAGTACTACGAATAGAAACGAAACAAGTGCCTGCACCAAGTCAGCCTGAAGTTGTGTTAAGTGACGGTAAATTATTTTTCACAATTTTTAGTCCCTAAATCCTGTGCACTTCAAATCGATCATTTTCATAAAAACAAAAGTACTTTGAAAATGAGCGAAGGGATGGATAGTATGCATGTTCAATAATATGTATGTATATGGAAAGTCTTGTATCACGTTTAAGCTTTTCCTTTTGCTTTGTGTGCGTTTCATAATATTGTATTTATATGAAATATATTTCATATTTTGTACAATTAATAATTACGATTACAAGACTTGTTCCATAAGCATGAAGATTTTGCAATTTGTCATTGCATTTCTTTCTTACCTTAAATTTATCACCTTTATGATCACTAACGCTTGCACCTTGCATGGCTGTACATTTGCATAAATATTTTGGATATTTGTGTTTGGTACATGAATATAAATGTTGTTTCCTCCACATTTTCTCCCTTTTTTCTATTTTTATCCTGCATTACATTGCATTAATTACCTCGCACCGTATTAATAAATAATATTAAGTTCTCGTTACATTTTCCACTATGAATTATAAATTGTAGTAACTATTAAAAAAAAAAAAAAAAATCGTGTGATCAACTTATGCATGATAATGACAGACATGATTCTTAAGGAATCAATTTGTCTTGACTGACATACTTGAATCACAATTTGTTCGATTTCACAGTTTATATAGACTTTTGGATGCCTTAATTTTTATTTTCTCAGCTGTTGCGAATACGACAAATTTCTTAGATACGCAGGTGTGAGCATCCGTGATCATAATCCATAAAAAGAGAAAGTAAACAAAAGGAGCAAATATTAAAATACAGCTGTGGTGTTTTTGGGCAATGTGGTTGCAGATCCTGGTTCACCGAGCAGGTACTGCAGTCAAACCGAGAACGAATATGAGAACAAGATTGGAAATGATGCCTGTATTATTCATAAGTACTGTCATTATCCAGTTACTGAACAATATCCATACGAACCGCGTTTAGAAATTGTTCGAAGTGACATAATCGCAGAGCGACTAGTAATTAAATTAATTGACTACTGTCCTTATCCTTCAGTTATGTCAATTGATAAGCAAATAAATTACACGGAAGATGCTCTTGAAGAAATTTCAAATTCAGTTAACTTTAGAAACAAAAAATCACAAGAAGAATTGAATGATAAAAGAAAACCCAAAGTTCGTAGATCACTGAAATTGAAAAATAATGAAAATTCATTGAAGTTTACGTCTTCTAACAAAGAAACGAAAGAAAGAAATAGAAATGAGAAAACGAATTTGATATCGGTTGATACGAATTCTATGGAACGGATTACCGAAATAGTGAATTATACTGATTCAAATATTCCATCAATAAAAACAAAATTGAACACTTTGTTTCAACCTAAAGTTAAAATCTCAACAAAGTATAGCTTAGATTCTAACGATATGAATTTAATATACAGTTTGACTCCATTTATGAATTCAGATGATCATGAGAATGTTGATAAAATGATTTTAAACGAAACGTCGAAGTTAACAACACTTATACCAGAATCTAATGATAATCTGAATCAGAATTGCTTTTTGCAATCGAACGAAGAGAAAAGTCTTCAAAATCGATGGAACAAAAAGGATTGCGTAGATGAGAAAATTGATAATTACATTTGGTTCGATTCATTATTTGACAGTGAAAAGTATGACCTTTGTAAAGATAACAAAACTATCAATAACGATATATGTTTTGATAATGGACAAGTCGAAATTCATTCGAATGAAGGATCTGATATGTTAGAACTGTCCACTAATGCGGTTTTAGAATTGTTGGAAAGTAGCGAAGAATATTTTCGAAATGACATAAGCAATATGGCGAATGAGATTATTGCAGAACTTAATGTGAATGATACATATATGGCTGTTTACTGTTTAGTAAACGAAATATTTCAAAAAGTTTATGACATTGTATCAAATATAGAGTTAAATGATCCACACGATTCGTTGTCATCTACAATTTCTCGACATTACTCAATTTCAAAATTGTACTTAGATGTAAAAGATGATGATCAAATAACCAAAGAATATCAAATTGATCAAACTACACCTGTTGTCGTTGTACACGAAGTTATTCACCATGTGTATGATGTATACGATGAAATTAAAAAAGCGAAGACCTGTGCAAACGTAGAGTTGAAAGAAAAAGAAAACAACAATATTAATAACGAAAGAGATGAAATAGAGCAGCAAATTGACGATTTTCCAATAATGATAAATAATGACGAATTGGAAACAGCATCTGACCTACAAGTTGCATCGACTGTTACTCCTGAGAATTTGGTTTTAGAAAAAAATAATCAATTTGTTGAAACGGTGACAGAAGTGGATGACACGATGGAATCAGACGCAATTTTCGAATTTCGTACAATAGTGAAGGCGAAACCAACGAATACTGATGAAAAAGCATATGAATTGAATTTCAGAATAGAGAGAAATTTAGGTGCTAATAACGTTGAAAATAAAAAATTACACGAGCAAGAGAAAGTTGAGTTTGAGCCAACTGTAAGTCTTGATAATCTCATAAACATAAATTGGAGTACAAACTCGTATAATTCGGTCGAAATTGCTTCAAAAGAAGCCGAATTAATAAAACTACCAGAGACTTCTACGTCTGTAGAAATACCTATTGATGGTACTCATTGTGTAAATTCTTATATTTATGATTACGATCAAGGATGTTCTTCGTTATCAACTATAGGCGAAGAGGAGTCTTGGTATAAATTCTTGGAGGAAAATGATATAAGTAACAATGCAGAAGTTGAAGAAAATCGACTTAATGATACTTATATATGCTGTGATTCCGATGAAATCGTAAATGATAAAGAATTGTCTAATCGTAGTTTAGAAAATGTCAATAACGCATGTTCTCCTGAAATGATTCCAACAAATAATCATAGTCCATTTTAAATATACCATTCAGCGGAATTTAAATCGATAATTTAAGAAAACCAATACTAGAATTTAGTTTTATTTCAAAAATGCTTTTACAAATAATAGCTTTCTCAAAATTTTTATTTTCTGTTTCTGCTTTCGTTTGCTATAAACCAAAGAGATTATTTTATTTATCAATTATTATTATTTATCATATTGCTTATTTATTTATTAAAACTTTCATCGTTCATTTATTTATAGTTTCAGTACGAGCTTACAATAAAAGATGTATATCGTATAGTTATATATTTTATCCATCCATCAAGCCAAAACTGAAATTATAAAACTACATGTTAATTTGTACGTTAGTACGTAATTTTCGTCTATTTAATATTGTTCATATTTGTATTGTACCCATTGTTCTTGTCTTGATAGCTTATGTATTCTATTTTTAGTTTCTTAGTTCTTTCTTTCTTTTTTAATTTTTTACATTTACTAAGAGGTACGTGTTTTGTAAGCAAGACATCAAGTTTGTGAAATAAACAATTTTCATATAAGTAGTGAGATATAAAAGTTAAAAACAAATCATTTTAACATTTCTATTTATTGTTGATCATATTTGATGAATCATATTTGAAATATTCGAAGAATAAACAAGAATCAAACTTTGGTTTTCATTTTTGAGGTAAGCGACTATTATGATATCGACGATTCCTAATAAAATTCTAATTTGCACACTAAAAATACTTATTCAATTGTTAACATAAATTTCATATAGTATTTTTTCTTTCTCTCTTCTCTGTCACTTAGGTGAATTTTTTTTAACAATATATGATATTTTTCACGTTATGTTTCAGGGGAAAATACTGTAAACGGCGATCATTCTGATGCACATCACAGTACATTTTCTCAAAGTAGTAAAGAGGTTTGTTCCTTATATTGCTTTAACTTGAATACCTCATTATCCTCGAGTTTTATCATAAGTAAAAGTTTTACCGTTCAAATAATTGATTTGAAAGATTTTTAGAATAAAAAAAAGCGATCGAAAGTATTGAAAAAAGTTCGAGGATTCTCAAGGTGCATATGTATATGTATGTATGTATGTATATGTATATATATATATATATATGCAATAACGAAATACATATTGCGTATGTATGTATATATATATATGTCACGCAATTGATACATGCATTAAGTTTATTTATTCGCTAAGTATTTAGTGAAGTTAATTTCTATGAAATATTTAAAAAAATGGGTTAAAGATAAGAGAAAAAGGTAAATGATTTCATTTAGATAATAAAAATTTAGATGATAAGTATAAAAGATTAAGATTATTTATAATTAATATTATTTACAACTTATGTATTCAAAAAATACAGTCAATTGCGTGACTTACTTTACATTGTAAGGACGTTACATATTCTTATCTTTTTACTATTTCTACTGAATCTAGTTCGCATTTTCTTTTTTCTTTAAAAAAAAAAGAAAAAAAAAAAATTAGTCGATGGTCTTTTACCTTACTAATCGTAAATTTTCTTTTACGAATCTTCACTTCATGTCATCTTCAGTTTTCAAACGAGTCTTAAGAATCATACGCAACTGCTGCTTCATCATTAACTGTGATATTAATGCTAGGAATAAGCTAGTGCGCCAATAGTGTTCGCTTGCATGAATCTAAGAATGACCGATTTTTATATATCAATAAAGATCATGCAAAACGCTAAGGGGCGAAGGAAAAAAGATGGGACACGCGTGCGCGTGTGTTTTGTATGTATTTACAGGAAAAGTTTTAACAGAATGGGAAGAAATAGGCAAAATTATAATCTTACATATTTATATAGAAGTTCGAATTTGCAAAATGCACTGTACTAACAATTTAGAAAGTAACAACAAATTAGAAATAATATCAGCCCCCCATTATATATACTTATTCATTAAATTGAACTGGTAGATGGTTTCAGATAATTTTTTATACGTAAATATGTAATAGGAAAAAAGATTCGACAAAGAAAAAGTACGCGCGCGCGTGTGTATGCGGGGGGGCTTGTAGGGGGGAAAAAAGGAAAAAGCGAATTGGCTACTTGCATGTGCATGCAGAAAGGTTTATGGTTACGGTTGGGACCTTCCGTGTTAAGGGTTCCGTGTCGCAGGATGTGAGCGTTAGCGAGGAGTCACCGAAAAAGGAAAAGAAGAAGAAGAAAGGCCTTAGGACACCCTCTTTCCTAAAAAAGAAGAAAGAAAAGAAGAAGCCAGTTGAGGCGTAGGTAGTCCTAACTTTGGTACGTATGTATAAAACATGCAATAATGGAATTGATATTTTTATTCGTGCCTTTTAATTATGTGCCGATCTTATTTTTTACAATTGTCGATTCTTATCAATTAATTTTCACATTGCAAAAACACCGTAAATCGATGTTCCATTTGTCAATTAATTTTGTTGCTTTGAAATGATTATATTATATATACGATTAATATATCGCGCGAATAAAATTTTTTAGAAACGTGAGCAACAATTTTTTATACTTGTTTTGTCGTTTATCGGAATAATTATTTTGCGACCTGTATCATTAATTTCCATACTGAGGAAATACTAGTTGTAAGAAGTTCAAAGAAGAAAGGTAGGCTGGAAATTTCTATGTCAGAATATGTCATTATTATTACTACTATATTATAGTGTAGAAGGGCTATTGATGCTACTGTAATTTGCATAGTTGCAGCAATCTTAGATTTCATATTTTATAGTCGCCAGTTAGAAAATCATGATTGCTATGACGGTATTTATTTATTTATTACGATAACATATTATTGTTCGGAACTATGTGCAACTCATCTTTTGTTCACTGATTTTTGAAAATCCTACTGTTTACTCGATATTTGTTTTATGATGCATCACAAATACAAATAATGAGAAAGTAAATAATGAGAATTGGCGTTATTGCGAATCGTACTTTATGAAAGGTTTCCCTTTCGATTTTCTATTTTCCAGACACTGCCACGAGCTAAAGCTTATCGCAAATAAAAGAACAATTATCGAATGAAGATTAAGTCGCGAGACAGAGAAGAGTCGAAGATCGCAAAACGAGTCAAAAAAAAAAAAAAAAAATGCATATACCGGAGACGAATGAAAATAGAAAATAGGAAATAGAACATAGAAAATTTCAAATTGAAATAACCGTGCAACAATCACAGCATCTTTCCAGGACTCAAGACTGCCATCGCATTACGTCTAAGTACGATAAGAAACTATATTGTACTGTTAATGTTTTTACGTTTTTAATTTGTTAAAGCGTCGCGCTGAACTATTTAATCCGCTATTTAATTTTGCCTCCCCAGCCCCGTTTGTGTAATGCAATAAAACAAAACAAAAGAAATACGTCTCTGATTGACGAGAAAATATCTGGGATAAATCCTTATGTATGATTTTGCCTTCTCATTTTCAATTTCTTTATTCCAAATATATCCTTATTCCCTCTTGTGCCGCCCCTAGTCAAGTTATTGTATGTAAGTACATTATGCGTCTCATATACATATATATATCATGTATATTTTTTAATCATATCTCTTATAACAGAACATTATACTTTCTTTTCAAAATTTATATACAATTGTCTTTTCTTCTTGTAATATCAAATTTATTTATATGCTTAAGATTTCTCGGGGAGTAGAAATTTTAGAAAAGATAAAGAAGAGGTGCGAGAATCGAAATTAGATGATGAATCGAATCGAGAACATTAATGAAGAATGGACAGAAGAACTAAAGAATGGGAGGAAAATATTCAGTATTCGTCGTTATCTGTTTCCACATCAGTTGAATCTAATCCAACCTCTTCATAGTCCTTTTCAAGAGCTGCAAGATCCTCACGGGCTTCAGAAAATTCACCCTCTTCCATGCCCTCACCAACGTACCAATGAACAAAAGCTCTTTTAGCATACATGAGATCAAATTTATGGTCAAGACGAGCCCAAGCTTCAGCAATAGCCGTTGTATTAGATAACATGCAAACAGCACGTTGCACCTTGGCTAGATCTCCACCCGGTACAACCGTTGGTGGTTGATAATTTATACCAACTTTGAATCCGGTGGGGCACCAATCGACAAACTGTATCGTTCGCTTCGTTTTGATCATAGCGATCGCAGCATTCACATCCTTTGGGACAACGTCTCCTCTATACAACATACAACAAGCCATGTACTTTCCGTGCCTGGGATCGCATTTGACCATTTGATTCGCTGGCTCAAAGCATGCGTTAGTGATTTCTGCGACTGAGAGTTGCTCGTGATATGCTTTTTCAGCGGATATTACAGGAGCATACGTAACCAAAGGAAAATGAATTCTTGGGTAAGGAACTAAATTCGTTTGAAACTCGGTCAAGTCTACGTTTAAAGCACCGTCAAATCGCAATGAAGCTGTTATTGAAGAGACAATCTGTCCGATTAATCTATTAAGATTGGTGTAAGTTGGTCTCTCGATATCCAGATTACGTCGGCAGATATCGTAGATTGCTTCGTTATCAACCATAAAAGCACAATCTGAATGCTCAAGAGTCGTATGAGTAGTAAGAATGGAATTGTAGGGTTCAACAACTGCCGTAGAAACTCGCGGAGCTGGATATATGGCAAATTCTAACTTGGACTTTTTTCCATAGTCAACGGAAAGACGCTCCATTAACAGAGAAGCAAATCCTGATCCAGTACCACCGCCGAACGAATGAAAAATAAGAAATCCCTGTAACCCGGTACATTGATCCGCCAATTTGTGCACTCGATCAATAACCAAGTCGACAATTTCTTTGCCAACTGTGTAATGACCACGAGCATAATTATTTGCTGCATCTTCCTTGCCAGTGATCAATTGTTCCGGATGAAAAAGATGCTTGTATATCCCAGTTCGGACTTCGTCTACAAAGAACAGTCAATATCGTCACTGTTTTCAAATATCTAATCTTTTATCATAACTTAAAGATTTTTTTTCTCTCTTACCTACTACTGTAGGTTCCAAATCAACAAATACTGCCCTGGGCACATGTTTTCCAGAGCTAGTTTCGCTGAAGAAAGTACTAAAACTATCATCGCCGCCAAACTGATCTGATGGCATTTGTCCGTCCGGTTGTATCCCATGCTCCAAACAATAAAGTTCCCAACAAGCATTTCCAATTTGAACGCCAGCTTGACCGACGTGAATAGATATACACTCACGCTGAAACAATATAAAAATTCTTTCTAAAAATATTTCTTTTTATCCAATTCCTCTTATGCAGTCCTTTTGAATTTAAAAAATCGAATCACCATTTCTCTTCCATAGAAAACTAAGAGATTCTTTTAATAATGAACAGAATCTCATTCAAATGGTTCATTAATGATTTATTATTTAGTTAAATTTTTTATTTCATCTTTTACTTTTTCTTACTGTAACTTCAACGGTCACTTTCGATCGTTGAATTTTTCTTACCATTTCAATTACGTAAAAATAAAACACAATTTTTTGGTGACGAATAACAGGTATACACAAAAAATGGGTGCCGCTTCTTTGAACGATTGAAACTTAATGATGCAAGAACGGTCGTCGGCCTCTTATATCTTCCACTTTGAATCGTCTCGAAATGTTCCCAAGTTTAATTACAAATAATCATCAGAAAAATCTATTTTCCTTTTTCAGTGCTTTTCAGTAACCAGCTTCTCAACTTGATGGTAAATTTTTGCTCGCTCAATGTATTTTTTTAAATTTAAAAGTAACAGGGTGGACGTAAGAAATTATTTTAACAAGTTCGCTCTCAGTTAGGTCGCACTTAAGATTAAATCTAATAAACGGATATAAATAGCATATCGTAGCTAGGACGAGCTTTTGCTAGCCAACACGTAAGCCAATTGAACAAAAAGTTCATGATGCAAATTCTTGTGATCTATTTTTGTTCGTATACATATGCGCACCTATATTTTCAACATTTGCAATTCGGTCATTAAAATATAGAACTCAAAATACGTACATTTCCAATACATAATAAACATTTTTACATTCTTAAATATGCTTGTTTTTTTCACTGATAAAAATTCTTAAACTGTCCATTCATATTTGAAATTTTATCTTCTCTTAGCCCTCTTAATATTTTCTCTCTATTAACTCTCAACATCAGCAGCATCTATATTTTGTTCTACATGTTATTTCACAATATATTTTTTTATAAAACTTTTTTAATATTTTAAGCTCATTAGTAAATTAAAATTAAGTAATAACAATTGGTCTTTCGTATTTTAAAAACAAATAATAATGTTAATTCTTAACTTTCTGAACAATAATGAAATAATATCAATTCTATTAGATAATCAATTTGATTGAAAATAGTTCTACTCTTTTATTTTAAGTATTATCAAATTATATCGACAAATGCGGTATGATATATACGTATATATATAAATGTTGATCAGTTGTCAGTGTGTTGGGAAAGCATACATTTTGCTACGCAGGCTAAGAAATTACCTACTTTACAAAATATTTCTATATTGTATTATAAATAGTGATAGTAATCTTATTAATCGTTATTATGTATAATATGAGCATGTCAAATGCAGATATATAATACAGATATTGTATAATATTATACAATGTCAAACCTAACATAGCAATGTGTGTAAACATAACCTCTTCATTTTATAAATTATATACTCAATAGATAGGATTTCAAGGAGCTGAGGTACAAAAACGTACGTGTATATACACTCGATAGTCTTCATCGCGTTATTATTAAGTTAATTGTAAATAATTAAGTAACACGAAGTATGGGACGTAGTCGTACACCTTCACCTGGAAGAAGAAGAGATCGGTCCCGAGATCGAGATCGGGAACGTGAACGAGATAGAGATCGCAGAAGGAGACGCTCTCGCGAAAGAAGAAGGAGGTATAATTTTTTTTTTATTATTATTAAAATTAAATGATGTAAAGACTGGGAATATCAAATAACTTTAGATCTGCTGAGCGAGATCGAGTAAAATCTAGAGATAGAGAAAGGGATCGTGATCGTGAACGGGATAGGCACAGACGTTCGTATAGCAGATCCAGATCAAGAGAAAGAGATAGACCTAAACCCAAATTAAAACCCACAACAGAACGTCCTGTAATTACAGGTAAATCTGATATTAGAAAGGCACGATATAAATTTGAAAATGACCAATTACTGTTTTCTAAATGAACATTTTTCAGAGGCTGATCTTCAAGGGAAAACACCAGAAGAACAAGAAATGATGAGAATAATGGGTTTTTGTGGTTTTGACAGTACTAAAGGCAAAAAGGTCAAAGGAAATGACGTAGGAGCTGTGCATGTTATTCTCAAAAGAAAGTATAGACAGTATATGAATAGAAAAGGAGGATTCAATAGACCATTGGACTTTGTAGCATAAAAATTATAAGTTTAATGATTCCATAAAATTTTTTGTCATTGATGGAAATTCCTTATTTTCTGCAAGTTCTATTATTGATAATATCATAAACTATAAATTTAATCAGAATAATAAGATGTACAAACAATAGTTACAAAAAATAGTTTATATAAGTGAATATATACTGTACAGAAAGAAGATGAACATAATCTGTAAAATTTTTCATTTTAAGTATTATTAAAAAATTTTTATATAAAAATACTTTACAATGCAATTTTTTGTCATAAGACAGTATAAAGTATTTTAATTAACAGTTTCATCCTCTATCCTGGGTCGTTTGTTTGAAGATTCATCATCATTACTACTATCAGAATCATTTACATTCGAAGTCTGGATTTCGCTCTCAGAGTTTTCTACATTTGGCGAAATGAGCTATAAAAAATATTTTATAATTATTGTAACACAGGCAATCTTATGAAAAATAATGCATAATGCAACATTTTCTTTCGCTTTTATTACCAAACTGACATCCATTTTCTCAAGTCCTTCTACCAATTGTGGATTTTTGATTCTAAAATCTCTTGTTATACTGTGTTTTATGTAATTTTCTAACGGTACCTAGTGAAATATGTGTACAAATTAAAAATCATTAATATAAAAAGTATTAAAGAATAAAATATTATTATTAATAAAAATACTAAACTACTACTATTACTAAAATATTTAATATTTTGATACTTACGCCCGTTCTTTTACTAAGTAACAATATTTCCTTGTTAAATTGCTCAATTTCATACACTACACGTGGTATTACTTTGGTTTCTTTTAAAATTTTATTCCTTTGTGCATATGAGTCAGATTTTGATTGTAATTTATTTTGATTTTCCTTCAGAAGATGATAAAATAATAATTATCAAGAATATTATTGATTCATAAAAAATGAAAAAATCGAACTCAATGTACCTCTACATATGTTACCAAGTTATAAAAAGTAGATTTTAATGGTTTACCAGCTAATTGTACCACTTGAATAAATCTGCAACAAGCAAGATTCATCACTTCGAGGAACATATATCACTAGTTACATACGAAATGATATATGTACAACACATACTTAACTGCTTGGAATGCCGCATTCTGGCTACTCGATTTCGCATAAAAATACTTTGTAAGATTTCCAAGTAAATGATATAAATATTGCAAATTTTTGAAGGTAAAATCAGTGGATGGCCCTGGCTTAATCGACGTATTAGCTAATGTTTGAAGTACTTGTGCAATATAGGATAGTTGTCTACACAGATTTCGTTCCTTTTCTCTTAACTTATTATTCCCTATTACAAGAATATAATTTTTTATGGCAAATAATTATGAAATATTTAAATATTTAAAACTTCAAATTTATACTTACAACTTTCATCAATTGTTCCAGGTGCTCTGGCTATAGCGTCTTCTGCCTTTAATCGCATCAATAACCATGATGCATTATCCAGCTTTTGTTTAATATGACCATTTAATACATTATAAATTTGTAGTATTGTATCCTCACGTATACTTTTATATAAATTATTTGTTTCCAATTCAGTCTATGTTAAGATAAAAATGACAATTAATTTGAAAGACGAAAGTTTTTGAATATTGTATAATAAAAATTATTGCTTACCTTATCAATGCTTCCAACTTTTTCACATAACTCTATACAAATTTCATTTAATGTTTCTCCATATTCTTGACTGTATTCTTCCAAATTTAAGAAAAATTGTATGATTGTAGGGACAATAGAGCTTTGAATATCTTCCATTTGAATTATTTCTTTCATACATTCGAGCATCTTTTGCAATAAAAAAAAAAAAGTAATGTATAAATAATCAAAATAATTTTCATGAGAGATATACTAACCTGATCAGAATTATAATCTTCAAAGTTAATCTTATATGTAAATTGTTCTATTATTTGTAATAATAAAAGTGATATTTTCTTTCCCTCATTGTTGTCCGTTTCTACCGTAAGAAACTTCTTTAAATAAGGATTTAATGAAAAAATAATTTTTTGTAGTTGGAAATTAATATTCGTAGATTTTGAATCTTTCTTAGATCGTACTTCAACTTGAAAAAATAAAGAAAATTATGATATAAAATTATCAAAGTAATATGATAACTTCCTGAATAAATACGTACAAATTGAATTAAGGAATGTTTGTAATTCAGATGAGAGTAATGTACATATACAGCAAGAAATTTCTTTGAAACATTGTAAAGCCAATATAGTTACTTGTTCATCATCTGTAAGTGTATCTTCCAGATTTTGTACAAAATATTTATAAAGCAATCTAAACCATAAAAATGATTTTATTATATGATTTATGATTATATCATAAAATTGACATTATCATCTGAACTTACCTTCCAATATCAATGTACGTATTTATATATTGATGATTTTGCAATTGAAAAGTATTCTGTACAAATGGTTTTGTATGTTGCAAAAGTTGTTCACATGTTTGCAATATGTAGCAACAGAAGCTGTGATTTCTTCTAGGTGCATCACTTTGAGTAGATGATTGTCTGTTTATAAATTACAATATTTCTAATGATAAAACAATTTTATTTTAAATAAAAACACTTATTTCAAAATGAACAGTTTTCCATTTAGAATGATTTAGTAATTCCAACATTCATAGTACTTACGAAAATAAAAGCGATAAACTTTGGCGAATTACATCCAAATCCATGATAGTATTTGGTATCTTGATATTAGTTGATTTACCGGACTTTTTAGTTGTATTATTAGCATCTTTGTCCTTTTTGGATCTATTGCCATCACCTTTCTTCACTTTTGTGGATGGCTAAAAAAATTGCGGATTATGCGGATCATAATTTTTAATTCAACAAAATTTTTAATTCAGCTAAAAAAATAAACTATAAAAGAAAATTTTACTGTTTTAGAAAAATCTATCAAGCGTGTGTACGCTTTGAACAAATTATTAATATCATGAAAATTTTCCTTATTTTCCTTTGACCATTCACCGATTCGAAACGCCATTAAAGCCTCATAAATCCCAATAGCTATACCAAGATTTTTTAGCTTTATCTGTGACTTCGGAAAGTCTCCATGAAGTAAGTTCGTTTCATGTTCCTAAAATTATTTATTTCTACATTGATGTATCTATACAATTTTTTATATTGATATTCGATCTTACCAGATTTAAATGCTCTAATTCTGTAATTGCCATTTTATTACACAGTGATTTCAAAATATCATGTAATTTTTCAGAAGTATGTAAATTTTTTACAACCGAATTAATATATATCTTTTGTAACGTAAATATCAATTGGGCAATAGGTTCTTGCAAAATTACTTCCACTCCATGAACGTCTGTACACAATTCCAATTTTACAGGTGGCAAGACACTATCATCTGTATTAAGATAGAGATTCAAATGTGAAAGAAGCATATTTAATACAATTTCTGTTATTTCAGGATTTTTGGTTACAGTAGCATACAGACCTAAAAACAATTTAATTTCAGTCATTTTAAAATGACAATTTGTTAAATATCAAACTGTTAGGCGTTCAAATAAATCATACTCACTTTCATACAAGTGTAATCTAACTTCAAATTCATAAGTAAAGGTCTTTTTTAATATATCCAATATTTCATAATACAAAGTTTTATCGCAATCTGTAACTGATCTTTCGCGTTGCGAATTATACTCTAAAGTCGCCTAAATTAAGTGATAAAAATTACAATTTTTTTTTGCAAAAATCAAATAGTTTCTTTACATTTTTTAAAATAATTTTTGTACATACCTGAGTTAATGTAGACCTAGAACTAGAGCTAATCATTGAATTACTATGTTGACTGAGTCTAAAGCTAAGTTGAGAACGCATTTTTGTACATTTTAACATTTCAAGAAATCCCATCACAGCCATCTGCCGTTTCGAGACACCTTTCCTATAAAGAGCTTTTCTCAAAATCAACAAAAGATTTTCTCGTATATTTGGTGAAACACGCACCAATGGGAAAATAGCAAACAGAACTTGATTAGCAACTGTAGGGTGCAAAAATAACAATCGTTCAACGATAGTCATAATCCAAACTTGATGTTCCAAAACAATCATTGACAATTCACGGCACATATACTTTAAACAATCTAAAAGACATTTTTTTTAACTAAGATAAAAAAATAGAATCACATTTGATGTAATTTTGTAATAATATTATTGGTTTTTTACCTATATAATGTGTTGTTGTCACACCACCGGCTATTATTTTATTAATCAACTCTTGTAATATGAGAGGAGCTGTCTCATGATGTTTCTTAATTATTTCTCGTATTATTTCAGATCCAATATGCCATGTAGTTATTGCATTATTTTTGGATTTTTGATCATCATTCATTAATGTAAAAGCTAAATTTGTAAGTCCTCTTAATACTAAATGACGATCTTTATTGCTGTAGGATGATTAGACAGTAATATAAGAAGTACATGTGAAAAAGAAGATACCAATTAAATTGACCTGCTACCAATGACTTGTTGAATAACTCCAATTATATCACTAGGTGTAGGTAAAATTTGTCTCAACCATGCACTGTTTTGTCGTTTTTGTTTTTCTAAGCTATTGTAAACGATAGCCAATCTTAATATCTCAAAAATCTGTAAAAAATTTTTCAACATTAAAACGATAAAATGTACACAATTGCAGCAACATTAAAACGAAAAAATGTAAACAATTTTTTTTATTATATATTAAAGACTTGACATACCTGATCTTCATATATACCAGAAACTGACATCAATACAGAAAACATGAAGGGTTGTAGCATATATTCTGAATGAGATACATGTTTAAGAAAACGGATAAAATCTTTCATGTTTTCATGATTTAACTGAGCAGCTTGGTACACATGATACAAAACAGTGCTTTCAATGTCTTGTACCTCTTTTAAATTAATTACACCTGTAAACACAAATGTAAGAAGAACAAAGATTAAAAAATTATGTAATAAATATACATAAATATTCACATCTTTTTGTTTACATACCAATATCTTCAAAACTATCTCTGTCATCACACAAACTTGTTTTCGAGTAGCACAGATCAAAGTATTTGGACAAAGCATCCAAAAGTTTTTGATTATCTCGATTTGGGCATAATTTTAGTGCTTGATATGTAAATGAGGGAACTTGATCCAAAGGAAGATTTGGAAGAGCAGAACATAGTGACTTTAAAACCTCATTGCGATCTGCCTTGTCTAATACCATATCCCTTTATATTTTGATAAAATCAAATAATTTTATATTTTGATAAAATCAAATAATCTTATATTTTGAACATTTTATAGATGTAAAATTCGATCATTTGAATACCAAAATCCACTTACCCAAACATTTTTGTCAAAGATGGTAAGAGATTGACATCCCAGTGATAATTACATATTGTTTTGATAATCAATGATTTATATTCTGTCCCTGATACTTCAGCATCCGCGTAAACAATGTATTTTTCATTTTCCAATGCTTCCAATAATGCAGGTAACAAATCTTTCCAGCTGAAAAAAAGAGTTCAAGAAGATTCTACATCAAGAAAAGCAGAACAAGAAAAAGAAGGAAGACAATAAAAGGAAAATAAATTGCTTTACCTGCACAGCTCATTATCGTTATTGCGAATACTTGTGAGACAAAAGTCAACAAATTTGACGAGTTGTTGCTTCGAATAACTTGGCAAGTCAGAAATTATCCGATTGACGATCGCGTTCGCCTGTCCTGCAGATACGTTAGACTTTTCCAAACTCTTCAAGGTGAACTCAGCAAGTTTTCGTCGTTTTGCTTGACAAGCTTCAGAATCAGAAAATGCTTGCAGAAGATTGTCTAATACTTTTATCCCATCCGACTTACAAATACTGCTGCGCATTAATCGCATAAGCTATTGAAATTATATGTTTCAATCTTAAGTTTCATTTGTTTCATATGTACATGCACCGGTGATAAGCTATCTTTTTAATAGAATTTTAACCGTTACCTCCTCTACACTCGACTCTTGAACAAATGCGCGCAATTCCAACTTATTGCCACGCTCTTTCAATTTCTCAAATTGATGATTCATATTTGAATTTACTTTAGTACTTTTTCTCTTTCCTGCTAAGTATAATGCTGAGTATAAATGCACGCAATTTCCAATTTTCCTGTTACTCGTTCACTTTGATCTCACAATCAGTCACAAGAATGAACGATTCAAAAACCGTTCTTTAGTAATCAAATTCAAGTACACGCACGCGCAACGTAATTATTTGTAAGTTTAATCATTGATTTCAAGGCTTCGATCCATTTAATAAACTTTGCAGATCTTCATGCATACATGTTGTAGGTTAAATGTTGAAGAAAGCTTGGGATCTAAAAATGAAAATGGAACAGCAAAAATTCATAAATTAACTCTCTTAAATAGTTTTTTCATTCTTTTTTTTCTTGCAAATGAAAATTTGATCCATTCATGGACATTGAACTATTAGCGTCACGTAGCGATGAAATTATGGAACTAATTTATATTGCTGTCCTTGTCAACCACTCTTGCCCTCCTTGTCTATCGCGCCTATATGTCTGTCCTTGTCGCACACTAGTGCCCTCCTTGTCTAATGACACTAGACAAGGAAAGCAACAGTGTGCGACAAGGACATCTTTCGATCTATTGAAAAAAAAATTCAACTTGTGGAAAAACTGTCACTTATCGATGTTTAGAGGCAATGGTGGCGCCATCTATTGTCAACTGGGTTGTACTAAAAACAGAATTTTCTGCTTTTAGTACCATCGAGTTGTCAATAGATGGCGCCACAGTTGCCTCTAAACATTAACAGGAACAGTTTTTCCACAAATTACGAGAAAAAATTAATTAAGAGGAATCATTTGTGAACTATTATGGTTGAGTCTTCGATTTGAGAGATGCTAAGCTTGCGTTTTATGTTTTGTTTAAGTATAGTTTACGTATATAAAGAATGTTTTAATTTCGTTTACGTTAGTAGTCGTGCCAGTAGTGTGCGCATAATTTCTCGGAAACTATAGTGAATATTTGATTCAGATTTATTTGCGAACGTAGCTGAACATAATCTTTGAAATATGTGCGCTCGTGGAGTGCAAATTAGTAGCATGGAAAATTAAAATTAATTATTCGGTTTATATGGTTATAGAGCGTTTAGTTCCACCGGTCTATCACAACGCGGCGCTAGTTCTTATCCCGTAAAACAGAGGAATTTTCATTTGCGAAAAAATCTAATTTAGCGAAATGAATTGTAAACTTTGGCGATTGCATTACTCTAATTAGACCCTTAGCTTTCTTTTCATACCTCATTTGACCCGTAAAATGCAGAAATAAGTATTTTTATAAATAATTAGTNTTTGCGAAAAAACCTAATTTAGCGAAGTAAATTGTGAACTTTGGCGATTGTATTACCCTAATTAGACCCTTAGCTTTCTTTTCATACCTCATTTGACCCGTAAAATGCAGAAATAAGTATTTTTATAAATAATTAGTACCGCTGAATTACCGCTAGATGGCGCCACCATGTCCATTTTGTGACAAGTTGGAAATAATTAGGAAAAAAACCTAATTAAAAGGAATAATTTGTGAACTTTTTTGTATGTCTCCTTAAAATTGGTTTCCCGGCTTTCTTTCTATGTGTGTTTTATCGTAGAAAAACGTATGTGTAAAAAGTTGAATTTTTTTTCAATAGATCGAAAGATGTCCTTGTCGCACACTGTTGCTTTCCTTGTCTAGTGTCATTAGACAAGGAGAGCACTAGTGTGCGACAAGGACAGACATATAGGCGCGATAGACAAGGAGGGCAAGAGTGGTTGACAAGGACAGACATATACGCGCGGTAGACAAGGAGGGCAACAGTTGGTAGACAAGGACAGACATATACGCGTGATAGACAAGGAAGGCAATAGTATGCGACAAGGATAGAATTAAGTAATGCATTAGACAAGAAACGCAATAGTTTGCTGTAAAACAGTGACAGATTTTAGTTCCTACGTTTTATCGCTACGTGGCGCTAGTGTTTCTGTCTCCGTAAATTCACTAAATTTTTCATTTACGAAAGAACCAATTAAAAGGATTAATTTATGAACTTTTGTAATTAGACTCTAAGCTTCTTTGTTATATTCCAGTTGATCTATTTGACAGATATATATATAAATTTGCAAATTCTATTCACTAGACCGAAATCGCAATTACGTGTTTAAATAATATTTACTTTCTCGCAAATTAGGTTTGATTTCAAAATCTTAAAAGATATTATATTTTAACAAAATGTAACTAGTTTATGAAATGATGATTTTTTTTATGGATTTCACGTTAAAATTATCATAGCGTACTATAATTGTTTTTCTGTTTAATTTGAAAACTGAAATGACCGCGTAATTTTTAGCAATTTGAAATAATAACTCTTGGTAATTTTGAAAATACTCAACATAAGATGTAGTACTAACTTATGTAATTTTAAATTACTAATATATTCTTGCATTACCTTTCAAAAGTTATTAACTTACAAAGTTAATTTGAATTAACAAAATAAATATATTTTTTAATATTCAAAAATGTTTTATTTAGAAAATTGCAGAATTATCTGCAACTTTTTGCATTATTATTTATTAATGTCATTATCTAACGAACTTAAACTCGTAAATAAAAAAGTAAAAAAATCATATTCGTTCAATTAACAGTTTTGAAAACTGACATAATTTACAAATGATATTACGAACATTAAGAATATAATAGGTTTTACACGGAATCACAGTTCGAATCCAATAACATAACACGGATGAAGAATTAGTACAGTATAGAATTCCACGTATGTACTTGGTTTACGATTATAAAATACCTTGTGCTTATATCTTATTTGCAATTTCATAGAAAAATTTAATTTTTATTCTAGCTATTAGTACATTAATCACGCGAAAATGATGAAGAAGTTAGAAGACAAGAAGGAACACGAAGAAGCATCGTATGTCAGGTCGTTTTGCATTACTTGATAGTAAAAGAAAGAGAAAAAACGGGAAATCCGTTTCTTATTCAATAATCAGTAACTAATACATTATATATGTATCAGATTATTTATAAAATTTGTAGCGTACATTTATTAATTTTGGATTTTTCTCAAATTGTTCTACGAACATTCTGAACAAATCACAGTGAATATAACAATTTGGAATGTATGGGACATATAAATTAAAGGATAGAATAAATATGATATGGAAACACACAACAAGAAAATAAAGGATGAAACATAAATGTGATTTGGAAAATCAAACTTATCAGAGGAATATAATTAGCTTAAAAACTATCTTCTATTATTATTATTATATTTCATTTAAAAAATACACAGACGAAATGTATTTTGTAATTATTCCGCTGTATGTAAAACATCAGCAAGGATTCTGTATAAAGTAGATATGTAATAGATTTTTCGAAAGTGAGAACAGTAACTGAACGGTACGTTATCATTTGCATCAATATTTCAGATCTCGAGCAGAAATTTAGCAAGAGAATAAACCGACAGAGTAAACGAATCGTGGTCATTTTTTTCTTACTCTTGGACAATAACCAGTCGAAGGTTTTGGATTTTTAGTCCAAGGTCGGGGAGGGATAAGTTAAGGATATATTATTGAAAGAGAGAGAAAGAAAAAAAAGGAGAGCACGGGCGGAGGAAAGTATACAAACGATTACGTATATTCCTATGGAGAAAGTTTTTTTTTCGGTACTCGTTCGAAACACGCCCTTGTGCCCCACCTGATTTTGGTTGGTTCGCGTATTTCGTTCACCTAACTGAACGGACTATATAAGATTTCGGCTACCAAAGGATCGGCACACACTTGCTTTCGTACATTGTCAACGAATCGATCAAAGTCCTTTCTCAGACTCACAATGTTCTCAAAGGTAAGCGATGCAAAATAATTTAATAAATAAAACTTGATAGTGTAACATACGGTTGTATATTTCATTTGAAATGAACATATCGCATATATATTTCAAAAGTGACACAATTTAGAGGCTTGTAAAACGTTAAAAGGTAAAAGAACAAACTTCGGGAAACAACGATCATATATTATTTTTACATTTTTTCATCCTCGGCTTTCGAGATCGTTCTTCGACGACGGTGTTCTTCCAATGCTATTGATGTAAACACTTTTGAAATGCATGTACGATACATGTGTTTGAAACAGAGAAGAAAGATGATAGGGGTATGAAGAAACAACGATTTCATTCAAATAATTTTGTTTTCAGATCGTGGTACTCGTTTGCGCTCTTGCCATGAGCAATGCCGGTTTCTTGGCACCAGCCCCTGGACAATATGCTTTGACTACCGCCGCTTTAACGTCGACATCGGACAATATTCTTCGTAGCTCGGGAAATCTGGCACAAATCGCGACCCAGTCGAAAACAATTGCCACCCCATTCTCGAGCACCAGCAGATCCGACATTCGTGTATCCAACCCGGCCATCTATGCGCACGCCGCTCCAGTAGCATACGCTGCACACGCCGCTCCAGTAGCATACGCTGCACACGCAGCACCATTGGCAGCACCATTAGCCGCCGCTGCACCCGCAAGCTCACTTCTTGGTGTCGCCTACTCGCCAGCGGTGGCTGTTTCGCACATGGCCTACAGCAGTCCCATCGGCATCTCTTACTCCTGGTAATCACTTTGCCTAAAAATCCAATCTAAATTTCTTGGACCATTGCTCTGACAATCATTACAGTTGTATCTGTATTTAAGATATTTTGTCTGCTTTTATTTATTAAATACAAATTTTACTGAAACAATTGTTGTGTCTCATTTTCTTATTTCCCCTATTAATTTCACACGTTTCACCTTGTTTCAAATAGGAGATATTGATAGAATTGAAGAATCAATTGATATTGTACAATAATACGGGCGAACCGGTTCAGTTTAGTTGTGTACATAAAACTATGAATTTGCCTAAAAATCCAAAATTCAGTTATTATCTAGAAAGACAAGGAATTTTGACACGAAAATGTCTCGTTCGATTAAAATCGTTAAAAAGAGTCGAACAAATTAAAATAACAATTCAGTGCAAGCATTAAATAGAGTAACGATTGTACGTTTATTGAATATTCGATTATTACATTCTGTGACAAAGTAGATCGTTTAGGTAGTAACAACGATTCGCCATCGAGTTCTCCGTCGCTCTGTAGTAATTTGAGCGCGGATCTTAGAGGACCTTGACGGCTCCTAGCCCGTTCAAGGCTAAGCCGTGGAGTCCTAAAGGTGCGGCCGCTAAGCCAGCAGTGATAGCGGGTGCAGCTGCGAGGGCAGTGGTCAGTCCAGGTGCGAGAAGTGCGGGAGCAGCAACAGCAGCTGTAGTCACTGGAGCTGAAATCGCCGCACGAAACAATCGTAGCAATCAAATTTTACAGTCACAACGAACAAATAGAAAGAAAAACAGTAATAAAAGAAAGATCGTGGAAAAATGTGGAGTAAGTCAAGCGACAATTAAAATAATAGAAAGGAGAATGAAAACACGAGAAGAGCGGACTAACGAAACATCGAGTCTAGTAGTGTAAAGGAAGCGTGTCGGCAAGCGCCCGATTCCCACGCGACACATCTGATGTTGAAATTTTAAATTTTCATTAGAAACATCACTGTTAGAAAAAGTAGTGCAGCGTCGCTAAGTATAGCGACGTATCGTCTAACATATACTATGTTGTGAATGTTAGAGAGTAAATCGGCACCTCAGTAATCGGGTACCTGCAAGAGCGGTATTTGCGACCGCAACTACCGAGGCGGGCACAGCGGTCGCCGTCACGATTCCAGGATTGTTAACGCGCACGTCCGCTTTCCTGACGCTACTGAACGGCGTATCTACACTCTTCGTGTAGGCCGATATGGCACCTAAGTTACCGATACCCCGTATTATGTTGGAGGTGGATGTTGTGATGGTTGGTAGTGCGAGAGTGGCTGCGGGCAAAGAAAGAGCCGCTGCTGGCTGTACAGCGACCGCTGCCGGCGCGGCTGCGAGCAAACTACCGCTGATCACGCCAGCTTGTCCAACCGCCAGCAAGCAACCGCAAATCACCAAGAACTGGAAAATAAAAGTCAATTTCCTTTGTCTCTTTACCTCTCCCTCTCTCCCTTTTTCTTTCACACAGTGCGCTGTGAATTTCTGTTTTTTTTTTTTCTTTTTCAATTCTTATTCAACTTGTTTTGAATTCAAAGAAGATCGAATGATCGGTTCTACTACAACGACGCGACTTAAGTATCTTATATAAAAATTAGAGAAAGAGGAATAAATTATATTTCTCATTTCTTACACCGTACATTCTCCATTTCATAAAGCGAAATTTGAAATAATGGAATTAACAGAAATGTATTACGTTTTTTTCTTATGATATTTATAAAAGATAATTCAGCCATTTGTCGCTACGATATTTATGTTCATTCTGATAGTTTCGCAGGAAAGAGCAAATAATTAAAATTATACAAATTGAATTCGTCTTATTTCGTTGTAATTAAAAGATGCAAGATGATTTCTGATTTTTGAAAAAGTGATACTTTTGAAGGCTTTTTTACATTATTAAATACTTTCTTCAATGTCAATGAACTTTTGTTGGAGAAATTTTTTATCAAATTATCAAGACCAGCTTTAAACACTGTGATAACCAATTCGTGAATCATATATGACATTTTTACTTACTCTAAACATGATGATGATAGATAGGAGCTGCTTTCTTCACCCTTCGGAAGCAACAAACGAATTGAGTGCATCTGGTAAATCTGTCATTCTATTTATACGCAAGTTCTTGTAATCCTGTCCAGATAGTTAACTTGAAACATTTTTTCGCCAAAAACTTGGTGTCGGGTGTCTGCCGACCAAAGGCAAGCGTATTGTAGAAGGTTTACAAGCTGACATTGCAACACATACGTATAGTTAGAGCAAATTTGATATCGCAAAACTCGAGTAACAGATTGCAGTATGATCTTTCTACAGGAGATTTTTATTATTCGACAAGCATGGCACGAAATTGATAAGCAAGCAAGTTACATTAGAGGAATGAAAAATAATCAAGCATATAAAAGAATGTCCGAAATTTCGAAGCGTGTACCATTAAATGTGTTACAACATCGATATGTAAATGTATATCAGCGACTGAGAAGCAAAAGACAGAGGGACAGCCTACGCAATTACTCAATGTGAATGTATCTCAAATTGCAACCGATATGTCTTGGTATCCAGGTATACTATAGAATTACAGCTAAGCCATCGTGTAAAAGATCATACTTCTAATGTATATTGTATAGTTACTGACCATGACGTTAATGTGGATGCTAGTGAACTATTGGAAAGATTGTTCATGATTCAATGTTATTATTTAAAAATTGTAACTAATTTTAACACAATTCATTCAAATCAAACCTACTACGATTCTTGAATTTTTTATACTTCAATCTTTTATATCTCATTTCAATGAACAGAAACGACGTTTTAAGAAACTGAAACTGTACGTGACAATTTTAGCATTTGAGATATATTCAACATTCGAACAATACAATAGTGGACTGAAAATGATGGCAACAGGATCAAACATATTGCAGAAGAAAGATAACAGTATCGAAATAAATTCTGAGATTTAGAAACTTTTTACAATGAAAGAGACATATAAATCGGCAAAATATAATTAATTAATATATATAATTATAAGTCAGCAAAATTAATTAATTCAAATGTGAGTATAATTATGTCCTATTTAAATCATTATATTCGATAATAATTTTGCACTAGATTATAAATTTCCTATACATGTATTTTAACGTATGTTAGAATTAGGTTTAATGCTTCAATGCTCAAGTTCATACTAGCATACTCGATTGCATGTATATAAAAATATAAATATTCCGTCTATTTCTAAGTTACGCTATTTTGAACCCTAGTTATAAAATCGTATTTGATAATTTGGAAAAATATTCTTCTTCCGAATTATCCAAATCAAAAGTTATCAAATATATTCTAGTACATATCTCGAATGAAATAATAAAAATGGATAAAAGGGGCGTGTAAGGTAGAGAAAAAAAAAGGAGAATACGGTGGGAAGAATAAAAGTATGTGTGTAAGTGCGAAGTGAACGGGAATGGCAATCAGACGGTCACTGCCGGTTGCAGGTATTACGCAACTGACATTGGCAAAGTGTAACAGAACAGGCACGGCCAAGAACTTTAAGGTTTCATAAGTATGCCGGAGGCAAAGGAGTGTATTATAATTTGACGTACCAAATTGATGATGTTCGTTTTCTAAATCAAATTATCAGCCATTAAAGATTTATATTTTTCTTGTTGTAGACAAAATTTTTAATAAAACAATAACAAATAATGTATCAATACTGACAAATTGACATGCATCATTATATTTTATATTATCGAACATAAGAGTAATATTTATATAGTAAAAGCATACATAATTAAAGAAACTATTTTGAACAAACTGGCTTTAATAGATTCAATATCTATCATATCGTTGAAAATGAAAACGTTGCCGGTGCAATACGATTCATTTATTTATTATTTCTATATAAAATACAGTGTAATCGATAATGTTTATGATTCTGAACGGGTTTTTTATCAATAACACAAACTAATAATTCGTTGGCCGATTGTACTACAACAGTATAAGATTCCCGCTATACATTAATAACATCGAACCATTCTTGTATCCATATAAACTTGATTGTACATACACATAGAATCACCTAGCTATTTTCCATAATCCAATTGTTGGAATGTCGGGAATAATATGCTGAGATCAGTAGTTAACAACTCCATTATGCTGCATTATAGCAATGAGTTAATTGATACTATAGCCTTTCATATTTAAATGAACTTTATGCTCTCAAATGTAACTAATAACAAAAGCATTTTCATTTCAGCGACTAAATATACTTTATAATTATTATCGTGATCGAAAAATATATTATTATTGATGAACTATTCGATCGATTATACTATAATCACTATTTTTAAAACATTCGTGGATCCCGCGCGTTATAATTTACATGTATTTGTACATATTTCATTTCATCTACTTTTTTTTTTTAAATACTTTTCGAATGACATTTAGATAGGTTTATTTTATTCCAAGACTACTTGCATTGTATAAATATAAGAAATAATATATAAACATATACATACGATTAGTATGATAATTACTTTCCCATCTTTCCTTCCTACTTTTTCTCTAAAAATCTAAAATTAAACAACAGTTAAACACATCGAACGATGAACTGTCCAAAAATAATTATTATGCCTTGTTTTGACAATTATACGCCTTCTTCTTCACTTGAGCATATAAGAAAACTATATTTTTCGATACACGAATTTTTGACTTATATTATTATAATAGAGTTGCGCCAGTTCATGAGAATCGACTTTTACAAAAACAACTCTATTGTTTACACTTTATTAACAACATTCATTGAAAGTCGAAAAAAGAGAAAAAAGAAAGAATAAGCACAAATATATTATTACTAACTGTTAATTATACTAATTGCAATAAAGACATTGCTAAGGGTACATGAAAATGTACTTACACGATAATACACAAATAAAGCTGCGTTTTCTCTTTTATCAATTTTAGAAAACTCAGCAATTGGACAATATCGTGTTTTTTTTTCAACATCCCTCTTTCCAAATTAATTACTAAAAATTAACTAAATTTTAAGCGTAAACGAATAATAATGATTTACATTGTTTTACATTGATGTCGGAGACCAAAAATTCATCTCTCTTAATTCCGATGGTTTTACTTTAAATACGCTCGAGTAGGAAGCTGGTTTTCCAACTGACTTTTCATCGCTTCCTATGTATGTAAGATTTTGCGACGATATGGACTTCTTTCGAGTAAGCGACCTAGGTGGAGCAGTCGCAACTTCTGTGCCTGTTTCGTCTTCTTCTTCAATTTTACCAGTAACGATTTCCCTAGATTGCCCGAAGATGCTTGCCAAAATCCAACTTCCTTGAAGGGATGCACCAGTGAAATATCGGTTTGAAGGAACGCGACGACGAGCTTTCGGCGAACTATTTGGACTGTCTGCTGGTGAAGCGAGTGGAGTAGCTGGTAAAGATTTACTTCCTTTTTTGGGTTGACTGACGGCCTGTTCGGCCGAAAAAGTTTCATGAAATTTGTTAGACATCATTTGACTGGCTACAAGAACAATTGATTTTCCACAAAGTGCTGGCTCGCTATGAAACCCATCATCTACTCCCTGTGATTTTGTAATTTTCGGATTATCAGTTAATGATGTCTTCAGACTTGGTTTAGTTCCGTTTCCTAGGATGCATAATCATTTAATCATAAATATCGAATCACAAAGTGCAAAAAAGAATTTTACTTATTATTCTTCATTGTTTCATGAGTCGCAATAATTGAAAGAGAATTATTAATTACACAAAAAACATATTAGGCAACAATTAATTGAATGAAATACCTTTGCTTATTGTTGAAGTTGGTACAAATGGTTGACAAGGTAAGGGATGTTTGCTGAAATCAATTTCCTGATTCTTTTTCTTCTCTTCAGTAACCTGTTGTTGCGTGTCTTGTACTTTCACATTGTTTGTTGATGAATTAATATTTTGTTCCCCAAAAACTTCATCAATTGGACGATACTCTTGTGAAACCGACGATCGGCTTTGTGTCTTTGGATATCGTATATAAAAGAAACTATCGTCATGAGATGGCGGACTGAATGTTGTATCATCAAAATCGTATCTGCATAACAGAAAAAAGACAAAAGACTGATAATTACAAATTACAAAGGAAGAAAGTAAAATTAGAAGCGAACAGGAATATGTTACTCAAAAAAAAGCTCATCGACTTATAGTCTTTTGTTAGAAGATTTCTTCAGCTTTGGATATCTTTTACCATTAATATATCGTTCTCTTTACTACCAACAGTTTGTCCATAAATTTCTAAACCTTATAATAATCCGTTTCTTAAAAGACATCGAATAATTCAAGAAATAATTTCTCACTTTTCATAACTATTTTACTGAATTCGACACATGTTATAACATGCGTGAACAAAAAATCGTTATTTAATTCTAATGTTAATCGCAATATAGGTTTAGAGAAGAAGAAAATAACGAAAGGGTATAACAAACGCTATGCACTGCACACAGCAAACTATACAGAGTTACACTACTCTTATGAAGAGTGCCGTGAGTCTAAGAATAGCGGGCACAATGTCTATACGACTAACTGCTTATTCGCGTTATATCGCATGTTGGCCAAATTTCATGTATAAATATTTCTTATCTTATATACGAATTTAATCTCTTATTCTATGTATTATGATTAATTTTAAGATATTTAACTCTTTCGCACCATTTTTATTATCTACAATTAGTAAAAATAATTTAATTTTCATTCACATATATTAATTTAACCGTCAATGAAAGAATATACATATACTGACTGTCATTTCTGTATCGGCACAGAATAAATGATTTTAATTAAAAAATTATAATTATCGAGTTCACATTAATAATTTCTTTACGTATGAAATATTGTAAAAAAAGAAAGATACAGCATATAACCCTATGTTACATTTTCTACATTAACCCGGAATTACCCACCTGGGGGTCTAGTGCAGGTATATCCCGGCACTAGATCCCCACGTGGGTAAACCCAGGTTAAAATCGTGTTTCTTTATACTTTACTTAAACTAAATTTCGCGTTTTGTGCTTTTTACTAGACTATGATTACAATAAATGCATTTTCCAGCAGCCAAACGTTCTGACAAATGTATATATGCATATCAAAACAATAAAATATATATGCATATATGTGTATTCTTGTGAAAGATGCTATATTAAGAACATGCATTCATTTTAACCATAATCATAGTTTTAGTTTTACGTGAAATAAAAAAAAATCCAACTGGTTCAGTGGCACGATTTTTGCCTGATAATCATATCAAATAATCAGAGTAAAGAAATTTCTTGTACACAAAAATGTCCTAACAGCAATCAAAAGAATTGCTTTTTACTATTGGGATTGGTTTAAATTTCTTCTATACATTCAGCAAAGAATAATGTTACAAGTCTGCAACTCAGTACAAATAAAAGTTCAACAATTTTATAATGCCAAGATTCAAAGGGAAACAGAGAAATATACCTGCTTTCGGTTCGTCCTTTCATCCATTGTGGCAAAGATATTCCACCGCTGAGTATTCTATCCTGTTGTTTCGTAGAACTCATTTTTAAAATTCCAATAAAAAAAAATACATTCAATTCCTTTTAAGTTTGCCTGTTCGCTTGTGTTTTTTTAATTTTTTTATTTTTATTTTTTTACTTTTTATTTTTTTTTAGTAGATCATGCTTTGAGACATCCGATCATGATTCGAATATCCGAAACTTCAAAGTCGTAATCTTTCAAAAGTTTTTGATAGAAAACGAATGGTCTCCTAGGCACGTTGTTCTAGTGATCTATAACACGAACAAATAATGAACGAGCGCGTTTGCATGATAAATTTGATTTTATTAAACATTTTTTCATTCTAGATATGTGTCAGATTGGACACATAAAAAATATAGTTGCAAAATATATATATATATATATATTGAAATATCATAGGAGAGGAAGATAAAGCGATTATTTATAGAGTAAAAAATCTCTCTAAAGGATAACTGTCATTTACACAATAAAGAATCTCTCTAAGTATAACTGTGATTTACATAGTAAAGAATCTCTCTAAGGATAACTTTGAATATTCAAATTCCCATTCAAAAAATGGGAAATATCCTCTTAAAAATAATTTTGAGTACTCAGAAAAAGTGTTAAAAGATATTTTTAGAAAATATCAATTTACCAATTGTTTTCTTGTTACATCTATCCTCTTATCTTCACTAAACTTATAATGATTTTTATGATTAACCAATAGTGCATTTTGCATATGTAATATACATATGCATACATACATTTTTATATTTTTCTTCACTCTTTTTTTCTCCTTTCCTCTAAAAAAATATATTTTTATCGCGATGTCTATAACATCAGTATTAAAACATTTCCTTCCAGAAGAAAACTTTGTTTTGAATTGTTTGCCAAAACAGATGATATACAAGCAGATTATATTTCGAAAATGGCGGAAAATGTAAATACAAAGAGCAATCTGATATTAAGGAATTAATATCTCATATAAGGAAAATTTTATATATCCTAGAGTACAGACTTTATAATGAATTACAAAGAATTACATGAAAAAAATAATTACTTTTACAATTTATTGTTAATTCTCCTATTTATTCATTGAAATACATCATTTTGCAAATTGAAGTATAAACGAATATATTTTAATCAAAATAATATGTACATCGATTACTTACTTGTTTTCTATGATATATTGAATACTTTTGCACAATTAATAACCCCATAATTGCGATATTTTTGCAAAATTTTGAAAACACTAATATCGTAACTCAGAAACTATCCACCATTTAATACGAATAAATTCTCGTGTCAAGGAATCGGTAATTAGCAACTTCTTTAAAATGAAAAATTCCTATTTATGGAAAAGTGAAAAATAACTAGACTAATAAACAGAACCAGGGAAAATGAAAAGAAACTATATGCATACATTGATGTAGAACATTAAAAGAAAATTATATTTTTCTATACTCAAATTTGATTTATTAAGTATATACATATATCTGATAATTTATAAAATGATAAGTATATATGTTAAAACTTATAAAGATGAGTTTACAACAATATTACTACAAACTTGAAGTGAGATACATTTGATGAATTGTAGAACACTAGACAAGATAAACTTATACTGTTGTAGCATTGGAAAAGCAAGTAAACGTTCTTCCGGTTGGAGTTACGGGTTTGAACTGTTATCGGTAAGTTTATTGAAATCAAAATCGATTTCAATCTGAATTAAAGAAATAATTTCGATAAAGATTTTGTATCAAAATTATATTATTTTTTCTTTGACACATAAATGTGGATATTCTTATGTTTTGAAAACATTGATAGCAATTGCAATGATAAAAGTGACAATAACTAACCTCTAACAGTTTTTTATTTATATTCTAATATATTACATGAGTCTGCTAGAAACAATTTTAGTTTACTGTCATTGATTTAGTGTTATATTGGTAATTTTGTATACACAGGTAACCAACAACAATGAAATTCAATAAGCTTGTTTCTTCTTCACGCCGAAAAAATCGAAAGAGGCATTTCACGGCACCTTCTCATATTCGAAGGAGACTTATGTCAGCTCCTCTTTCGAAAGAACTTCGGCAAAAGTACAACGTTCGTTCCATGCCAATTCGTAAAGATGACGAAGTTCAGGTAAGATGATATTAGTTAAATAATTTTATGAATTATGTAAACATTGAATTAAATATAAAGGTGAGCAATTATTTCATAAAATTTCATTCATTAAAATATTTGTTTATTATTTGTTGTTCAAAGGTTGTACGTGGACATTATAAAGGCCAACAAGTTGGAAAAGTTGTGCAAGTATATAGAAAAAAATTTGTCATATATATAGAAAGAATTCAACGTGAAAAAGCTAACACCGCTAATGTATATGTTGGTATTGATCCATCCAAGGTAAAAGCAATTATTTTGTTTTTAGTATTATTTTAGTATATATCATTAAATTTCAATAAATGATGACTTAAACCATTCACATAGATTAAAGCATAATGCTTGTCAATTTCACTGATGTACAAGGGTTCTCCTTTATATCTATGAATCTGACTTGCTTAGCTTTTTTACTGCAGAAAGATTGGCACTGATATTATAATTTTGCTTTCCTTCCCTTGTTAAAAAATATTTACTATTTTCTAATTTAAATCTTGTTTGATTTTTTAGACTGTTATTGTGAAGCTAAAGATGGATAAAGATCGTAAAAAGATTATTGACAGGAGAAGTAAAGGTAGACTCGCAGCATTAGGCAAAGATAAGGGAAAATATACTGAAGACTCAACTGCAGCCATGGAAACTTCATAAATATAATTTCATTCATAAAATTGAATAAAAATATAATGCTAAAATTTGTGTATTAATACTTTTTTTATTCTATTAGTCATACATTAAAAAGTATTTCATGTATAAAAGTAAATCTTTGACACAAGATAAACGTGAACATATTAAAATTCTAAAATTATTGATAGATTGATAATTATAGAATTATCTATTATCCAATATTTATATTATTAATTGTATTATTAACAGATAAATTTGTACAAATGCATGATTTCTCACTTGTGAGTTATATATACAATATTTTATTCATCAATATTTAAATGCTTTTTCTTAATTTTTTTTTTAAAATTTTGTTCCAATTGTAAGTGCCTCTTCTTTGGGATTACATCATCTTTGATTTCATTAGTTTTTGTAATTTTTCCTTGTGTCACAACACTTGCTATTGGTTTAATGTTTACTGTAAAGAAAAGATAATCAATTTAAAGAAAGATTTACTTTTTTAATAATATTAACTTCAGAAATAGTTACTAATTTATCCATTACATACCTATTTTGTAGGGTATTTTTGAATCCTTTCTACCAAATATAGAAGACATGTTATCTTTATTTTTATGCTTGATTTTATATTTTTCTTTTCCAAGTTTTAATGTGTTTTCTGTTAAAACTATTTTATTTCCTACTAATTTATTTTCAAGTATCTAGGTATAATAAAATAGAAAATTTTTTAATGATAACGTATCATATATTGTGTTAACCAAAAAGTAATGTAAGACTTTTGCAGTAATTTTTTGTTTTTTAACAATAAACATCATTTTTAAACTCATAAATTATTTATTAAACTCACAATTAATTTATTTGAAACCTGTTTATCAAATATAACGTTTAAATTCGGTATAATTCGAAATGTTATGAACTACTTTTGAACTGAATTGAGAAAATATAATTGTTGTAAATAAAATATATAATTTATGATAATATAATACAAAGAAGATACTGAAAACAATCGAGATCAAGTATATTAAAATTCGATAATAATAAAAATTTTAGTTCAATAAAGATTGCATTTTTTACGTGTTATTTACGTTAGTTATGTAGAAAAAAATAATAAAAAGTTGTAAAAATAATGGCAAAGATAAAAAAAACTTATTTTAGATATAACATATAACATTAGATAAACATATTTTAGAATAAAAATTTTTATATCTAAGAAGAAAAGACTATTATTTTATGAATAAAAATCCACGTTACTTTTTGGCATACATACATATTATGATATATAGATTACCGAACGTGGAATTGTAATGAAGGCTTGTTCTTCTTCTTCTTCTATATCTTTCAATGTAAAAGAAGGTTCTGTTGTTTTAGGCATTAAATTTTCCTTTTTTACAAATTCCTGTAACTATAAAAAGAAAAAAGAAATGTTAATAAAAGACAGAAATAATGTAAGAGAGAATAGAAAATTCATAAAAATAAAATTCTAATTTATACATTGTATGGTCTGCCGCATGTTGATTTCTTGTCTACAGGTTGTATCATACTTCCAATTTCCAAATTCTTTTCATTTGATTCTTTTATATTCTTTTTTTTATCAAAAACACAACTTGTTGCATAGTTTAAATCCAATTTATCTTGAGCAAATTTATTAGTAGCAAATGATTGTTTGATATCTGGAGATGAATCTCTTGCAGATCTTTTGTATAGCTTATCTATCATATTTTCAAAAGTAGAATCACTATCTACAGTACTAGAATCACTATCTACTGTTAAATTTAATCTTCCAAATTGTGATAATTGTATTTCAGTTGAATGAAAAATATCATCTTGTATCTGCTTTGTTTCTTCTATTTCAACTTTTTCATCACAAGAATTGTTTATGCTTAATTCTTCTGGTTTTGTATTTTCAGTAAATACAGATATAGAGGGTATTATTTTATATTTTCTATTAACAATTTCTGTGTGAGTAATTATGGATTGTGGTTTTTTTGCTTGCATTTTTTCCTTTGCATTTATATTTTCAATTGTATCTTGAAAATACTTTTTTTTGCCTGACATATTGTAAGTTTCAGATTTCAGATCATTATCACTGTTTCTCAAATTATTCAGTACAGAAATAGTACTCGATGTATCTTGTTCTTTGTCTTCGATTTCATTGTTAGATATTTTATGAGTCTTTCCATTTTCTAAACATTCTTCTTCTGTATCTTCATCAATACCAGAGTCTTTTGGTTGGTATGTATTACTAATAATTAAGGTCTCATTCATAATTGTTTCTGTAATATTGGAATTTTGTTTCATCTGATTAGAACAATTTTGATCAAAAGGCATATTTTCATCATTAATATTCTGAATTTCATTCAAATTATCTAATGAAGCTGGCAAATCTTTTAATGTTTTAATGTCAGAACTGTTAAGTGTTTTATAACAATGATTTTCATCTGACTGAAGTTCTTCATTGATATCATTTATCCACAAAGAATTTGATTGTTCTGATTCATCATTATTGTTTGTTACCTTTTGTACTACAGTTGCAACATTTGTTTCATTTTTTATGGGCAGTTGGTTTTCCTTTTGTTTAGTACAGTTTATTTTAGTAAGTGTATTCATCTTATTCTGTGTATTTTTTTTAACATTATTTGTTGCAGAAGAAGTTTCATTAATATTATCATTATCATATATAAAATTATTTGCATTTGATTTTCTTGTCAAAGAAGTGTTTTCAGATTTAACAACTCTTTGCCATCCTAAAGTTATAAATGACGTCCGTTTAAATTTTTGTGTAGATTTTCTTCTAGGGCTTATATTGTCATTCTCACTAATTTTAGATTCCTTTAAAAAATAGTTGTTTCTTTTTTCAGACATTAGTTGTGTATAATTGGCTAAAGAATTATCATCTTCACTAAAACTAGCATTATCTTCAGTTTCACTATTATCTGTCAAACATCGAAGAATTGAAGTCTTTATTTCAACATATTGCCTGTACGATTTTAAGTTTTGAAGCTGTTTAATCATAACATTCATAGCTTTATTTCTGCGAGATAATTTTTTAGATGGTACTAGTTTATGCGTCAAAGAGGAATCTATCATTCTGTCAGCAACTGTATTTGGTATTATGTTCCATCTAATTTCGCCAGATTTCATGATGTTATCCTTTCATTAACCTAATATCTGTAACATTCACTTTTTATAAAATATTATTTTTATTTAAAAGCAATTGATATTTTAAATTAATAAGCATAAAAAATGATCACTTTAATTACTTAATTGCAACAACGTTCTAAAATTTATTTACAACAAAAAACAAAATTGACTTGTTTCTCACATTGCACACACGATGCATGTATACCTGTTAAGAAATACATTAGAATTTGGAGGTTATGAAATTTTGTACTCATGTACTATATATACAATTCAAGATTCAATGTTTTGTTAAAAAAAAAAATTCTTAATGAATTCATACATTTCAAGTCACAGGTCATTGACATTTGATATTTATAATCAGAAGTATTTTTTTTTTATCTTTCAAAACTTGCATGAAAATATATGTAGCTATCTTCAGAATCAATAAAAATAATCGAAACTATATTATAATTGTGAAATTAAACAAAAAGAAAAATATAGAATATAATTGTCAAAATTAATATAAGTTTTTGTAAAACATTCCAATAGGATTTAATGAAGTTACAAACAATATATATATGTCGTAAATTAATTTATGTGTATTTTTCAAAAATATGAGCAAATAAATGGAACAGAAATTATGCACAGTAAGATAAAATTGAATCTGTTAAGAAAAAAAGATAAATAATAAAAAAATTCATTTCACGATATACAATGTTTTTTTTTATTTTTATTATCGAAATACAAAATGAAAAAGAAATGACGTCAAATTGGTAGGCATTCAAGAATTTAAAAACTAACAGAATTCTTATTGTATGAAGATGGGATTCTCTACGAAGGAAGAAAGTGTTTCATTTTAAAATTTTTAATAGAATATGTATTTTGTATACCGGAAGTGTATGGATCGATGGATATAGGTACAAACAATGATGTAAATGAAAGAAAAGTGGAGGGAGTGAAAGGATAGAAATAAAAAAAAAAAGAATAATCAGATTGCCAAAATATTTTGTATGGTTATTCGTGCATTTAGATGCACGAGATAAATATTAGTGTGCGTTTCGATGATAATAATAAAGATAAAAAGATATGTAAAATATTTTGAAAAATCGTTTTGAAGTTTGGTCATACAGTACATAATAGTGTGAGAGAAAGAGGTGTAAAAGCGCAGAAAGAACGCCGTCAAGAACTGCAGCATAAACGGTCGAAATCAATTTCAAATAGGTATTGATTATAGATGATCTACTGAGTCGGTGCGATAAAGAATAAAAAATTATTCGACTTTCATGAGTTTCGCTTATTCTTCGGAAATCGGTTGAAAGGGACTGGTAGAAATAGAATTTAAAGCAAAATGATTCGAGAGTTTTTTTTTGGAACGTGAAAGTATTAGGTAAATGATTAACCTCGACTGACAATTCAGAAGTATAAGTTGATACTTGTATGGAAATTGATGAAAAGAAAATCTAAGAATGCACCAAAACAGAAAGAAAAAAAAGCGAGTGAATTACGGTGTAAGAGCAGTCGAGGTATTACGTGGAATGAAGGGATTTGGTTTTACGATCTCTGGACAACAACCTTGCATATTGAGTTGTATCGTTCCTGGAAGTCCAGCAGATATCGCTGGATTAAGAGCCGGCGATTATTTAGTATCTGTCAATGGTCATAATGTTAGCAAATTGCCCCATGACGATGTTGTGCAATTAATTGGCCGTTCAAAGGGTATTTTAAAGTTACAAATAGCTGAGAATTATTACTCCGATTCGTCTGATGAAGAGGGAGTGACAGCAGTACGCTGCAAACCCAAATACATTCATAAACCTCGCGCAAGTAACATGGGAGCACTGCAATTGCAATGTAGAGTTGCTAAAGTTGTACGAGACTTACAAAGCGGTGCTATGTTTGATGTAGCAGGGAAAACACCGCCTGAACTACAAAATCATGGAACTTACTGCAATTTACATTATCATTGGGATATGTCTAGTCCTCTTCCACCACCACCACCGCCAGCTTCTCATAAAAGAGATTCTGAAAAGATAGTACATAGAACAGTTGTTGGTTACCTTGGAACTATAGACATTCCAAATCAATTGCATCCATCTTGTATGATGCAGGTAACACATGGTTTTAATATTCGTTGATCGTTCAATACAGTTTTACTAATCTTTATTTATGTTTCTAGGTGTTAAGAAAGTGTATTAAACGATTGAAAGCTGAAAAAAGAAATCCAACTACAGTATTGCTAACCATACATGTGGCAAATATAAAGCTAACCAATTCGGAGAATCGTGTTATAGCAGAGTATCCGTCCTATAGAATAATATTTTGTAATTCTTTCTCTGAGCAAGATAAACAGTATTTTGGAATATTGACGAAATCTGTTAAGGATAAAGAAAATATTGTTTCAAATTCCTGCCATGTTTTTACAATTTACTATAAATTGATTGATCATATAGTACATTCTAGTGTATGCAATATATTTGGATTTACATGCACCAAAACTTCTGAGCTAAATGTATGTCAGGAATTTCCAGACAGTTGTAATAGTCTGATTGGTGCTATACAAACATTGTACATATCAGATTCAACAGCTACTGATACAAATCCATACAATGAAATGCGAAGACATCAAGAAACTGCTTCACCACAACCAAGCAATATAAGTACATCAACAGCTCATTCGAGTAATAGTGATTCTGGAATTGGTTATAAAGATGATTGTACAAGTCGTTCAGATAAAAATATACAAAATATTCCCCGAAGAAGATGTCCAACTTCAGAATACAGGGTATGTTAATTACAATGTTCGTCGTACTTAATTCAATCAATTATAATATTGCAAAAGATTGTAAAATTTACATTTACAACATTTCATAACTCAGTAAGTATATATTGAAATCTATGTAGTCTTTTTCTTGTTATTTAAAATATAAAATTTCTCTGTATGTAATGATTGTAATATGTGAACTATTCAATTCATTATGATCATAAAAAAAAAGAAAAATATTTGGAATATATAGTAGAGTTTAAGAGTTTTACACCATAACTATAATTATCTTAAGTTGAGTAGTTTTCTTTCTATTTCATGAAATGTTTTTAATTAACCTGATATGTGTTTAGGATGCGTGTGAATATTCGTCAAGATCATACGGTAACGAAGCTGTAGATTTAAGATTAACGGTACGGGCTGTATCAAACTCATGTTGGAATGAAGCAAATAAATTGAATATGTGCAAAGATAATTTAGAATTGCCTCGTGAAAGTGTGATTTTTAATGATTTTTGCAATGGAATGAATACGTGTACAGAAACGATCGAAAATTCTCGGATGAATTCTGACATACAAAAGGGAACGAAGAGGGGGGACTTGCCCACCTGCCCATTGCCATCTGCTTCAACAGTTAAGCAGGGGTTGCTTAGTTCGTCCGTTTGCACCACCGCGATGCTACACGGTTTAAAAGATCCTGTTGAGACATCCGATGATTCCGCAATTAAATCCCAACGATTGTTGGGATTTACGAAATTAGCGGAATCGAAAGAAATTGACATACCAGATAAATTTAGTCCAAAAGTCTTTTCTGGTATTTCCAAATCTTTAGTACATAGTTTTGAAGATCTTAATACAAGCATGGATTATGTTCGACCGCTCTGTCAAACTTATTCAGATAAATCGGATAATTCACGTCCTTGGGGAAGCTTGCAAGAAATTCGGAATGTTGGAACCTGTGTGCAGAATATCTGTTTGGTAAGAGATTCATATTTATTTCTTCCACGTTCAAATTTAATTTAATTAAGTGAACCTTAAAGTGAATTATTAATTTATAATTTGAGATTATTGCAATAAAACGAAAAAAAAGAATACAAAGAGAAAGAAGAATATTTGCATTAAGTGACAAAATAATAGAGAAAAAAGAAGTATGGAAAGAAGAGGGGATGTACGAGTAAGCGAGTGAATCGATGAATGAGTGAGCGAGGTAATATATGAATATTACGTACGAGTAAGTGAGTAAGCAAAAGAAGGAGAGAATAAGAAAGAATGTATGTGATGGGAACTAGAGTATCATATTTCGGTTCGATAATTTTATAATTTTCTTAATGAAATAACTTCACGTAAGAATTCAAATAAACAGATAAATCAACAACTAAGATATATTTAATACAAATAAACGAAGCTACCGACAGACAAACCGACCGACCGACTGAGCACTTTGAAAAGGAGAGAGGGAAAGAGAGAGAGAAGGAAATGAAGTACGAGTGAATATACTCGTAGTGCACATGAGAGTGACATGTTAGACACGAAATAAATGTGATGCTGTCGTAATGGTTATAATGTTGATTAGTGTTAAACTAATTATTTGAGAAAATTAATTGAATGATCGCGCGTGTAAATTCGTCGGTTCGATTGTAAGAAATCGATCGATTGGTCGATCGCGTCGGTTGTGTCGGTATACGTCGTGTTTGGCTCTGACCATTGAGTTGAACAGACACCGTGCACGGAATCTTAATTGTCAACGGTGCATCGTTGCAGCTGGGCGGAGCCCTTATTATTACGTGCATAACGCGATCTTATTTTAATAAGCTAATTTTGAAAAATTTTTAATTCGTTTATTGTATTATGTTTGTATAGTTATTTTTGTTTTTCCTTCGATAAATGGGATCGTTACGCGTATACATGAAGGAATACGATCTTCGATCACGACATGGATACCGTGGTGAAATCGGTACGTACGATACGAGACGGTTTTATGAAATTGCTGAGGGATTGTATATATGGATTCTAGTTCAGTGTGTAATTTTTTCAAAGTTAACTGTTTATAGTAAATAAACAAGTAACAAAGTGAAATCGGAGCACCTTATTCTTATTATTTTATAAATCAGGACAGAAAGTGAAATTTTAATGATTTAATTTATGATCAATAGTCGACAATGTCAAATCGATGTTGATATGTTTTATATATATATATATATATTCTTTCAGGAACTAATTATGATAACAGTAATTATTTATGATTTAGCATCCTCTTCAATCGTTTTTCAATTATATTTTAATTAGATCCTATCGATCATTTGTGATAGCATGTAATTGTTTAAATCTTATCAATGAACTATATATATTAGATGAATGACTCATATATGTGTGGTTGTACATTTTGTTGCTATTATGAAATGGGGAGGACATAAAAAAATATATTAAAAATTATTATTATATTTTTCAGTTTTGCTTTGATTTTTCTTCTTTGGTGTATTTTCCTATATTAAAAGTATATAAATATGAGGTACTCCGCAATCTTTCTTCTTTCTCTCTTTTTATTCTTAAATTTATTCATAATTATAAATATGTAACATTTTTTAAATATATACACAGTTAGTTATTTAAGCATAATATTTGTAGCATACTGTAGCATCAAGATCGAGTGAATATGCAAAAGACCATGAAGTTATATTGATAAGCAAATTAAATGTTACATAATAACTGATATTAAAGATTGTGTAAAGACAATAATTATATCTATCGTATATTTCTTTTTATTTCTTGATTTATTTTTAACTGGTATTTGTAATATTTATAATATTAGTAATATTCTCAGTATTCGCAATATTCGCAATATTCATAATGTTCGTATAAAGTTGATGGCGCACGCGCTCGATCGTTTCCCCTATGAGTCGTTTAATCCCATTTAACGACGTTACCAATAAAATATAATTTTTTTTAATGCTTCTTTAATACAGCACGGTAGTACACAATTATGCGATAAAAATACTGATTGTAAAAATATACATGCATGGGCCAATGGTTTTGAAAAATTATTGGAAGATCCAAAAGGTTTACAAACATTTGCGGTAAGATCCTTCAATTAATTTTTCTTTGTTATTGAATAAAGCCACGTTACATATTTTTCAACATCTTTTTTATTTATTTTATTTTTATAGGAATTTCTGAAAAAGGAATTTAGTCATGAAAATATTTATTTTTGGGCTGCTTGTGAGAGATACAAAGATACTAAAGATGTTATTACAAGACGGAAGTTGGCAAATCAAATTTACCAACGTCACTTGTCCTCTACAGCAGCTGAACCTGTAAATGTCGATAGCCATGCAACAGGTCAAATAACACAAGAACTTCTAAGCGAAGCACCTGCTGATCTTTTTTTGCAGGTGTACATCACATGTTTTTTATTCTTCTTTTCAATTCTGCAGTTGTTTTTATTATTATCAATGTTATATTAGTTCTATATTAATAGAAATTGTTAGTTTGTATTTTATTTTCAGGCTCAAAAACAGGTTTTTAATCTAATGAAATTCGATAGTTATCCAAGATTTTTAAGATCTGATTTATATCGTCATTGTGTAGAAACAGGAAATTCCATAATTGGAGCAGAAGATTGTGATTTAAATCTTACCAGTTCTTCTAGTGTAAAGTTAAAGAAGAGTCACTCAGATGCAGAAGATCGATGTAGAAAATCCATTCTTCCATGGAATAGAAAAAACAGGTATTGATGATAAATAGTATATAATAAATGTTAGTTGAAAGTAAGTGTTAGTAGTATATATTCATCAGTGCATCATCAAGTATAATAATATCTTTTTAGGTCTAAATCAAAAGATCGTGGCGAATCTGAATACAATAAAGGTCCTAATAGAAATGAGACTATATACAAGAGTTTTACAACTATGAAAAGAGAAACAGAAGGTAATAACAACGATGACAGTATTTCTATATCTAGCAGCAGATCTTCATTAGCATCATGGGATTTGGCATTAAGGCAGTCATTTCACAAACATGTAAGTGTTCTTCTCTCTTCTTTTATATTGTGATTAAACATAAAGAAACTGTTCGGTAAAGCAATTATATCAAAGGGAAGTATATATAAGTTTAACTGTTGTATGTGTTAGTTTTATTTGCATTGCAAGTGTGTAGTAGATACTCTGGTATTGCAACTATGCGAAGATGTTTGTTGAAAACAAATGTTAGTGTTATTAAGCACACAATCAATTTCAAACTACAAAGTTGTTGTATCTATAACTTGTAGTCTTTCTCGTCCTATGAAGGACAGTCGAATGAAACGAAAGAAATTCGTGCTAAATGTACTGGATTATGTCGGGTAATATTACCCGATGGGTCGACTACAGTTGTGCCAACTAGCCAAATGGAGAGTATTAAAGATGTGGTTACACGCCTCCTTGATAAAAGAGCTCTTCGATATTCTAACTATGATGTTCTAATCCTAGCTACAGACGAGGTTTGTGATTTCTTGTATTTATTTAATGCATCTTTTAAGACTGCTCAAAAGTAATAAAATAATCGTTGATGTTTGATATGCTATGTATAAAATGTGTTTCTTTCTTGCACATAGTGTGAATGCAGTAAGGATTGTGGGAGATTATTGTCATGTGAGAATTGTTATGCATGTATTTGGGAGCGTTTGTATTTGGGTATATTTGCATTAAATTTAACATAAAATATAATTTGTAATCTGGTATAAATAATTTGAAACGTCTACTTATTATATTTCTTATTATCTACATATAATATAATATTATCTACATATAATATTAATACATAATGTTAATATCTAATAATAATTAAAAAATTTTTGTGTCTTCAGACTATAGATACGAAATATCCATCATCTGTACTGGCTGGTCAAGAGGTGGAAGTTGTACCAACGAAAATATTGAAAGTAGATTTACCTTCCCGGCGAACGATAACTGTGATTGCACATAAAGGCAGAACTCTTAAAGATGTATTGAGGCCACTCCTAAATAAGTATGGTTTTAATTTAGAAATAATTACTGTATGGAATGAAAACCACCGCATTAGTATGGATATACAAGCTATTGATGCTCCTGCAAGACTGGTTTTGACCAACATAAAAGATCAAGGTAATGAAGATGTTGAACTATAATAAGATTTTTAAAAGTTATTAAAACGTTAAATGCCTTTTGATGAAAATAATTTGAAGAAGAGTATTTTTGTAGATCCACAAAAGGAGTTAAATACAATTAAGTACGTACATGATGGATCAAATTCTCAATCCACTCTAGATGAGATCACAAATAGAGTATTTGAAGAACTTTTGGTGGGCAAAGGTTCAAGTAAATATCATTATAATGATGGTTCGTGTAAGGTAATAAAATAATTTGAATTAATTGGTTCAAAATTTGTTGCTTTTATTTATGATTTCATTATTTATCATTTCATTTTTGAATAGTCTGATGATCAACGTTCGGAAGGTTCCTCTATTTTACCAAGCAAATTTTTTCTTCGAGATTCTACAATGCATGGAAAGAAGAAGGTATGATAAAATATCTTTGTATTCAATGTATTACTTTTCAAAAATGATTTTCATATATTTTTATATTTTAATGTTAAAGGGAGGAAAACCTAAATGTAACATGAATGAAAAAACTAATACGAACGATTATGTTTCCGAAGAAACTACGAAATCTCATCCTCCTTTAATAGCAAAATGGCGGAATGGAGTGAAGCTACAATTACCAGGAAAATTCGACGGTGAAGGTAAATTATATTTGAATATTTGTATAATATTGTTAATACCAAACTTAGTTGTAATACTAGCATTTGTGACTTTCTGCACAATTATAGAATATATATTGTTATAATATTTATATTGTTATATATTTATATATTGTTATAATTGTTATAACATTTATAGATTTATACGAAGGTTTAAAACGAGCACAAAGGTCTAGATTGGAAGATCAGAGAGGCACGGAAATCAATTTTGAATTACCAGACTTTCTAAAGGTAAACAAAACGAAACTTACATCTTTTGAGGTATAGTAATACGTATTTTTCTATGATATCAAACATAAGATTTCACAAAGCATATTGTCAGTTATCGTAGTAACGTAAATACATTTTATTTTTAAAATTTTTATTATGCGATGCGTTTCGACCCTTAAAGCTATGAAATTACTGATCAGAACAAGGAAAATGGTAAGCCGACGGATCGCAACAAAGTTCGGAGACCTAGGATAATATCTGCCAATTGCGAAGCAAATGCCAAGTTTTATAGTTCGATTCATGAACGACAAAACTGTGGACATGATCAAAATACGACGACAACTACAACATCAATAACATCGATAACAACAACATCAAACACAACTAAGACGTTGGCTTTAGCAAAGAATGGAAATCTTGATGAACGATTCCACGTATTTGCTACTGGAAAGGAGTTGCAGAGTAAGTCTTCAGATAATTCGTTCATATTAGATACAACTTTGATGGACGGAGATCGGACCGTTTTAGAAAATGGATCTTGCTCCCGAACTACTGCTTTGGATTCTTTTGATACTCAAGGCAACTCGCTAGGTGTAAAATCATCGAGACCTCCACCCCTTCCGCCAAAGCCAAAAAATCTTATAACGTGTGCAGCAAAAACTGGATATATCGTGTCTTCGAAATCTTTACCAAAGTCTAATCGTGCCGTTTCTTTAAGTCCAACCGAATTTACTCGGAAAAATATTTTATAACGTGTTACATTGAAAAAACGACAGTCATGTGTCACATATTTTCGTATCTAGTGTACGAAATGTACCACAAAATGAGCGATCATGTCTTCTAATTAATTATATATGTAATATAAAGTTATATACAAAGCAAAATGTTGGTACGAAAAGATTTGTATTTGTAGTATTATTATTGTAGAACTATGACGATTATGAGTACAATTATGTATTATTGCACTTCGTCTCGATTGGTAAGGTGCCCGATCCTCAAAGATATCTTTATACACAATGTATTTTTAATCATAAAAATTATATCTATTTATGATGTTTTTACGGTACAGCTGTTATTCTCCTGGTTATACAGGACATATATTTTATTATTGTAATTTATAGTGAATGAACACTGTTATACGCAAACAACGAAAAAAATATTTGAAATTTTATGCGCATTAAATAAATTATATAAATTTTGTTCTATAGAAGTATTTCTATATTAATTCAATATTTATTCCGATTCAAGCAGTAAACAAAAAGAAAATTTTTCATAGCCATCTAAATACACATATGCGTATATATAACGGTCTTCTTATCTCCTTTGTATTTTGATTTCTTGATTTATTTCCTTGCGGTTTTGTAGGTGGCGTTACACGCAATGTTAATATATTTACGCGGGCCTGTCATTATTGTGAGTTTGTTTAGCTTGATATACCGGTCAACGAAGCTCAATTGTGATCATCTTTTACTCGATGAAATAATATATCTATCCTTAGTTTTTGATATGTCATTTTATCATGTTAAAAGAAAATCGTTGCAGTTAATATAAAGTGTAAGAAAATTTGATTTTTCAACATTTCAAGTTGGAAAATTTTGTGTAAAAACTTTTGTAAATAAAATTTGATCAAAAAAAGGTAAGTAATTGAAAGATCATATATATTATATTTACAGATTAGTTTATTTCTTTTGAATAGTTACTAACAAAGCAAAATGTTTCACACTATAAAAGATAATGAGAATTGTACTATTAAAAATAATGTTATCATCACCTAACCCTATATGACTCAGTTATACACACCATCTGATTCTTATACTTTGTTTCATTCGTTCTTTTACTGCTTAAAAACGATTCTTCATCAAACGTCATTCAATAATTACGAAAATAAATCTAACATGTACACACGTTTTGAAAATTGTATTTTATTACATTGTATTGTTTAAAATTTTTTGTTTTGCGCTTTAATTTTCTGAAAATTTTATCTTTTATCATTCGTTCTATTTATCAATTTATTGTAGTATCTCACATATAGACGTACTTAGCGAAATATATATATGAAATTTACACGTTTAATAACAAAATAAAAATGTTTTTCTACAGTGTGTATTATTAAGAAACTAAAAAAATAAAATGTTAAAATCTTTATTATTAGATAAGAGGTAAACATAATTAGTCGGCTCCAATACCAATTGTAACCTAAATATAAAAAAAATTTACACAACAGGTATTGTACGTTATTTGTGAAATAGTTTTCTTTGAAACTTATTATATTATATTATTGTCGATCTTCTATCATTAAATTTGTATTTCCTTAAAATCTTGAATAGATATTATACATACGACTCCTATACTTCCGTTTGCAGATTATTATTGATACGAAGATGTCCGGATGTAAACGAATGTCTGTATTATCATGCATCGCCGAATTAGACGAATGTTCATCGGACAAATGTCAAGACCAAGCAGCACTTCTCACGTCACCGATTTCCAGCATTGTTTGCGACTTGATAAACTCGACGCTGTCACCGCGCAGTTATTCAAATCGCAAGAACGATGTAACCGATAAGAATGTAGGTAAGCAAAATAATGACCATCATGCCAATTGCTAATTAACTCTTATTCATAAACTTAGTGGATACTAGATGATTATTAACAATAAAAAAAAAAAAAAAAGTATTGGGAAAAGCTTCAGATGGAGGGGAGCGTGATTAAAGTGGATTGAAGAGGGAGTAAAGAGTAAAATGGTGGGGATGCGACATAAACTGCTTACAATGGAGCGAAAATAACGGAATAAATAGCTTACTTTACTCGTACAAATTACTGCAGGATAATTTAAAATTGTTGTTTTAATACACGAGCAATATTGAAATGCACGTTTATTTTTCTGTTTTTTTTTTTTTTAAATAAGCAATTTATTAATAAAGCAATTCAATTGATAGAATTAATGGTGCAATCAAAATGACTCTTTTGATGAAGGAGAAAGCTGTTTAGATTGACAAGAAAAAAATCTGATTAGTAATTCAGTGTATAACCGTTAAAGGTTGCTGATCAAAACTTGGAGATTCAGATTGCAAGACCTGCCTTACCGGCTCCACGAGAAATGCTAATACAGCGAAACCCTCGAGAATACAAGAACCTGAGATACCCCTCACACCTTATAGGCCCTTATAGATTCTCGAAACCCTTTACCATCTCTTCGTCATTTTCTCTCTTATTTCTTGTCCTTCTTTGATTTCTTTCATTTTATGCGTCCACGTCGTCTTACCCCTTTTATACTTTTTTTGCCTCTCTGCTCCTTTTTTTTTCTTTTTGATCGACTTTATATTTATTCGAATATTTTAATTTGACGTTTACTACCTGTTCCATAATAATAGTAGAGAATGCGTTAGCGTTTGAAATAGTTTAAAACGTTGGAAACAGACGTTTATCGCAACTCGCGATGCGGAAGAGCAAGAGCACAGTGAAACATATTTCGTTAGCAGCTGTGTTACTGCCTGAACGGTGACCTTTGTTTAATCGCCATTTGTAATTTATCGTATATCATGCGCCGATGCACGCGCGCATATAATCGCGTGTTATCAGAAATATCTATTTAACGTACAGTCCGTTTTCTCTCCCTTCTATTTATTTTCTGTGTTTTCGAAATTTTCTTTCTTCGTTAGTGTAGTATAGCAAACAAAAGGACAGCAATCAAAATACTTTTGCACAAAAATTTACTTATTAGTGAAATGACGAATGACAAAGCGTAAGAGAATCTATTGGTATTGTTAATTTGTAATTTGCGATTTGTTACAAATAGTAACATTGATAATATTGAGAAGAGAATGAGTCGATGTGGCATAATGTACCATATGATAAAGTACATTGTTAATTTTCTCAAATTTTCAAGGAACCATAATAGATAGGGGTTTCCCTTATTACCTGCGTTACCCTCTTTCTAAGTATGTTCGTCGAAGATTGTTAAAAAGAGGGGTGAGACAGTGTTGAAACATCCGTAAACGTAGAAGGTACAATTAATAACCATGCATTATTCTGTTTTACTTGAAATATAAAAAGTACATTATTTTTCAAAAAATATTTGAAATAATTTGTTTATTCAGAGAAGAAATACGAGATGAACAAAGTCTGAAATGTTGCAATGACTTTTTTGTCACTTTCTAAAGCGAATGTATAAATGCATAAAATGTTCCAGTTCAATTCTTGGACGGTTCGATGACGGTTCATGGTGCACTGGTTACACCTGTGTGGCAAACGAGCGGTGCATGGCTATTTCGTTCCACGGTTCGTGAATTGTTCGTTAGGAACTTATTACGTATTTAGCTGTTCGTTCATCTTTTTGTTCATGTTAATACTATTTTACTATTTAAATAGAATTGAAATGAAAGCAAAATTGCCGAATTGTTGCTGAAGGAAATGTTGTTGTTAAAACAGCTTAGATTAGGAAATCAAACGATATATTTGTATCTTTAGCTTGTAATTTATGAAAATTACAATCAGTTACTTAGTTAGTGAGAATAATCTGTGAGTTCTGTACTCGTTCTCTTGCGGTTTTTTGTCAACCGATCGATACTTCTACTAACCGTCGAATTTTTCTTTATAACGAATTTGAGATGTATGAATACTATTGAAGTATACGTATATTTCAGTATGTGATACTTAACGTATTTAACGGTAGGCACAGATAAACTGAAATCATTTAGAATGTGTTTGAGAAATGAATGTATAATAAATAGCTTCCTGTTTTAGTGATTCTTAGTAAATAAAGGAGGACAAGCAAGAAACGAAACGGGAGAGAAAAATGGAAAGAGAGGAAGAAAGAAGGCGAGGGAGAGAGAAAATATATGATCCACGATAGGAACAACGGGAGCAATTAGGTGTAGTCGGGTACTAGAGCGTTGAACGCAAGGAAACGATGGGGCGCTAACGTGTGCCTCTGGTGTCTCCTGATATTCCGAGGGGTCGGTACTTACCCCACTAGGGGAAGGTAAGGGCTCAGGGGGCAGACATATGAGCACACATGGGACGACAGTCACCACCTGGCAGTGTGTAGTCGAATGCTTACCATCGTTGAGCGAATATATGAACGTATGAACGTATGAACGTATGCGAGTGTATGCGAATGGTGGGTACCCGAGTGAAACGCGTTGCAACCCCAACCCTCCACTTGGCTCGTGCCGCTATACATTGTCGTAGGCTTTTCTTCTCTCGGGTATCGACTCGAAGACAGTCTGTTGGGTGAAAACGGTTAAAGTCTGCGACCGTACACCGTTTCATTATACTTGCATGATCAATTTCGACATCAACCAGTTTGCTTTAATTTTAACAGTTTGTTAATATTTGAAAGTTACAGGAGAGAAACGCGATAAGTTGTACCTTTCAGTTGTCAATTATAGAAAAGCAATTTTAAAATTCAATATACTTGCAACTATAATGGTAGTATTGGATTGCAGCACAGTTAACCAGTTATGTTAACAGTTAATCTGTCATGTTAGAATACTCTCTTTTAGAACTAGAAGCTAGAAAACCAACAGATATTGACTTGTCATGTTCTTCTCCGATTTTCATTTTAAATGAAAATGGAAATGCATGTGAAGAAGTTTTAATTAGATTTCTTATTGTAATATTAGATTATAGTCTAACGCTCGATTGCAGTTGAAATTATTAGCTTCTATTTAGTCATTGTCAATCCTCAGGGATGAACTGATATTGTTATTCTAGCATGATGGAAGAATTAGTTTCTTAGATAATGTGTAAAAAATTTCCAAAATCCATGAAGCTGATACACATTGATAGGTTCATCGCGAACTTTATTAATTTCTTTGCGATTCCAATCAATTGCAATTCTTTTTACACACTGTCACATTTTGAGGAGTTTCCAAATATCTTTTTACGAGTAATTGTGATTTCATTATGTTATCCGTTTATTCCAACTACGAATTTCTTTTTAATTAACAAACGAAACGAAAATAAAAGTGAATACAGATAAACCTTAACCAAGTTAAGTCATGCGTGATAGTTTCTTATTATAACATTTGTTTGTCCAAATTGGATTTTTACTGATTAGTGAGATGTGACTCGGTAGCACGTACTAGCGTGGTATGTTTTCATGGATGTGTAACGGTTCTAATGATTATGGAACACACGTTCGACATCTGTATCCTAATCTCGCTAGTCTGCTCCACTACAACGCAACGGCTCGACCGTTTATATTTATTCTTTATTTATGGAACGCAGATATTCACGTCGAAAATAGATTTTAGTAGGAGGATGGTTATTCGGAAGCCGACATTCCACCCTAACGTCTCTCCCTCATTTTCTCCTCCTTGATGGTATATATTTAACTATCGCTGTTTTTTACGCGGTTCAACGGTCTATGTTGGATCCTGCTATGTTTCAATTTGAGCTCCAGCTTCAACATCTTTTCTCTTCTAGATCACATTTTGACTTTTACTGACGTGCGACATATAATAAAATTAAAATCAGAGATTTGTTTAGCCGAATGATGAAAGATAGCAAGGAATATGCAATAATAAACATAATAATGATACAATAATGAATGAAATGTATCGATACAAATTGAAATAAAATTGTAATAGAAGATTTAATTTAGACTATTTTTAGTGAAACGTCAGACGTCAACTACTGTAAAACCGATACAAGAATTTTTGGAAAATTATTCTGTGCCAGTACTTTCATTCATTGCTGTCTACTATACAATCTAACTCAGTAATAAAGGGACGTCGTTCTTCTTCGCTTTTATTTGTAGTCTTTTATTTAGGACAAAATCTGTTTGGCAATTGATGTAAGTTGGTGCAATGAAAAAACTTGGTGGTCAGCCGCGAAAAGAAAGATATTCGTTTCCGTAACCGTATCCGCTTGGCCCGTAACCGTAACCGTAATGTAACCATGACCATAACCGTAACCGTAACCATAACCATCTTCATAGAAGAAAAGACAAGATGATCGTTAAAGGATCGTTAAAGAAGAAAAAAGACATATTATCCAAGTTACGTCAAATATAATTACAATATACACAACAATTATGGAATAAATATGGAACGAAGACCAGAACAAAATTTTTTTTTTCCTTTTTAATTTAAAAAAAATTGTTCAGAATATTTTGATGTGAAATTTGATTTGATACTTTATTTACAAATAATATTCGCAAAGATAAATGCGCTAATAAAAAAAACTAGCAGCAAGTGAAACGAAGTGATGTGTTCGTCACAGAGACTGCACTAACTTCCTGCGGAAATGCTGCGCAGTGAACGCAATAAGTAGAAAAGGCGTTCCGGTCTTTTAGCGACCCTGTTTTCGTACTACCATCACCTCCTTCCTTTCCTTTTACGCAAAATACACTTGTTATTGTGGGATTTTAAGCTTCTATATTTTTCTCATATCTAAATACACGGTGTATAATTTATTAGTGAAATTATTTCTTAATCAAAAAAAGACTGATAATAATTAATGAAGACTGATTAATTCTATTTAATCATCGAATTCTTTGAATTGTTTGAAAATTATCGTAGATTATTAAATTGATCGAGAATATGTTGCTATATACATACTTATTTTCTTCGTATACATCTCAAAGTTAAATAATTTTATTTTACATTTAATTTCAGATTTGGCAGATTTGGATCACCGTAGACAATCCAGTTATGGAACCAGCAAAGGGTGAGTGTATATTCTGTTTTCATTTCACATTAGCAAGAATATTTTCTTAATTTATTATTTACGAATCATTCGAAATGAACAATACATAAACAAATATATTAATTTATCAATAATTTCAAAAAATAATTCGATACTTGAAATATCTCAAAAAAAGAGTAACACATGCCAACACGATTCTGTATCGGATGTCTCGTTTCGGAGTTCCTAAACACCATTCATATTTTCTAGTTTCATTCATCTACATCGAAGATTCACTTATTATCTTTTCTTTCTCTCTCTATCTCACTCTCCGAAGTTCCCACCGTTTCTTGTAAGCTTATCCATCTCGTTCGACGCCCGTACTCCTCGGTTTCTCTTTTCCGTTTCACGCTTCAACTATCTTCTACGCTTGATCCGATATCTTCTTTCTTCTTTCTCCTTTCCTTTCCTCGTATCTTTTTTGCCATCTTTTCTGTAAAAAGCAAATAAAACATGGTGGAACGTGCAGTTGTTAAAACTATATCACGCATTTTCTCACATACTTTCATTTATCACGCATTCCAGCATGTTTCTGCTGTAGTAGTCGATATATTATCTTTATCTTTCTCTTCGTTGCTCTTGTGACGCGACCGTTAAAAAATCAAGCAAAACGGTTCAGGCAAGCAAGTTCATCGTATCCCTACTCGCTAAGAATAACGCCTCCCACTTTGGCTTGTAGACGGTTCGGTGTGTGTGTGTGTGTGTGTGTGTGTGTGTGTGTGTATGTGGGTTGTGTATACATTTCAACTTTGCTGCACGAGAGACCACACGTGAACTTGTGTGAAATCTTCAGAGCAATTTTACCCTCGTCGATATTTACATACGGTTATTGCGTAAAACTCTTAGGTGAAATCCTGAGACTTCTATGAAAGATGAAGCATGAAGTTGTAACAGTGACTTAATCTCTGCCTTAACTATTGCCTAGCAACCGCTGTTTCTTTCAAATTAAGTATGCACATACATAGTTGAAAGGTCATTTCTAACTTGCTCGTGCCTGTCTAATTCAGCCTTATATTAATAAAGTGTTTCGAACGAGTTGAAGTTAAATAGCTTAATTAATAACGACGAGGACTTTACTGTTTAAGTAATTTTAGCTAATCTAAACGAGGCTCGAGACTTTTTTCGCGTTATTATGTCACATACATATGCATAGATACATTACGTATCGTAGAAATTTTGCATTTGAATGTATTTGCGGTTATCTATCGTTCAATGTGATATTTCATCAATCTCAGAAGTTGAACAGCAGTGAACGTTGTCAATGAAACGGAGCTGACTTTGGTTTGATCGACCGGGATTTATGTAACACGTAATCTCAGTCGTATCGCCGTTATTGTCTTTTCAACGAACGAACAATTTTTCAAAATGGTTGGAAAAGAAATTCATAGATACGCGTCAACGACACGAAACGTGTGGCGCGATACATGCCAGGGAGGGATCTATGCGGTGGTCTCCCTCGTGAATGCAAATGTTCTGCGTTCCTTCTAAGAAAGCTGGCTAGATGGTAGGGGAAAGACAAACGAGTGAAAGAGAAGGAAGGAGGAAGGGAAGGAAAGAGAAAGAGATAAAGGTGCAGAACTTTCATTGGTGGAGGTTTCCCGCCAAGATGCACCATGCTAGGTTAACCGGTTTGTTGAAAGGCCGGCCGACCAGCCTCTTTTCGAATATTTCTCAGCTGATCGCCGTAACATTCCCGCTTTTTTTTCCACCAGATGTTGGTTTTCCCTCCAAATTTCGTTCCATCCTCCTTCTATCTCATTTCCTTTTAGCCGAATTTACGGCCGATTTTACAAATTAATCCTTACGGGAAATAAAGGAACAGAAAGAGGATCGAAACGAACAAGTTTGAAAAGTCGTGATAAACTTGTTCCATCTTCAATTGAAGTATTTCTTGAATCGAGCTTCTCAAGCATGTATGTAGGTGTGAGAAGATTTTGGGTGGTTTGTGTAGTACCTGTGTTTCGCGGTCACGGGGTTGGATATACTTACCTGAGATCTTCAAGAAAAGAATCCATGAAAGGAAAAACGGCGATTTAGCGTTCCTTTGATATCTATTTTGCTTTATTGTTGTGCGAGACCTGTCGTTAGAGCATGGCCCCATTGATTTCATAGGCCTTCCATATATACAAAAAAATCTTCCAGGAATTTTATTTATTGAACGGCAGCTCATTTCCTGCGGTTATTTCGCATCTCTCTGCCAAAAATGGCATACCGCAGGGAACATTAGCCCATAAATGTACAATCATTTGTCGAGAGAGACGTCTAAGATATTGTTGGTCCTTTCTCATATATTACGTATTTTATTAACTGTTTTTCCTTAACATATCAACGGTAGAAAAATAACATTTTCGCAAACAAAAATTGAATTTCGTTTCGGAGCATACCGAATTAGTAATTTATCGAATTTCTTTTATCCCTTTTGACGAGTGCAATTGAAAAATATTTCAGTTTTAAACCGCGGGGATCCTACGAGAACAAAATCTCGATCCGCTTCGGAAACATGGTTTTGATCTATAAACGTAATATCAGTCGTTCGTTTGATACTGAAGGTTACGCAATCAACCGACTCGCGTTTGATTTGAACCACGACGATCGTAACGGTTGGATGGGTTAAAACGGGCGAGGCCGGAGATAATGAAAAACACATGCGATTCGTTGGATGCGCGGACAAACGTGCGTGGACGTTGGGATTGGCAGGAAGAAACGAGACAACGAGAAATGTAAGAATGAACGCGGGAAAAGGTAGCCGCGATAGCAACGTCGGCTTAAGGGTACAAATGTAAAGGGAATGGAATGGTATTCGTGGCGTGAGGAGACTCGGGGGCGAGATGAGAACGAAACGAAACGAAACGAAACGAAATGAGACGACACGACGGGAGAAGTCGAGACGATAGGACGCAGATCGGGGCGAAATGAGACGGAACGAAGGTACGTCGTCTGAAAGGCAAACGTGGTGGGGGGTCAGGGCCAGGGCCGATGCCTGGGCCGGGGCCGGGGCCGGGGCCGGGGCCGGGGCCGAGGCCAGGGTTGGGTCTGGGGCTGACGCGCGGTAGAAAACAAGCGTGGTCTTTTAAATCGGCGGCTACGAGGGATTTAAAAATGGCCGAGTCTGCCTACCCTTGACAGCCGTCCCTTCAGCTGGTCGGGCAAATACCATCAGCTGACCGGTTTTGGAGGGAAACTGACTGAGATTCTCGTTTCTGCGAAACTATCTAACGCTGTGCATCGTCAATTGCCCTTTTATTATCAATACACCATTAGTACAGCGATATCGTCTAATCTGTGATTTATTATCGCGTATCAGGGAAGAGGGAACGTCGAGGCAAGAAATAATTGTTCAACTTTTCCAACATTCTGCGCAGTTCAGACTTCTTCACCGTGAAAATTTTCAATCGTAGCGTCCACTTGGAGTTACCGGAAACCGTAGTATCCAGCTGTTCCTTTTGTCACCTTCGTGCAAAAAAAATGCAAGGTCGAGTTGGAAAGCGGGAATGGGATTTAACAAGCATGAAAGAATAAATCCCTGTATACTCGTTGATACAGACTATGTGTTATGTGCACATGTACATACGTATGCAGGTACATTTCGCGGAAACAAGTAAATGCGTGAATTAGCCAGTATGTACCATCATAGGATGTCCTTTGTCATTTGAGATCAAAGGGAAGGAGCTGTTATCCGCGCTTACACGCATAGCGCTACTCTCTGAACAGAGGGGAGCAGGTTGTTATACGTACTTGTTCACTCCCTCACAGGTAGCTGCACGGCGGCGGTAACCAACGAGCACTGGACCAAGCCTGCGAGTTGCTCGAGAAAGAAAGAAATCGGATGCATGCCTGGACGGTTCGTTTGACGGGGGATGAATTTTATTAAGGCCTTTTTACAGCTCTTTTCTTTCATACCCGTTTCAAGATTCAGAGATCGTTTATGTTCAGATCGTATCAATCGGTAAGTCTGTTCCTTCTTCTTTAGGCGTGTCTAACCGATTCCTCGTACGTTTCCTTCCCCGCTTCATTTTCACTCATTTCTCACATTTTCAAATATGTGAAAAATGATTTATGGTGCGCGCTTCTCTATTGCAACGTTGTCGGTTAACCGTTGCGCAACTTCCTCCTCCCTCTCAACCTCTTTCCTCAGTATCCACTCGGTTGCGTGCCTGTTTGTCTGCATGCCTGCATGTCTACCCATACTTGTTTCCCCATCATCCCGTCACCTCATCCGCCTCATCTTCTACGCCTCTCTCGTGCCCCTCTCTCCAACACACTCCTCTCGCCTCTCTCTTTCCGTATCTCTTTGCTTTCTCTTCTCTTTTTCTTCCTTCTATCATATCTTCCCCACCCACCAATCTTCACTTCGCCCTTTCATCTTTCTCTCCTTCTCTTTCTCTCTTTCTTCCTTCTTTCCTCTCTTTTCTCGCGTCTCCTTCCCCTTTCCTCTTATTATTTTTCTGCCATCTTGTTTCTCCGTTTATCCGTTGCTTTTTTCAAACCGTTTTTACTACTCGTAACGGTGGAGCTCGCCCCCAGCAACAGTGGTCTTCCAACCAATTTTTTCTCTCCCTTTTATTTCCTACGTTAAGCCTCTTTCCACCCACTCCAGTTTTCTCTCTCTTTCCCTGTCTTTCTTTCTTCCCCCCCCCCCTTTCTCTCTCTCCCCCACTCTCCATCCAGAGAGGAGTGCTTTTCTACTCTTTCTCTTTGTCGGTCGTTTGCGCGCCAATCGATCGGTTCAAATCTCTTACATAAGCATTTAAAAAACTGGCTCCGCGCAATCTTTCCGTCCGTAACTTTGAATACCGGAGTCGCACGTAATCGGTACATAAACTGCACTCGCGTATCGGGAGCTTAACGTTCTTCGGTAGAGGCGGCTTTGTGCCATGCGCAAAACGAGCAATTTAAACCAACGACCTTCGAACGCCACGGTCTTTCACATTCTCTCTTAGTAACCGAGCTAGCGTGAGAAACTCGCCTTGGGGATGAAAGAC